CGTTTTACATTTCCATTACCTGGCAGGGGATGGGGAAATCTCTGGAGGTCTTTAAGAAACAGGCCGGCCAGCTCTCCAGAATGGTTTAATGTAGTGCTTTCTAAACTCGCCAACTTTAAAATGCATGGACTTCAATTCCCAGAATTCCCCAGCTAGCATGATTGATAGAAGCAGTGACAGCAAAATTTGAAAACCTACTGTGACTTTATATGAAGCAGAAAATTTGCCTGCCATTGTTTCTGTTCACCCATCCATTCAAAAGTGCCTGAAATAAGAATGTTTGCTGTATTTTTGCTGATTTAAAGATTGCAATAAAAAGTATGGCTCTGAAAATGGATGTGTCAAAGACCAAGGAGATATGATTAATATGAATGATGTAGGAATAGTACAGGGTCAGCTATATGAACACTGAAGGACCCTCTTTATTCACATTATTATAAGAAAGAAATGTGCTTGTTTAGAGATTACACTAAGTCAGCTAAATTCCATTCTTGGTAATATATATCTTCTGAGGGCCTAGTTGTCAAATGCAAGGACATCCATATGAAACAAAAGTTACTTATTATCCAAAGCAGCCATGAATCTACGCATCAGCAATCACAGAACTGAGGAAGGTTGTTTAGCTAAGATAATCTTATGAACTAGAAAATAATGTAGGAATTTAGTAATTTAGAAAGTATCAATTATCATGTAACAAATGTACGTTAACCATATATGGAAAACTGCTGTGCTCACAAAATCCTTTGTCTTGGATATGTATAAAAGCAGTTGTATCAGAGCTCTTCTTTGTTCAGAATTGCAGATACAAATCTGATTCTGAAACTGCGCAATAAACTGTCTCTGGCTGACCAGGAATGTTGTTTGGTCTCATCATTCCATAACATTAACAATGAAATAGAATAAATGATTGCTAGTTATTCATAAAAACTCTAGGGCAAAAGGTGAATTTAGTGGCTTAGTAAAATGTTTATCAAAGATGGGGAAATGGATGGAGAGATGTTCACATGCTAGTAGAAAGGGAGTACTTGTTGGCATGCAGACTGTTGTGATGAAAGAGTACTTCTTGAAATGATAATACCCTGTTTCCCTGAAAATAAGACATCCCCTGATAATAAGCCCAATTGGGCTTTTGAGTGCATGCGCTAAAATAAGTCTCCCCCCGAAAATAAGCCCTCCCCGAAAATATTTAAACGCAGAGCTGGAAAACAGGTAAGACAGCAAGAGGAGCCCCATCTTGTTTCATGCGCCCCAAAATAATAAGATCTCCCTGAAAATAAGGCCAAGCACTTATTTTGGGGTTCAAAAAAATATAAGACAGGATCTTATTTTCGGGAAAACACAGTAGCTGTATGTAAGATGTGCTCTGCTCGTTTTGTTTTATGAAAATGAAATCCGGGTATGTCAGGACAAACAAAAGTAAGATGAATGCAGGGCATCAGATACATCAGAAATATGCATAATGAAACAAGAGGATAAAAAATAAATAAGTATTGAATTAATGTGAATTGAATATACAAGTGTGACTGATAAAGAAATATGCTCAGGTGGTTTGAGCATACAAAGATAATAAATGGGTATTTATTCATGAAACAAATATACAAAGAATTAATAGATTGAGAAGAAAAGGCAGGCCAAGAAAATTGTGATGATGGAATAAAGAGAACCTCAAACAGAGAGACATAAGAAATGTAAAGAATAAAAGAGAATTAGTGAAATAGTATAGGGATATGATAGAAAAAAGCATGGTTTGCAAAGATAGAAAATAATAGAGAAAAATAATGAATGGTGGTGTTAACTAAAATAAAACTACATCTCTCTTTTTAGGTCACATTTTTTTCTGGTCTTCTTTTCTATGCATATTGTTGCTGACCCTAAAGGGAATAGTGTGATGGCTATGTTTGTTGCATATATAGTATTATAATTTGCTTGGAAGTAGCTGGGCTCACAAATTTGTAGGGCTGCTATACAAGCGTCACCAAAAAGAGGACAAAAAGCAACACAGATTTCCGTAGAAAATTATTAAGCTTATGCAATGAAACAAAGTGTTTAAAAGTTATATTTATGTAGTTACCGTACTTACCAAGCCCTACAAATTATATTAAAGTAACCAAAATATCTTTATCCCCAAGGCATGTCACAACTTTTGAGCACCCCTAATGTTTGGAAATTGAAAGTTGAAAAATTTGACATGCCCTAAAATTTTCATATATGCAAAATTACAAATAATTACTAGGTAAAATAGAAATGTATTTCAACAGAACAGGGACATCTAGAGTATGGCAATTAAGTGACCTGACTTTGCACAATTTGCTGAATCGCTAATCCACTGCTAATGGACAATTTTGAAACCTGCTTGCTATCCTTGTGATTTGAACCAGTTTGGGCCTGAAGGTACCATTGACAGAGAATTCCTCTGAAAGCTGTTTAAAGCCAGACACAAAGATAAACCACTTTATACACCATTCAAAGCAGACAGTAAAAAAAACTAAAAACAAAAACCATAACAAATTCTCCAGCATAAACTCCTCCTCCAGATAAACAAGGACTAATGCCAGACAACAATCAAGTGGAAAACAACTTAATCAAGGAAACTACAAGAAGAAAACCGCACCCCCACCATCACTGGTTGGACAAGCTACTGTATATAAACTGAGAAAAGTCCACACTCGCTAGCACTGATGATTTTACCTAATCAGGCAATGAAATGTTTGCAAACTACCAAATTCAGGGAGCACCAAAGACTCCTGAGTTCTAACCTGAGCTATTCTCTTCTATAGGAGTTCTGTTCTCAATTAAATTCTGTGTATTTTCTATTTTGCTTGAGTAACTTTTTTGCCTGGAATCCTAACTGACCAAGCCTTCTTTCCTCAATCCAGGACCTCTCCACAAGAGTGGACTTCAACTCCCAAAATTTCCAATCATCATTATCCTTTCCTTAGAGCTCTGCTGGTTGAAATCCATATGTAGGACATTAGGGAATTAAGGAAGGCTGTTCTAAGCTTTTTGCAACTACACAGCTTTTAAAATAATGAAATATTGATGAGTGATGTTATTTGGTATTCAGCTGTTCTGATACATAAGAAGATCAGACTGTAATGCACATGTTCTTCTAGAACTATGTTCTAGAGTTTGTTTTCGATTTCAAAGTTAATTAGTACCAGAAACAAATTTACAAGATACGTACTGATACTGTAGTCTTGCTGATGCTTGCATATGTGTGATTTTTGAATCGTTGTTGCCTGGTCACTACCTGGTGTAGTCCTTGTAGTTTTCTTGGCAAGATTTTGGACATAGTTTGCCATTGCCTGCTTCCTAGAGTGACTGGCCCAGTCACCTAACTGACTTTGTGCTTAAGGTGGGACTAGAACTCAATCTCTTGATTACTAGCCTGTTGCCTTAATCACTTCACTATCATGTCCAACCTTTTGTCTTGCCTGGGCTGCCTTGAGTGAAGAGGAATACTTTTGAGCCTTATACAAAATGTGTAATATAGTAACTATTGCCAAAAATCACATAACAAAGTTAAAAGTTTACAATCTTGGACCACATTACCCATTCGGGGCCGCATGTGGCCTATGGACCGCAGGTCAGACACACCTGCATTACATCAAACCTTCTTATGTTTAGCATATTCATTAAGATGTTTTTTTTTCTTGTGCTAAGCTTAAGGGCAACCTAAAAGAATTGCTGCAGTTCCTTTTTGTCTGATCAGACAAAAGGGTATTGTCAGTTGAAGGAATTAAAAGATGCACTCCATATTTTTTTCTAAACTAGTTCAGTAAATTCTCAGTACCAGTACAACTGCTGAAAACATATGGTTAGTATGCTGTGAAAATGCTCATCTAGCCAGCACGATAATTGCCTGTATCATACAAAACTTATTTCAGCATTTGCTTTCTGAATAATTATGATGCATTCACTAATGGATAGGTTCAACATTTATTATAGTTGCTGTTTTATTATTAGTATTAAATGACATGGTAATGATAATTCCTTGTGGTGGCCAATTGTTCTTGTGGAAAGTAAAGAAACTGATTGGCAACCCTTGCAAACACTCCCTCCACCACTGCTGTTTGACATTAAGAGGAATATACCCCAAGAAAAAGACACCTACCATATCTTAAGTTGTCCTCGAAGAACATGGTCAACCCTATGAGGAATCCCAGTAACTTTAAGTAGAGCCTTTTCTTACCGTGTCCTTTAAGCACACAATGTAAATGCTCTGTGTACTTTGCACCAAACTGCCAGCCACTGTTATCTCAAAGTACTTAAAACATTGGAATCAGGGTTCAGTAAAAGGAGGTGACAATTCTTACTTCTTTACAAGAGCGTATATGGTATTATTTCCGCAGCTGAGTATCTTTAGAGAGCATGACCAGTTGCTCAAGGGAAAGAATTAAATCCAATTCCCATTACAATGCAATTGGTTGGATTGATGACACTTTTAAAGTTGCTTTTCTGATATAGCCTCTTTTCACCTGAAATTCCAGAATCTAATCAGTAAGGATGGAAGGCTGATTCTGTACCCAACAGGAGATAGTGAATCGAATTTGGCTATATACTGCAGTCTTCCCCAATCTGATAACTTGAGGGCTAAAACTATCATTTTTAGTATTTCACAGCCCTTTTGTACTGGTTATTTTTTGTATTCTTGTACTTTTTTTAAAAAAAGCTCAAAATAAAAAAATAAAAGAACAAGGGACAACTATACAGGTCACCTAAAGTTTCAAATGTAATGAATGTAGAAATATGTCCATTTTATAGCTATCAGACTTCAGGTATTGCACTGATGTTAGTAAAACCATCCCGTAGGTATTCCACTAAAGTATGCCCACTTTCAGTATTGGGAAATATGGATGGTGGGACCACAGAAAAAGCATTCTGCAGCTTCTTCAGACCAAAGGCTACAGATCAAACACTGCAGTCTGATGTGTGGGCTGAGAGGTAGGGGAAAATATCTGTGATGGGCCTAACAAAGTCAATAAACACACTTGAAAGAATGAGGTACTGTATACTTTTATTTGATTAGCACATTCAGACTTTTGCACCATAATATCATTAATAGAAGAATCTTACATATAGCAGAGAAAAATTCTGCAGTGATATGTACATTCAATATTTTGAAAATACAACAGTGATAAATAGCTATAGCACCATATATACGTACACCAAGGTTGCTCTCTTTGGCCAACATTTTTTGCTTTTTTAAGCTTATTGGTGAGAAGAAAATAGACATGACCCATGTTAGTTTATTGTAGTTTACTTGGACTTATCATCCACATTTGGGGTAGAATTGCTGCATTTTAACAATGTGGATGAGTAGATAACTGATGTTTAATCTTTAAGGTACCATAGGTGAAAGACCAGTTTTGCAAGAGGCTAAATGAATTACCCTTCTGATGTGGTCCTGATGACATTCAGGATGGTGGATGAGGTTCTACAGAACATTTCTGAAACAACAGAAATCTATGCAGAAATCTATGCTGAAATCCATAGAAACACTCTTTGTCACTTCAAGATAAAATCCACATGTTCATGCCTTTCCAAAGAAGGAGGAGTGGCTCTAGGTTAAGGCTGAGTAGGTATTGTCCTAGAGGCATCAAATTTTAGGAGGCACCAAAATTGAAAAGACTTCTAAAAAAACAAAATAAAAAAGTTTAAAAGTGGTAACCGCTCACATTGTGAGTCACCGTGTTTGCTTGAGGATTAAATATAGTTCTGCAGTGTAAATAAGATATCAATGCCTAAGGAAAGAAAAAAATTGTCTGGGGCTGAAAATCATAAGGGGCTTGAAAATCTAAAGAAAGAAAGAAGCAAGAGGGTGCCCTTTTGAAATTCCTAACAACCAGAAGATGATCCAGACCTTAGGGGGAGCCAGAATAGAACTTTTCCTAGGGCACCAAATGTCTACAAGTGGCCCTGAAAAGAGGGAAAAGAAGCAATAAACTACAGGTAGTCCTCAACTTACAACACCTTGTTTAGTTATAGTTCAAAGTTACAACGGCACTGGAAAAAGTGACGTGAATATTTTTCAGTTACAACTTTTGCGACATCCACATGGTCATGTGATCAAAATTCAGATGCTTGGCAACTGCCTCATATTTATGACTGTCACAGTGTCCTGGGATCATGTGATCCCCTTTTGTGACCTTCTGTCAAACAAGTCAATGGGGAAGTCAGATTCAATTAACAACCATGTTACTAACTTAACAACTGCAGTTATTCACTTAACAACTGTGGCAAGAGAGGTTGTAAAATGAGGCAAAATTCACTTAACAGATGTCTCACTTAACAGTAATTCTGGATTCAATTGTGGTCGTAAGTCAAGGACTATCTATAAATAGTGGCAATTCAAAGTAAGTTCAATTGTAAGGAAAAAAATGGAAAACAATAATGCTTTTTTAAAACTATATAGTGCAGCCATATATAGAATACCTCTAGTTGTCCTAGAGCTCCAAGTATTTCAAAAGACATTAAAAATAATATTCTCTAAGGCATATGGCATTCTTTATCAATGGATATGATGATCTACCTTAGCTTCAATTAATATAATAAAGTATTAGGCACATTCACAGCAGGCAACAATTCTTAGTCATAAAGTTGAACTTCTACTGCTCCTGGAAATGGACAATGAATTTTTTTCAATATTCAAATTTAATTTTTCAGTTATTTTTCACAATACAAAATATATGAATCTTTGCAACTTTGAATTTTGCCAGCCGTGCCACTATTTTAATCCATGAAGTTTGGGCACAAAGCAATTCAGAACTAAATCCAACCAGCTGACATTATTTTGTTCAAGAGTTGAAAGAGATTAAGGGATTCTAGTACTCTAAAGGCCTTGGAAAACTGATGGCAGGGAAAAGAAAATGCTTTGGGAAAAGATATTCCATTGTGTGACAATTTTATTTTTGACATCTCAGGCTCAGAAAAAAACTGGCATTCCCCAAACTTTATTTATTAACAATAAAAAGTCACAAGTTATGAAAAAAAGTTTAGGGGAGTGTTCCTTAATAACTTCTGCTCATAATGAAATCAATTTATGGAAAGAACTCTAGCACTGCCTGTGAATCAGAAGACTTTTGTATTTTTATGACTGGAAAGACATTTTAGCCTCTCAGGATTAGCCTGGGTGATACTGTCTAGTTGGCTTCTTATTAATCTACTCCTAGAGGAATAATATATAGATCTATAACCCTGCAAGTTGCAGGCAGAATCAGAATTTGGTCAGGCCACAATACATTCCACGCGTCATTAGTTAACCAGTATCAAATAAGTTAAAGAACTCTAATTAAAAAATATGTCTCTTCTTTACATTATACATAATAGATGGTATGCATATATTTCCCATTTGATTAAAAAAGCACCTTAATTTAAAAAAATAATAAATCAAGAGCAACAAAGCTACTATTTAAAAAAAAAAAGAAGAATAGCACCATTTCTCTGCTCCAGCTGAAGCAGCCCACACACAAACAATCTACGCGTACATACACACACACTCCTATGGACATATGCACCCACAAGCAGCTGTGTTGCAGGCAGTACAAATGGCAGCAAGGTGATTCTCAAGTCACAGGTCACTGCCAGATGTATACCTAAGACCTTATGCATGATAAGAATGGCAGGGAGTCCAAACGGCTGCAACTCTTCTTCAGTACATTAGTTCTCCAAACTCACTTCAGCATTTATACTGTTTTGTTTCTATCCACTGTGCTATTAACTGCCAAAAGAAAGAGAGAGAGAGAGAGAGAGATGGTGAAACATCATGGAAAACTACAATATTCAGAACTATTAAAGGTGTGAAGGTGAAGGCACTTCATGGGATACTCTGTCAACAGCTCCTACCTGTATCTGCCTGGGGCTTGCAGTAAAGCTCACAGTCCTCTTTGGAGCTGAAGCGGTTGGAATTTCCTCCACAGCCACTGTAGATAAAGGGCCGACATTCCAATACTCTCTGGTTATAGTACCATTTTAGGGTTAATTTGCTGCATCCGCCTTCTTCCAGAGGCAAGGTGCACAGGTCAGCTGGGAAAAAAATAACAGTGAGGATGCAACAGGCCAAGGCATTAGTTTATCTAAGATGCAACAATGCTACTTTAGTTCCAGTAAGTAGACCACATTACCAGCTTGTTATTACTTCAAAAAATATATATCCAAGATTGCCAGCTAGTGTATATAGGACTTGGGTTAAACCATAGCCCTTCCCATAATTGGCTCCAGGCTTTCCCCAGAGATAAGCAAGGGGCCCTCCCAACTTGCATATAGTATTATAACGCAGAAAATGCATTCATCCTCTTATGCCTTTGGTCCTAAATGACTGAAGGTGGGCACTTGTTTTACTATTTATGTTTACATTTAAAAAAAGAAGAAATATTCTTGTTATTTTGTTTTCCTGCTTTTGTTGAAAACCACTTCGAGTTTTAGCAATTGAGATAATCTAAAAATATCGTAAAATAATTACCTAATATGTAAAAGGAATAGCTTATAACAAAATTATCCTTTGTGTAAAAACCCTGATTGAGTATCACTCCTTTTAACCACATGGAAGCATCCATCTAATTTTCTTTGTAACAGTATGGACATGGTTTTTCATTGCCCATCCATGGGATTGTTTTGAACTTCTTCCAATCTAAACCAGAATGCCTAAAGCAGGCCTGTCAAACTGGTAGCCAGTGGGTTGGATATGGCCCGCAGAGGCCACACCCCACTCCGGCTCTGCAAAGGCAAAAAATGTCGCGATATGATACTGCCCGCGATGCGATCAGGTTTGACACCCCTGGCCTAAAGTGTTTGATGTGTCCCAGATTTGATCTGCTTAACTTTTTCAAATTCAGCCAAGGCCAACAAGATAGGGTAGATTTAAAGCCATTACTTATTTCATAGAGGTTACCAAGTAGTCTATGAATGATTGCACTTTTATTAATCACTTCCACAAGTTTCAAAAGGATTCCAACCTTTCACTATCAACAGAGAAAACCACAGGCATGCGCCAATCCTTCAAACACATCAGAGACTGATGTAACTCACCATCCCTCAACATAGGACTCTCCGTTCCGTCTGCTACCAGGCCCTCTTCATAGTCTTCCTCTGTGTAGATATACTCATACTCAGGCCTGCTCGCTTTCAATATGTTTCGTTCCTGGCTCCCTAAAAAACAGAGATGGCTGATTCAAAAAATCTCAGGTGAGGAAGACTTGATGAGAAAGAAGGAACAACAAATATATTGAGTCCATGAGATAGGGCCCACTCACAAATAATATGTCAAATACAATAATATAACATCAAAAAGAAACATAAAAATTCAGAAAAAATAAGCATCAAGCCAATTGAAATTTTCAGTATTGCCCATTCTACTGTATTATGAACCAGCCACAGCTTCTGAGTGATTTTCAAAGGTGCTTCCAGATGATTCCAGGGCACTATAAATTATGAATGTCAATTAGCTTGATGGCTATTTTTTTCTGCATTTTTATGTTTCTTTTTGATTTTATATTATTGCATTTGACATATTATTTGTTATATTTTATCTGTTGCATTACTAAATTACTCATTACTAAAGAAATGAATTGAGCAATATTACATTACCACAACTTATTATTTCCCCTTGCTTTTATCCAGAGTTGGGATTCACTTACCTTCCCTACCAGTTCGCAAATGTGAGCACACAGGCCTCCTCTGCGCATGCGCACAGCCTTCCGCACATGCTCTTTGCTCGCACATTACATCCGGGCGGATGGGCAGAGCCTCCCACAGTCGTCACTACCGGTTCACCCAAACTGGACAGAACCAGCTGAATCCCACCACTGCTTTTACCTATAGAATAGTATATGCAATCCCCCTTCCTTTTCATAAGCTATTATAGCAATAGCACTTAGACTTGTACAATGTTTCATAGTGCTTTATAGCACTCTCCAAGTGGTTTACAGAGTCAACATTGTGTCTCCAACAATCTGGGTCCTTATTTTGTTCCAAGTAAAACAAAGCTAATCATACCCTGCCTCTTGTTTCCAACAGAAAAATAGATTGTCAAATTGATAACGCCTGGCTTGCAAAGTACACCTTACTTTGGAATTCCTAAGTGGACTGAAAGGAAAGGTGAAAATACTTAATTGTTGCAAGGAAAGTGTGACAGCAAACATTTTATGCATAATAACATCAAGAAGCGTACAATGTGTGCAAGGGAAAAAAAGGAAAAAATACTAAGAAACAAGACTCACCTTCCTCTTCCTCAGCATGAGACAGTTTAAGCACAGGGATTATTTGACCTTTAACAGATGGGTATGGGTGGGTGGATGGATCATTGGGGAGATTACCTGGGAAGGAGAAGCCACAATGCAAACCTAAATAGGCACATAACTGCCATAAAAATAATTGGCACATATTTGACCTCCCCACCTCAAGAGAAGAAGCTTCCAGCCAAAGTTCAAGAACCCTCAGAAAACATATTTCCTTTTGAACTTTTCTATAAAAGTTAAATAAAGGTAAAGGTTCCCCTCACACATATGTGCTAGTCGTTCCTGACTCTAGGGGGTCTTGAGTCTGTTTCAAAGCCGAAGAGCCAGTGCTGTCCGAAGACGTCATGTGGCCAGCATGACTAAACACCAAAGGCACATGGAATGCTATTACATTCCCACCAAAGGTGGTCCCTATTTTTCTACTTGCATTTTTACATGCTTTCAAACTGCTAGGTTGGCAGAAGCTGGGACAAGTAAAAGTTAGTGAGCAATAATTATGTATGTAGAGAGGAGAGAGTTCTCAAATAAAGCTGATATAATCAGTAATACAAAAATCATATCCTGGATATCAGAACAGTCTTTATGGATGAATTTTAAGCTGTCTTTGAATGGAAAAATATTGGATGCAGGCAAATCTGAGTGGCTAAAAACACTACACTAATGCACAATGCAGGCCTCTTGGTTAGTACAATTGGAATGTTTTAAACTTTAAAATTTAAAGTTAGTGAAACAAATAAGCACAACACACTTATTCTCCAAAGTTTGCATCTGTTGTCATTACTGATTGAAAGAATACTGATTTCATGCATAATCATAGGTGGTAAATATTTGTAAACAGTTCACATCTTCCTATACAATAGATAAGCTCCCTCTGCTTTCTAAGCCATCTGTGCTGCTAGAGACCTGAACGTCTACGGAGTTATTTTTTCTTCTGCTTGCTGCATGCATTTCTCATGCACCTGTTTTCCTTCCTCCCTCCCTTCCTTCTTTCCTTGTTTCCCCCTCCCTTCCCCCAGAGATTGGTTGCCAATTTTTCTAGTCTGATAATTACTGTAATTCCCCAGATGCAATGTTGTATTTCAAACTACAAAATTATGAATTTCAATTCTTTTGTCACCAAACTAAGTCTAAAGTAAAAGACTTGGAAATGGAAATATGAATCTTTGTGGAGCACTGAAAAAGCAGGGTTAGCAAGAAGATCTAAAACTCAAAGCAAAAAAATAGCAAAGATAGGATGGTTACTTAACCTTCTTTCAGTTGTAACTTTCCCTTAATTACTACTATCTACTGTTGTCTTTTACGTGCACGAATGCCATGGTAGGTTAGAGGGCAGGGTAAAGTGGCATTCCTACTCTTCTATTTCACTCCTCACAATAATCATAATACTTTTCAGATGTGTGGTAGAGAGAAAGGTCTCACAAACATCTATTTTAATCTTTAAAACATATAATTCAGTTTCCAGGTCCTCTTTCTAAAATCAGTTTGCCTGACTGCTTCATAATATTGTGGTCATGCTGAATGAGAGCTTTAAAACAGCTAAAGAAACAAATAAATAAATAGTAAATATCAAAGACAGGATGGAACCTTTTTCTAGACAAATATGATTTGCTCAAATGAAAGAAAGAAATCAGAATGGGTTAGATGCCAGGACTCAATAGCATAGCTATGATAGAGAAAGAAAGCCATCCATCCAGAGAATGTTTACTTCCTCGTCTCATTCGATTGAATCTGTATTCCTGAAATGTTTTACATATCTGGTATATTTGGGAGTGATATATTGAATACCTCTTTATTAATGTCTCAGATTACAAGAACTACAGAAAGGAAGACAATTAGAAAATACTTACGCCGTTCAGAAACAGAGAACTGGCTTCCACAAGCTGAAATGAAAAACAAAGAAACAATCCATTCATCAGGACACTCATTTTGTGATAAGACTGTCCAGCAGTTTTAAAACAGAAATACAATTTTAGGTCGGGGATAAGGGTCACTATTTTTTTCAGAGGAATTTCGTGGAAGCTGGAGTTTTGTTGCAATTTTAATGCCCCAACTTTTTATAACCAGGACGATACAGTAGATGTCCTGATATCTTCTTTCAGGTCCAACTTGCATCCTATTGCTTAGATCAATGTTTCTCAATGCTAGCAACTTTAAGATGTGTGGACTTCAACTTCATGTTGGCTGAGGAATTCTGGGAGTTGAAGTCCACACATCTTAAAGTTGTTGACGTTAAGAAACAGTAGGTTAGACTGACGCAATTAGGGCTGTCAGTAGTTTTTCAGTTCATGTCGTGGTTTCTTTTGACTTTGATTTGTGCAGTTCAGGTTCTCAATAATTTGTTCTTTCTCCATAATGGTTGGGGCACACAAAAAGAACTTAGCTATAGATAGTTTTTAGTAACCTAGATTTTCCTATCATTATGTTTGTTCCTGAATAAAGTTCACACAAGTATCAGCCTCAACAGTACTTTCTTACAAGTTACAGTTTGAGGATTTTTCTTTACAAACATTATTCGTCCTGCGAAAAACTTCATGTTTGACTTCCCAAACTATTTTCCCTAGGGATATTTTTTTCCTCAGAAACATCTACCTATGGGACAGTACTTTGAAAAGCCCTGGAGTAAACAGTGTAACATCCAAAATCCTCCCCACTGCTGCAAACATATCTGCAATTTCCCCAGTAAGCACACATCCAGTTAAAAAAAGATGAAATAGATCCTAACCCCAGATTTCTAACCTACTGAGTGATTTGGATAAAATAGCATATTCCTAAACAGAGCATATGAAAAGCACCAAGCATAGCCGTTTCATTGAATAACCATGTTTTAGCACCATCCAGGGCAGCTATGAGTTGAATTCAGTGGTGAAATCCAAATTTCTTTACTACCGGTTCTGTGGGCGTGGCTTGGTGGGTGCAGTGTGGTGTGGCTTGGTGGGTGTGGCTTGGTGGGCGTGGCAGGAGATGGATACAGCAAAATATCCATTCCCACCACACTCTGGGGCCAGCCAGAGGTGGCATTTACTGGTTCTCTGAACTACTCAAAATTTCCACTACCGGTTCTCCAGAATCTGTCAGAACCTGCTGGATTTCACCCGATTGAATTGTTTACAAAAAAATAAGAATATGGATATGAAGAATCTAGAGGGAAAATGGCAGGGCTGAAGGGTCCAATTAGCCTTAGGGGAGGCCTTACCACAATGTTGACTCATCTCTTGCCTGACAAATTGGCGGACTTCTTCTTCCTGCAAAAAAGCACAAAGCAAATAATACTGAATTAATTGCTCTTCATTCATTCATTTATTTATTGAGTGCAGATATCCCACCCACAATCCAAATGGACTCTCAGCAGTTAATTATAAAGCAATAATATTGTATTTATTTATTAGACTTATAGTCTAATATTACTTTACTTTATGACTATTTATCTACTACATATATATTATGCACCATTACCCAGGCAGCTTAGAAATAGCAACAAAACTTTAAAAAACCATTAAAAAATAATAAAAACTCCCACTGTCCCCCTCAAACTCAAGGCCCAGGAGCCAGATCCGGCCTGTGGAGTGCTTAGATGTGGCCCGCAGGCCGCCCCCCCTGTAAACAGCGAAGGACCAACCTGCGGTGCCTCTGCCAGTGAAAACGGAGCTCATGAGGGCTCCGTTTTCAACCGTGATGGCCTCCTGCAGACCTCTGCCAACAAAAATGGAGCTCAGGGAGGACACGCACAGCCCGCCTAGGCTCTGTTTTTGGCCGTGACAGTGTGTGGCCTCCCCGAGCTCCATTTTCGCTGGCAGAGGGCTGCAGGAGGCCGTTGTGGCCAAAAACGGAGCCTTGAGTGATGTCGAGTTGGCCACGCCACCGGACACTCCCCCCAGCCCATCGAGGTCAAACACAACCCTGATGCGGCCCTCAATGAAATCGAGTTTGACACCCCTGCCCTAAACAATACCCCCCCCCGTCAATATACAACTTTACTAAGCTCCAGTCTCACTGTACCACAAAGCTTGTGGGAAGAACCAGGTCTTTAATGCTTTCTAGGAGAGGAGGGTAGGGGTCTGCTGAATCTCAAGGAGAAGGTATTTCAAAGGGCAAGGTCTGCTCTCAAGCCAGCACTGTGTCTAGGCCTCCTATAAATGTGGGAAATAATCCTTTCCATTTTCTTCATCAAAACCTTCCAAAGCAGCATCCAGGTCAAAGCAAAATACAAAAGAGAGACTTATAAAAGTCTGGAATGTGAGCAATCAACTAGAGTGCTTAATTAATTGTAATTTTTTGTAAAGGAAAAAAAAACTGCTGCTGCAGCCACCTAAAACAAATTTAGGAATACACAAATCCCAATCCTGTCTCAGGATTCTGATTCAGAATGTTACTAGGCTTCAGTTTCATTCACTGGTAGAAAGCTGGCAAAAACAATAAACAAATGTCCTCAAGCCAATGTATTGGAAAGGCCTTTTCCCTCACCGTCATGCCAGATACTCCTTTTTCTCCTCTTAAGCCATCAAGTCCTGGACTTCCCTGTCAACATGCAAACAAATAACCAAAGTTATTAAAGCATTTGGAGCTGAAAAAATATGCTCATTTGGAAGAATATCTGAGATACATATTTTCATTTATTTAAAAAGTGTGTATATGATTTATAAGTAAAATTGGATAACAACAAAAGCAAATGAGTTTGACATCATTCCGATTTAGACTGGTTTCACACCAAAGGCTAAGCCATGAATTATTACATAAATCACAATAGGTTTAAATAGTATGCCCAACCATAGTAAATCTTCTGTCAAACTGGATGGCCATCAATGAATATGTGAACCTAAGAGTTTCTGGTCAATTTATTTAGAACAGTCAAACTATAGCATAACCAGGACATATTTGGAAATATATTCAAGTATATCCAAGTAGCTGTTGAGTTAAGAGTTTGCTCCTACCCCCCTTAATTTCTGAAATAGGGAGGGAGGGAGGGAGGGAGAAAGCATTCTGGTAGGTAAAGATAGTTCACAATGTGTTTACAAACCTGTTCTCCTCTTTCTCCAGTTATGCCTGGTGGTCCTGGAGCTCCTACAACTCTCTCACCAGCAGGGCCTCTTTCACCCTATAAGAGGAAACCAAGCACATCTATCATATCATCACATAGGATCTTCAAAGTGGAATCATTTCATAGGGCCAGACACCCCCTCTAGCCCTTCCTTACTTTCTCCCTCCCTCCCTTCCCAGAAACAGTGTTTTGAAGAGGTACATTTTATCAACCTGTACCACTGTGTACCACTCATGTTGAATAATGCTAATGATGTTAGTGATGATATATCATAATACCAACGGTCTCTGGGTTATTTTTGACACTTAATGGTTTTGTTTAATTTTAGGTTTTATTGCTTTCAATACAGCAATCTGCCTTGTTTCTGTTTCTTGGAAGAAATGGAAAAGAAGAAAATAAGTTAAGAAAAATGGGTTTAAAGTTAGGGACTGCTACTTTTTAAAAAGAACTGAGATTAGTATGTTATGTGCCTTTGTGTAGAAATGATTCGTAAATTCAAAGTGCTCTGGATTAGCAGCACCTGTTCAAGGAGCAGATGACAGCTGTGACTCACATGGCTTTGCAGTTACAGTTATAACCAGTTCTAAACTGGGGGGGGGGCTCTTCATACAGCTGCTCACGTCTCAATCATCTCCCATTTGCATGACTCCACCCTATGCAGGCTGCCCTTGAAGATCCCTTGGAAGCCTCATCTGATCCAGAGAGCAATGGCTCAAGCATTGATGGTCTTCCATGTAGCACCTATACGTCGAGAGCTACACTTTGCCCAGGATATCATTAACCAAGAGCCTAAGAATCTACCTCCTACTAAAGGTTGGCATAGAGCAGGCTACTAAAGGTTGGACTTGAATGTTAGTTGGATTATGTCCCACCCCTAAAATGGAAAGGAATGACCAAAAAAAAAAAAAAAAAGGAAAACACAAAGCACAGTCCAGCCATCCTGTTCTTTTGTTGAGATTAAAATGCAATATTTGCTTATTATTTGATTACAAGAAGCACCAGGACACAAAATCTTATATCAGGCAATTCTGCACAGGATAATCTATAACAGCGATTCTCAAGCTTAGCAATTTTAAGACACATGGACTTCAAGTGCCAGAATTCCCCAACCAGCCATTTTGGCTGGAGAATTCTGGAAGCTGAAGTCCACACTCTTAAAGTTGCCAAGGTTGGGAAACCTTGACCTAGAGTATTGACAATAATGATCAAATAGTCCAATGGTGAATACTCACTTTCTGCCCTTGAATTCCTTCTGGACCTTTGGGGCCAATGTTGCCAGGTGGACCAGGAGGCCCAGGGGGTCCATCATTTCCCACAGGTCCTGGGGAACCTATAATCCCTGGAGTACCCTACCAATAGAGATTTGAAGAATTCTTACATAGAGATTTCACTTGTGAAGAAATTTAATTATCCTGCTTCTGCATGGATCAATATTCTGCTAACTTGGTTGGAATGTAGGAGTTTGTATAGAATTAGAATAGAATTTCTTTTTGAACATCTGATTAATTTTTGCAGAATGGAGTATTTCAATCTTGTTAAAATTGTTTCTAAATATTTAAAAACAACAATTTTCTTTTTATTGTAACGTATTTTTGCAAAAAAATATTTGAGGACAACTGTTCAAGATAATTTTAGCTTTTGTCAATCCTGTTGAATTTTTCTGATTTCGGCAGAAAACTATACGTAAGGAAAAGTAATCTCAATTTAGTATCTCTATGAATCCAGTAAGAAGGATTATATATATAAATACTCATTTATGACTTCTTTGAGAGGTGTTGAGCCACAGTGGTGCCGTGGTTAGAGTGCAGTACTTCAGGCTACTTCTACTGACTGCCGGCTGCCTGCAATTTGGCAGTTCAAATCTCACAAGGCTCAAGGTTGACTCAGCCTTCCATCCTTCCGAGGTGGGTAAAATGAGGACCCAGATTGTTGGGGGCATTATGATGAGACTGTAAACCACTTAGACAGGGCTGTAAAGCACTGTAAAGCGGTATATAAGTCTAAGTGCTATTGCTATCTCCTTTATTGTGTAATTCAATAAACCAGGTTTACTGTTACTGTTACTTATACTTTTACTATTACTTATTATATTATCCTCATTATGCACATAAGCCTAGATCTGTTTTAAAAGGTAAAGTCCTGGCAATCTTCCCAAAAGCAGAAATCTTATAACATGTAAAGTTCTTAACTGAGGTTGCACAACGAATAGGGTTAAAACAGTTTCTGCATATGTTTCTCTAATGATGAATAAACATACAAGTGGACCATTTTAAAATTTTGGAAAACTAATTATGTTATGAAAATTAAACTGCAAGGTTTCAGAGGATATGTTATCAGCACAATTAATTTAAACTGCTTTTTAGAACGTTTCAACTGGAGCAAGTAAAAGTTCAAAGACACATAACTCTGATATGAAGATGTGTTTTTGAGACTAATAAAATGATTATGAAAGAATTCCAGCAACTGCTATGTATTAAATACAAGCCCTAATTATAATGAAATCAAGGTTTCAAACTATTATGTTTTGGGGCAGGAAGAATAATTCCACCTGTTTTGCTATGGGACAAGTTTGGTTACAAACATTTCTCCTATTGTGAGAACTGGCCCTCAAAGGGATTGAAATCTAGGCAATTTGAAGTAGAAAACCAAAATATTTATTTTTTTATAGGTGAATTTCTATTGCTCTGACTGCAAATTAAATGGGTGAATTCATCCAAAGTAAGGATTTTATTTATTCATTTATCTATACCCGTATCTAGATATATCATCTATTTCTATTTATCTCTATAAGTACAGCTTTTAAAAGCATGGCATTTCACTGAATTTCAGATCTTTAAAGTATACAGATGTTATTGTATCAATTTGTTTTTTCATTACTCTTAAGTGAAAGAATAGCACACCCTTTCCCCCTTTTTTCCCTGATCGCCTCTGGATCCTTTCTGGCCGTCAAATCCTCTGTCACCCTATGGGGAAAATAAATAAATATATAAATGGTGAGATCTGTATAGAAGTAAATCATGTAGTCATATTCCACTCCCCCACCCAGTGTGTGTATGTGTGTTTATGTATGCATGTGTGAGTATGTGTATATGTATCTTACATATGCAAAAAAAAAAAAAAAAAGTTTACTTCATGGTAAAAAAATTCATAAAGGCTGATTTATTAGTGATTGGTTGAACCAATCAAAATGGAGACAGCACCATTCCCAACTCCTCCCCAAGTTAAAATCTTACATAGACAACAATATTGCAAGGCAACCCCAATCTCTGAACTGTAGGTGCTAAGGAAGCCTCTCTGGGATGTGGGAAAAGTCATTCAGAAACACACATACACCCCAACAATACTTCAGTACTGATCTACTGACACTTTGTATATACTAAGTATGTACATCAAATCTGGGCTGCCTCTATTCCCCCAAAATCCACAGTACGAGCATCTTTGACATCAGCCATTAAGCTCCTTAGAGTTATGTATATTTCGTTTGTGGTGCTAGCATTTACTTTTCTTCCCATATAAGCTCATTACTCTATATCAGTGTTTCTCAACCTTGGCGACGTGAAGAAGTGCAGACTTCAATTCTCAGAATTTTCCAGTCAGCTTTGCACTATAGTATTCTATGATGTATTTTTACTACGTTATTATATCATCTATTCATTATTCTATACCTTTGGACCAATGAGGCCTTCCTTCCCAGGGATTCCTGGTATCCCAGGCATGCCAATCTCTCCCTAGGAAAACAAAACAAAAGGTATAGGCTTTTCTGTCCAAATATATGGGCAGCTCTACTGCCCCATTAAAAAAAAAGTTGAGATACTTACAGGATCACCCTTTTTTCCAATAAGGCCCATTCGGCCTGGTAATCCCGGCTCTCCCTAGAACAGAAGGGAAAAATGTTTAGTTGGAAAGAAGAAGGCAAAAGAAAATGTAGACATCAATATTGCAATAGGCTTAGTGAAGGTCTTTGCTATGATAAAGATTCTCCAAGTTATTATATATCTATCCCAGAACAGATTATGAAAATGTCCAGAATTCTAAACATGTCCAGAATTCTGCCCTTAAGAAGGAGAGTCTTTTATGTAACCTGAGGGAAGCTGGTGGAAGAAAAAAATATATTTATTTTTTACTGTTGATTTCAATTCTCTCTTCAGAGGGCTGTATATTTTCAATTCTCATCTTCCATTATGTTTTTTTTTTACAATATTCCAAATTATCATTATCCACCTTAAAAACAAACAAAAGTTATCTTCTCAAAAAGCAAGTGGACAGAATAGCATTCGATATAGCCAAATATCCCTGCCCCAATTTATTTATAGAAACAGAGGCACTCCAATTTTGACCACAAATCAGGAAGATAAATAAGAGGAGATAAGTTCTCACCTTGCCTCTGATTTGTTTCATAATTTGAAGCATATTTCTGTCAGCCTTGCTCAACAGAAGTTGGGGACAGAAAGATGGATCCAAAAGAGGTAAGGTAAAATAAATAATACATAATTCAACTCCCTTCTTTTAGTCTCTACTTTTGAGATTAAATTAGATCCTTTAAATATGTGATCAGGACAGTCTTGTGAACAGTTGTGGCATGGGACCAAATCTGACTCTGATGCTAACAACATTGCTGTAACTGAGTTTGTAGATCGTCAGCTTCAGGAATCATCAAACCATGATTAATCTGAGGATGATCAACTTCAGACATCTCCCGATCAGCTGGAGCAATCGGACGATGAGGTACAACCCCCAAACCCCGGGTCTTGAAACATACATCAGTGAGCAGAACAAGGGTACTCAATGAGGCTCTTTGCTAGGCAAAGGGCAAGGCCTGAGTAATCACAACCAGCTGTTTGCAGGTAGATTTATGTTGCTACTTTGTCTTCAGTCTTCATTGGTTGTTTGGAATTCCAATTAAAGACTTATGTTCCTATGTTTTCTTGCTCTTGAATCCTTGAGTACTGGACTGGCAGACTATTCCATTTGCCTCATTTGACTCCTGGAATGAATTTGAACCATGCTCTTGGTACTTGAGTTTCAAACAGAATTATTCAGGCAAGCACCCTTTGCAAAGACCCTGATTTATAACTTTGTCTATTGTTACTTGCCTAGTTGTAGTAAATAACTCTATTCTGTGTCTGCTCCCATCATATCAGTGCGGTCAAAAAACCTAGTAACTGAATTCTCTTCCCAACACTCATATTCACTGGCATGTAAGAAATGCTTTGCAAGTTCCTCTTAATTGAACAAACAAGGAAGTGTTTATGAGCCATTTCATATATTTGTTTATCAGACCCAACATTGCCTTATAATTTATGTGAGTTCATAAAAATGATTCTAAGGTCAATATATAAGTGCCACTCAATGTGTTCCCAGAATTCTTCCATTGCACACATTTGCCAGTGTGTTCTAAATACAATGATAGCCAGAAATTTCCCATAGAGAGCACCGCTGGAAAAATAATCACTGAAGAGATGTTCATACCAGTCTCCTCTTGCATACACAAATTTTCTTGGCCAAGTGGTCCTAAGTAATACTTTGCATCTTGGTCATCAAGGATATATTCAAGCAAAGATGCATTTCTTTTCTAAATCCCTACTATTGGTGGCTTCTTTTATCAGTGTATAAGATGTAAGAACCATTCTGTTTTATAAAAAAAATTCTGCTTCTTTGCCTTAATGTCTGTCAAAGTATTTTACTTCTTCCCCAAGCAATCTTTTTAGTTTTTACTTAATGTCTCATAATGCAAAGAAATCAAAGAGTAAATCTGGCAATCACCTTCTCACCCTTATCTCCATCTTGGCCACAGGCTCCTTTCATTCCTCGATCACCCTGTAACAGATATAAAATGAGCACCTCAAATAAATGTAACATTGATGCGCATCCCCAATTATTAATTGTACTTATTTTTAGAATTTTTTTTCTAAAAACATGAAGAGAGGAAAAGCAAAGAAACAAAAACCCCTACTCGAATATAACACAAGCAACATTAAAAAAGCAAAAACTACTGTGACAATTAATAAAACAATACTCTGAAATCCATAAGAAATTGGTAAGATAAAGGCCTGATTAAAAAGATTGGAACCTCTGTCCAAGTTTTTATCTCCTATGAAATATGATGCAAACTGGCATGCAAAGATCTAACCTCCTTGTCAATATAAGGGATAGGCTGCTCTTTTTGCAGTTAAACCTAATAGCGATAGCAATTACTTACAGTATGTACTACTTCATAGTGCTTTTACAGCCCTCTCTGAGTGGTTTAACAGAATCAGCATATTGCCCCCAACAATCTGGGTCCTCATTTTACCAACCTCGGAAAGATGGAAGGCTGAGTCAACCTTGAGTCAGTGAAAATCGAACTGCTGGCAGTCAGCAGAAATAGCCTGCAGTACTGCATTCTAACCACTGCACAACCGCGGCACCAATGCTTTTGTGTAGCTTCTAACTCCATCATATAAGTAGCTCTTTTCTGAGCTAATGTGCTCCTCTCTTTTGATACCTTCCCTGCATCAGCTTCACAAATCTTTGTAACAGAGATCAGTACCATATGACCCAGAGGGAATCTCTTAAATTTATAAGAAGATAAAAATAACCATGGTAGATCGCACCTTTGGGCCTCGCATTCCAATAGGTCCCATTTCTCCTTTCTCCCCTCTGGTTCCAGGAATACCATCCTTCCCAGATTGACCCTGGAGAAATAAAGATGAAGGCATTGTGATTCTCTGACATGGAACTGCACAATTGTAGGCAGAAACTGCAACACATAAAAAGCACTCACCGGCTCTCCTGGTTCTCCTGATTTACCAATTTCTCCCTATGTAAAGGAAAACAGCCAGTATATAAATACCTGATATGAAAATGAAACCATCCAACCATTCATGCAACCATGAATGAAGAAATAATCTCTTACCTTTTGCCCACTGGGTCCTCGTGCACCGGGGAAGCCTGTGGATCCTTTCTCACCTTGTTCACCCTTTACTCCCTAAATTAAAATTGCAAATTACAGACAAACATGAGTGCCAGATCAAGAGAGAGAGAAATAAATGCCTATCCTGTGCTCAAGAAAAAAAAGAAAGTATTCATAATTATTCCATGCTGTAAGCAGAGTTCTCCTTCATATGAAAGTTGACATAATGCTTTCAGTGGATTCTCTATTGACTTGTGCTCTTGTATTCCAGTAAGTTCCTATTGTTTTGGTAGATGGATGGACTAGATACACTTAAATATAGAGACTGCCTTTTTCACTAGTGATCTACACATACAGTATTCATATAGTTTGATAAATATCTGGCAACATGCAGATTTTCATAACTCAGAAACACAACGAGCAAACAGAAAACTCTGCAGCAGCAACAGAACTGTCGGGAGCTACAGAGAGTGGGTGTCAACTTTGAAAAGGCCTAAAGATCTAATTTTGCCTTTTGACCATGATCCCCCCCTCCAATGAAAAAAAGTTACAAAATTCAGCTATGGCATTTGAAAATGCAGGATGAAAAGTTTCAATTTGGAATGCTTTCAGGTGATGTACAGCGATCACACTGACCTTACCAACTTCCTTCACTCTAACTATCTTCTGCACTCTAATACAGGTACTGGTTCCTTTAGCCCTCAGTGCCTCTAGAGTGTGCAGGATTTTTAGGAAGAATTTTAGCTCTTTTGATAAGCCAGCATCTTCCTTTATCTGTGCAGGATACATCAATACTTGGGCCTTTGTCTGCTCTTTTACTTGCCTGGCACAATCCAAATTCCTCGCCTATTGTGATAAATGCAACCCAAAGATCTGCCCCTGTACCTTCTCTCCAATGATTCCGTGATCTCCTTTGTCACCCTTCTCCCCTTCCATTCCTTTTAGGCCACGTTCTCCCTAGAAAAATGCAAGAGAAAAAAAATACTTTTTAAATAATTAATGAAAGTGGTTATGGTTCCAGGATAAACACTGGGAGATTGTGAGTTCTAATCCTGCCTTGGGCACTGAGCCAGATAGGTAGCCTTGGGCCAGTCACTTTCTTTCAGCCCTCAAAAAAAAAAAAAAGCAATGGCAAAGCACGTTAGGAAAAGCTTGCCAAGAAAACTGCAAGGACTTGTCTAGGCAGAATCAGACACAATTGAGTGGAAGGGGAAAAAATCATTGACAAGAGAATCAAAAACAAAGTAGAAGCACTATTATGAAAGAGCATCTGGATTGATTTTTAAGAAGTATATAAAAATATATATATATATTTTTAAAAAAAGAAGAGCGATGCAAGCAATGCAACAGAAATTAAGAGTTTTTATTTATTTATTTATTTATTTTATTTTATTCGGCTTATATGCCGCCCTATCTCACAATGGACTCACAACAATAAAACACAAGCCACAATATAAAATAAAGACCAAAATCTAAAAAAATTTAAAATTAACCCTTAAAACCAATTAAAACCTTTTATGTGTCATATTACTTACTGGTTCTCCTTTGTTCCCTCGGAGACCTGCTGGGCCTTCCACAATGACAGTATCTCCCTATGATTGAGAAAATATAACAATCAAGAAGGATCTAAATACTCCAATTGTTTAGTTTCCATTTCTGCGCTGAACTAATACAATTTTTCTGTAATGCAAACATCAACTGTTCCATAATAAAATATTTTATTTGAAACATGGCAAAAACCAACCCATAAACCAATTCTGAGAAAAGTAATCAATTATCTCACAGCTAAGAAATGATCAGGGATTCATATCATAATTTCTGCTGGTCCTACCTGGAGAGACCCAGGACTCAACCTTGCAACTTTTGCCTGCAAAATCTGTGCGTGGTTGAGTTTGAATGCCTTCTTCCTTCAAATAATGCAGGTATAGATGCTGGCTTGCTTTGAAGAGTTTATTCATTCATTCATGTATTTTCTAAGGCTTGCCAAGCAAGTTTATTTTGCAACTGCCTAGGTATCACCAGCTAATGCAACTTAATCTTTCCAAAACTGGGATACTTACTTTGTCTCCTTTCAGCCCCATAAGCCCAATGTCGCCCTAAGAGGAAAAAAAAAGTATAATTATAAATTAATTTACATAATTTATTATTGTCAATGATCTAACACTCTTGGATCAGTTAGATTATAAATATACAGATGGTTAATATTAAGGATAATAATTATAATGCATGGCACTCCACAGCAGAAAGTTAGATAATAGGCCCTTGCTTCCAGGAATCTACAGAGTTAGACTTTGATAGGGATATTTTGAAAACTCATCTGATTTCACTGTGGCCTGGGTGCTTGCTTATAAATGAGCCAATTTATTATGAGGACTAGATAAGTGATGTAAGGGAAAGGGGACACTGGAATTATGGATATTTTACAGGCTGGTTCTTTGTCTATCCCCAAAGGTGTTTTGACAGAATTCAGTTTTGCAGCATAACAGGTGCTTGGCAACAGGAAATGCCAGAAATTTAGTTACTTCTTCACTCATTCCAAAGCTAGAACTATATTAATAAAATGATTTTATTTTTCAGTGTTAGAAATAGGACAGAGCAGGAAGATTCTATTCCTCCTAGTAACTGTCCCACCCCATTCTTACTTACTTTGTCACCTCTCTCCCCTCTGTTTCCAGGAGGGCCCTAAAGACAAAATAGAATGCTTAAATGCAAAATGCTTATGCTTAAAACTAAACAAACAGAGGAAAGAAGATTGAATGAGATATTTACAGCAGGCCCTCGATCTCCCTCCAGACCTGGGCGCCCATCTTCACCCTGAGGAAAGACAAATAAAATATTGACATAGAACAAAAGAATAACAGAGGCAGGGAGGGGGACAACTGTGCATCAAGTTAAAGCTGACAATTTCCCATAAAACTCAGCCAGCTGATAAATCCCAAAATGCCACACTAACACTTATATTAAACTTTGCAGTCCTTTTCTGAATAGAGAAATGCTTTTATGAAGAATGGCTTCTGAATATTTTAATAATATAATATAATTTGTCCAAAATTATATTGGGAGGTAGAATCTCTAATCAATCTTAGTTCACAAAAATCTAGATATTTAATCCTTTGCCTTAATAGGAGGAAAAGCCAGATATTACAGTACGGCTAAATATATTCTGCTTCGGACCATGCAAAATCTAGCAGTTAGTTCTGTGCACTCCTCTTTTGTTGTTGGTCAAATATGATTAGAATTCCAGCATAAGAGTATGCAACACATCATGTTTCAAACCTTCGGGCTTTGATTTGTCAAAGTTTCTCTTCTAGTTTGAAACAGTTCTTTTGAGTGAGAAACGGATTGCCTTCGAAAACTTAAGTAATTTTCAGAGCTGAAAACTGTGTGAACTTTGGAATACTCCATCTCCATCTCAAAAAAAAAGAAAAAAGAAAAAAAGGCTATCTTGCACTCAAATAAATTTAATTTTGAAATGAGGAGTTTTATGAAGTTTTGCATTCAAACAATTCAAAGCAAAATATTTTACACACCCATACCTTGCAATGTCACTATGTCTAGATAATGATGTTAAGATAGTTCCAGAGTCAGTGTAAAATACCTACCCGAGTTCCAGGATCTCCTCGTTCTCCTCTAGGTCCTGGTTGTCCAATACCTATGTCCCCCTAAAAAGCATAATATGACAAAGGAAAGCTTATCAGTAGATCCTGTTGCTTGCCTTCAGAAGTTGTGGGAACTTCATCACTTGAGACTTTCAAGAAAAGATTGGACTGCCATTTGTCAGAAATGGTATAGGGTCTCCTGCTTGAGTGGGGGGTTGGACTAGATGACCTATAAGGTCCCTTCCAACTCTGTTAATCTGTTAAATATTTTCAGCATCTTTCTTGAATAATTTTTAGACACATAAGCTTTATCAAAATTGAATGAGGAAAGGAAAGGAAAGGAAAAGGAAAAGGAAAAGGAAAAGGAAAAGGAAAAGGAAAAGAAAAAGAAAAGGAAAGGAGATATAGCCCTCTAGAAATAATAGTTATACTATATAGTAGAGGTTCCTTATAATTCCTTTAATCTCTTTATATTTTGAGGGTTAAAACTCCATTTATTAATAGTGAATGCAAGAAATGATTGATTGTAGAATGAGCAAAAATTAGAATAAGCTATCTTGGAGAAACAAATGTGATTACCTTGTCACCCTTTACTCCTGGAGTGCCTGAAGTACCCTACAATAAAGCGATCATGAGAGAATAAAAAAAAATAGATTAATATTTTAGACAGCAAAGAACATGTATATATAGCAATGCAACACAGAGGATCTGATTCAGACTGTACATACAGTCCTCATTAAACCACTTTCCAACCACCTCGTTACTTACTGGTGACCCTGGAGGTCCTGGAGGTCCTGGTGACCCTGCAGTACCATCTCTCCCTGGGAAGCCAATCAAACCCTAATAAGGAAAATATCTGTCAACTCAAAGGCTTAAGTCCTGACTGGAAAAGCCTTGTTCGTGGTACTCCTAATGAAATCTACTGGAGTCTGCATTCCAGTTGTATAAGTAGAGTGACACACTGGTGGTCCATACCAGTATGGATCACCATACTGGTATACTGGTACACCATACCATCTTCAATATGAAGGTACATTATGGAAAAAAATCATTTACATCAGGCATTCTCTTTCTATCAGTTATACAAGGTTTCTTCAAATTTAAAATTGAGGTCAAGATGGGGATGAAGATCGGAGGAAACATTTAATTGGAGTTCAGCATTTACCCCAAGGACCCAGGATTTCCCATCTGCGTAAAACCCAGTGAATCAGTTTTAAATAATGTGACATTTGTCTTTAGAGATAGGATGAGTGCTCAGACAAAGAACAAATCTGAAGACTACTCGCCATTATGGAGAAATCCAGAAGAAGAGGGTAATATAAAGGGTCATAAAAAGGGGGAGTGATCAGTGATGGAATAGTAATTCAATGTGGGTTCTAGCGGTTGTTGTTCATTTATTCAGAGAACACACCAGGCTAAGGGATTGGATGACAACAGCAATTATCAGCCTTACCCTCTCTCCTGGAGGTCCAGGTTGGCCAGTCATTCCATTTTCTCCTCTCAGACCAGGCTGTCCAGGAGTTCCAACTGCACCTGGTGAACCTGGTGGGCCTGGTGGGCCAGGTAAACCAGGATCTCCCTGAAAATAAAGCATTGGAATAGGCAAGTTAATAGGTAAGTTAAGAAGCAGCACTTCTTTCATTTTTTGTTGTTCCTCAATTATTTGAGAAGAAAGAATTACAAATATATGGATATACTTCCCCATTTTGAGCATTTTCAAATTTTATTCAGTGACTTTAAAATGTTTCTTGACTTGGCCAAAACTCTAAGTGAAGAATGATATATACATAGAATGCAAAAATGAAACAAGAAATTCTAACTTTTAAAGGTTAATCTGAGAAATTAAATCTCCAATCTATTGTTTTTTGTTTTAAGAATTTACTCTCAGGATTCTCTTACTGCAGTGGTTCTCAACCTGTGGTCCGTGGACCCCTGGGGGTCCGCAATGTCATCACAGGGGGTCCGTGAAGGCTTGAAGAAAAGTTATGATTTAAATCTTGAGTTAAGTCTTGGTGGTCCATGGTCATGGTCCGTGGCCACAAAAGGTATTTAAAGGAGGTCCGTGGTGAAGAAAAGGTTGAGAAACACTGTCCTACTGTATAGAACTGTGATGGCGAACCTATGGCACGCGTGCCCAAAGTGGCATGCGAAGCCATGTTGATCGGCCGGCATGCACAGCCTTGCGTGTTTGTCCTCTGTATTTCTGGCACACATGCGCCTGCAACAATCAGTGTCCTTTGCGCGTGGCAGTGTCGAAAACCGGTGTACGCATGCGTGCCAGCCAGCTGATTGTTGAGTATGCATGCGTGCCAGAACCCAGAAGTTCAGCTTTTCCAGAGCGTGATCTCTTTGCGCATGTGGCAGTGCCGAAAACCAGCCTACACATGCATGCTGGCCAGCTGATCGTCGGACATGCATGTGTGCTAGAACTCGGAAGTTCAGCTTTTCCAAAGCGCAGCCCCAACAAGCGCATGTGTACGTGCATGAAGTTTCCGTGCGACCTTTTCGGCACTCAGTGCCGAGAAGTTCGCCATCACTGGCATAGAATCACCAGTTTAATTTGGCAGGAACTGTCCACCAACAACAGTACTGAAAAAGTTAGAAGTGAGGCGACCTTAGAAGTGTATCATGAAATGAGAAGTTAGAAGTTATTTTGGAACAGTAGCACAGAAAAAGAAATTACCTTTAAGCCTTGAGGTCCATCCTGTCCAGGAGGTCCCTGGATGCCAATTCCAACTGAACCCTAAATGTTACAGTGAAAGAAAAAAATAATGTAATGCATAGCTATGTAATTTATGTGAATATAGCATAGTGGTGGAACATTTCTCACAGACTGCACTCCCCGAGAACTCCCATAATTCTTCCTAAAACACAACAGGTTCATGACATACTTCTGAACAAACCCAGTGATTCCTCAGTGCTCTTTTATAGGCATTCTTCTCTATGCTGTGATCTCCTACCCACAAATACTTTGAATGATATGATTTGAGAATTTCTCAGAATGCTATGCTGGAATTAATGACTAAAACATACACTCTAATATCTTGTGTATTATTTAATCTTCTTAAAAAACTCATCTTCTATAGAATCAGGAACAAAATATATGAGAATCACCATATACCTTTTCTCCTTTGATCCCAGGTGATCCTTTGGCTCCCTATTAAAATTCAGAAACATATCATAGATTATTGTTTCCATGGTTGATATTAATGTAAAGATAGAAGAAGGCACATGAAGTCTTAGTGTTGGGAATATGTTGTCTCAGTAAATTGCAGTCTAGCTTCTATTTTGAAATTTAAAAAACAATAGTGAACGTCCTCTTGAGGCAGGGATTTAATATTAGGCATATTTTAGTGTATTTGACCAAATTAGGACATCCTCCTTTAAAAATGATTATTCATTTTTAGATCATGACTCTTCACAACTGAGTCTTTCAGCTGATCAAAACCCACTTGGGGTATTACATTTCTACTAAGTCATTGTAGATTCGGTAATCAAACAATTATTATATTGTATATTCCAAATTACTTACATCTTCTCCAGGATCTCCAGGTATCCCCGAACTTCCAAGATTACCCTATTATAAAAATACAGAAATCATCTAGATAGGTCAACACTGAGAATGAATTAAAGACAAATATTTCTGTGAAGCTAACAGATGCTGGAAAATGAGAATTTAGGGTCCTGTCTGGAAAACTGTTTTCTTACTTTCTCTCCACGAGGACCTGGTATGCCTCGATCACCCTTGAGACCCTGCAAAGAAGAAAGACCAATCTCAATACTTGCCCTGGGAACCAGTTGCATGGAAATGGGAGGAAATAAGCATGGAAAAGAATACAAAAAGCCAACTTACTAGCTTCTCCAGAAGTTCCTCATCAAAATCACCTGGTTCACCCTAAAACAGACCATGAAGATAATTTATCAATATACTAATGACCTTAAATGGGCTTAATCTTGCTTTTCTAGAAAGTGTACAAAACCCACCATTTTATTTAACAGAATTCAGTTATTTGCCAGATGTTCATAGAATATAAGTTGTTTCTAGGGAAACCTGCCAAAAGCAAGCTATTGTCTCACATAATAGAATAGAATAGAATTTTTTATTGGCCAAGTGTGATTGGACATACACAAGGAATCTGTCTTGGTGCATATGCTCTCAGTGTACATAAAAGAAAAGATACGTTCATCAAGAATCATAAGGTACAACACTTAATGATAGTCATAGGGTACAAATAAGCAATCAGGAAACAATATCAATATAAATCGTAAGGATACAAGTAACAAAATTACAGTGATACAGTCATAAGTGGAAGGAGATGGGTGGTGGGAACAATGAGAAGATTAATAGTAGTGCAGACTTAGTAAATAGTTTGACAGAATCGAGGAGTGTTATTTGTTTAGCAGAGTGATGGCATTCGGGAAAAAACTGTTCTTCTGTCTAGTTGTTCTGGTGTACAGTGCTCTATACAATCGTTTTGAGGGTAGGAGTTGAAACAGTTTATGTCCAGGATGTGAGGGGTCTCTAAATATTTTCACAGCCCTCTTTCTGACTCGTGCAGAATACAGGTCCTCAATGGAAGGCAGGCTGGTAGAAATTGTTTTTTCTGCAGTTCTAATTCTCCTCTGAAGTCTGTGTCTGTGCTGTTGGGTTACACTACACTAAGATACACTAGCACAATTTTCTTACATTGTAAAATCAAATTTTCATTCAAGGGCTACTATTTGGGGTTTCTGGAGGAAGAAATGGCAGAATGGAGATAGCTTTGAAAAGTGGAGCGGACACTGATTTATTTGATCAAGATTAAAATAGATATGTTGTTATCTTTGTTAAGCCTTGCTGGATTTTTCCTGACATAAGAAATGAAATGATGTGGCTTTATGAAGTTGTTTATAGATAACAGATGGGAAATGGGAAGAAAAAAATACAGTATTTGTTATATTTTAAGAGGTGATAAGTTACTGAAATTGTTTATACTTGTGATGAAAGTGAGAAATCGCTTCTTTATATATTTCTTTTCTTTTTCTCCAATGTATTGTTTTTTTTCTTTTCTTTCTTTTCTGCACTTTCTCTTTTATATTCTTCTATCTTTTTTCAGTTTGTACTATTGTAATTATAATCTTTAACAATATTACTATAAATATTAAGAACTAATTTTTGCAGGATGTTGTGAGCCAAAATCTGGAAATTTTGAAGCAACTAATGAATATTTAATTGATTTTTTTGCCCTGAATAATATTATATTCATTTTCTATATTTATTTATGTGGATTTTTAGCTTACCTTTTCACCTTTCACTCCAGGAGGCCCTACTATAGTCTATAATAATCATCAGAATAAGAAGAAAGATTAACAGGAACAAATGATATCAAAACATTTGTTATAAAGTTTTATTCTAAAAAATGAATGCAGAAATTAGATATATAGCTAAGAAAAGCTAAATAGTTTAAGACAATAGAAAATGAAGGATGAAATACTTTTTCTACTTTTTTTTGCAATTAATAAGTACTGTCCTTTAAATCTTATCATTATGTTAATAAGGAAAGAAATAGCAATATAATAATGAAAAAGAAATCCTAAGATCCTATCATGTTTTCTGTCAGCATTCCAGAAAAACCCCAACTCCAAGTAAAGACGCAGAAGCAAGCATTTTTCCAAAGTTCTCTTTACTAGAATAGGTAAACTGGCACATATGGGAAAACCCGAATCTGAAAAGCCCGGGTTTTCCTTCAGTAAGTCAAAGTTCCCAAAACTATCCCCTTTCTCCCCAGTCAATCACATGCTCCAATCAACGCCCCTGACCACTCCTTCTCCAGATGCAGGATCGGCCTGACCTTGACTGACAGGAAGAATGCTATTATGTCTACAGACAACCTCTCTACTAAATCCCCCCTCCTACTTTCTCACACACGAGAAGGTGGCAGCATGGAAGCTTCCGGCCTAATATGGCTTCCAAAGCTGACATTCCATACTTCAAACAATGGTCCAAAAAACAAAGGATGACAATGTTACTGTTAAAAAAATATACATTCCATATAGTTGTTCACAAAATGTAATGGTTCTATAATCTCTCCTAAAGAATGCCAATCACTGGAAATAAAGAAACAAATATCTCTTCCAAAACTACCGTTTCCCCCAAAATAAGACATCCCCTGATAATAAGCCCAATCGGGCTTTTGAGCGCATGGCAATTAGGTTCAAAAAAATATAAGATAGGGTCTTATTTTCGGGGAAACACGGTATTTGCATCATATTTAGCCCTAAATAAATTTCAACATTCACCATTAAAGAAGGCTTCCAGGTTATTTATTTACTGAAAAAACATATTTTGTCAATGTGGAAAACTTGGAACATTATCCAGTACCTTCTTAGTTTATATAACCTCCTGAAAAATGAAGAATCTCATGATTGTTTCAGAGATTTGTTTTGATAATGTGCTGTCAGTTTCCACACACTATATATTCTTTCCTCCTGAGCCTTAAAATAAAGGTAGTTTTATAATGTCCATGCTAAATGGACATTAGGCAAGGTTGATTTAGCCTTCCATCTTTTTGAGGTTGGTAAAATGAGGACCCAAATTGTTGGGGGCCAATATGCTGACCAATATGTAAACCTCTTAGAGAGGGCTATAAAGCATTGTGAAGTGGAATAGAAGTTTAAGTGCTATTACAATTGCTAAATAACATATTTTAGGATTAATCAAAGTAGCACACAGCTAATATTAAAAAATGTTTAAGAGGCCTGTATTGTTTGACATAATTACATATATAGTGCATACCAAAAGAAAAGATTAAGAGGAACAAAGATATATACTGATTGATGACTTTGATTAGATTATGATGTAACTCAACTATTGCAAAAAATCAGTTCTTCAAGTGCATGATGCTTATGAAATTTGTCTTAGGAGACAACTAATAAAAATATAAATATGGAGGATAACAGCTATTGTGATATTTATGTCACCTCTATTAGCCAAGACTGTCATATTCCTTCTCAGTAGCCACTATTGGGAAACAGGAGTAGGAGGGTATTATTGTATTTATCTCCTGCTGGAAATGTCCTACAAGGATTTAACTGGCCAAGCCATGTTGAAACAGAATATTAAAATTGACAGGCTTTGGTCTATTATAGAACAGCTTTTCTATTATTGTAGAGCTATTAAAACAAGTTTGGTTTGAAAAACAAACTTTAATTACAGGTAGTCCTTAACTTACAACCATTCATTTAGTGACTATTTGACATTACAACGTCACTGAAAAAAGTGACTTATGACTGGTTTCCACACAATCATTGCAGCATCTCCATGGTCACGTAATCAAGTTTGAGCACTTGGAAACTAGTATGTTGTTTATGATGGCTGCAATGTTCTAGGGCAGGGGTGGGCAAATGTGGCCCTTTTACAACCTGTGGACTTCAACTCCCAGAATTCCTAAGACAGCTTGACAGCTTGGCTGTCTCAGGAATTCTGGGAGTTGAAGTCCACAGGTTGTAAAAGGGCCACATTTGCTCACCCCTGTTCTAGGGTCACATGATCACCATTTGTAACCTTTCTAGACAGCTTCTGACAAGCAAAGTCAATAGTGGAAGCTTGATTCACTTAATGACCACATGATTCACTTAACTGTAATGATTCACTTAACAAATATGGCAAAAATAGGGCAATATTCACTTAACAGCTGCCTTGCTCAGCAGCAGAAATTTTGGGTTCAATTATGGTCATAAATAGAGGACCACCTGTTTTGTTTTGACAGGCCATCGGGTTTTTTAAATCACTTAAAACTTAAAAGCAAAAATGTATTTTTTAAAACTTACTAAACAGAGAAGAGAGCATAAAGAAAACATGTAAGCTATCAAGAATAAAGAAAAGAAAGGTTGCCTCTCACCTGTCCTGGGGACCCAGCATCTCCAGGCTCCCCTTTAGGACCAGCAGGTCCTGAAGGCCCTGGAATACCCTACAGAGCAATTAACAAAAACATTTTTTTTCTTTAGGAGGACAGAAGCACAGATTACGCTAGGTTGCTGCATCCCACACTGGCGATGCAATTCTATGCATGTTTGTTTAGAGACATGTCCCATTATATTCAGATTCATTTATTAAATGTATATGCTACCCTTTTCTCTATCCCATGACCCTGGGTGAGATATGAGATCATCTTTAGTGTCGCTCATGTTTTAAAAGTGAAGTTGCAAGACTGCTTATGTCTAATGTTTTCTGCCTATCAGGCAGAGTCAATATAGTCTTGCTCCCTTAGATAATGTAATATATTGGCACCCAGGAACTCTGTCTTCTCTGTTGGATGCCTGCTCTTTGGAATAGCATCCCCACTCCCGAGATTTGTGTGTTTCCAACCTGCTGATGTTAAAGAGATCTCTGAAAACCTAGTTCTTTTCCCAGGACTTGGATAAGAATGGGTGTGCTCCTGTATAATTTTATTTGTGTGAGGAATTGTCTTTTTTTCAGATAGGCATGGTTTGTATTTTTCACTGCCCGCTTCAATATTTTATTACCTTTTAACTCTGAAAGCCACCCTAATCTAATGGAATTGGATAGCTTCCAAACTGCTTAAATGCATGGAGAAGAATTATGCAGTTTCACATGGCAACATACCATTTTCCCGGGCAGTCCAGACTCCCCTTCTTTTCCAGACACTCCATCTCTTCCTGGTACACCTGGTTTCCCTGGCTCACCCTAGTGAATAGTTACAGTTCATAGGAACATTAAAGCCTGATTCATTAAGAAGAAACAGTAATTTGATACAGAGTATGAAATGATGACCCATGGAAAACTGAACAAGCAAGAAGAAGGAGCAGAAGCAACTTACCACTTGTCCTGGTAACCCTGGCGGGCCCTGTGGACCCTAAAAAGCAGCCCAAGAAGAAGCATGGATCAGTTCAGGAATTTAATACTTCTCTCAAACTAAAGCAGGATATTTGCAACCTACCACAGGCCCAGAAGATCCTGTTGGTCCTGGGAATCCCACATTTCCTGGAGGGCCTGGCATACCCTACAAGGGAAAAAACCCCCACTTTGATCAAAGTTATCAACAGGCATCCAATCAGATCTATTGCATGACTTTCCCATCCTGACCCTTTCCCAGACCTTGGAAATATCAATTTTTAGAAGGGAAATTCACAAAATGCATCTATGCAGGTACTCCTAGACTTACGATCATTTGTGTAATGATGGTCCAATAATATAATGGCTCAGAAAGGGTGCTGACCATCAAAAAATGTTGCAAAATCACACCTCTGCTCAGCTGATCACGAGCTGGGTGCTTGGTAATCTGTTCAACTGGTTACCAAGTGCCTCACAATCATGTGACACCATTTGCATTCTTCTCTGCCAGTTTCCCTGCCAGTCAATGGGGCAGGAAAGGGTTGCAAGCTTCTGTTGTCTGCTGAGAGACCCTGTCTCATTTCTTGGGATTGGCCGAGAGAGCTGCTTGGCAAGGGAGCTAAACACATTGATGGAGTGCAGAAATGGGGCTCAAATACTGAAGTTCATGCAGCCTGCTAGAGTTTCCTTCCATACATGAAGGAACTGAACTCCTTCGGCAGGCAGCTCTTTCAGCCAGCCCCTAGAGATGGGAGGAAGCCAAAATTCAAGCAGAAAGTGGAGAGGCAGTGCTAAGAAGCATAGAGTGCTTCAGGCAAGTAGGGGAGGCCCAGGGATGCCTAGTGCAGACTGCACACGAGTCTCTCTTTGCTTAGAGGCTGAAAATCTTCCTTGGATTTCAGCAGGGAGGATTTTCAGCTCCTGATCACAGAAAAAGCACAGTAAGGAAAAGAGCACGGGATGCCTCAGGGGATGGAGGAGGTCTGGGAAGACTCAGTACAGGCTGTGTGCAAGTGTATTTGAGGCTCCAGGTTGAAAATCCTGCTTGGATTTCAGCAGGGAGGCTTTTCAGCTCTTGAGTGGAGACCCACAGGGGCTTCCCCACCTCTTCTGAGGCACTGGAGAGTCCTTAACACTGAATGACCGACAAGATCACTTAATGAGTGCAATTGGGAGTGCCGGGATTGTGCTTGTTGAGTGAAGCAATCATGTAATGTCTCACTCAACAATTGCTTTGCTTAATTGCTGAAGTTCCTGTCCTAATTGTGGTCCTAAATTCAGGACTATCTGTAATTTTTTGACAATGAACAAATCCTTGAAATAGCTGTAGGCCACATCATTTTTGAGTTACTACAATGTGTGTTTAGGAAACCTAAAAAGCTACTTACTCGTGTGCTGGACCCAGGTTCTCCTACATCTCCCTGTAAATAACAAATAAAAACTGAAACTTTCACATTATTATTCGTGTTTGAGAGAAAACTGAGTTTCGAATGTTTCAATTTCTACAGAAGATAATGTAGGTAAATCACATAACATAACATTAGAAATTCTGAGAGGCATGCTGTCTTTTCAGTGCTACCAGTTTGAAGAAAGATTCCACAAGCTTTAGAGCAAGGGTGTCCAATCTTGGCAACTTTAAGACTTGTGGACTTCAACTTCCAGAATTCCCTAGCCAGCAATCAAATCAGGTCACATACCTTTATTCCAGGTATGCCTTGAGTGCCAGGTGGGCCGATAGGACCCTGAAGGAAAACAAAAGACAATTATTTCCAGTAGTCAAAGCACAAGTATGACTGAGTTAACTCAAATATTGTATAAGCCATGCTAACTTGTCTTTACTGTATTATTGGCATTTTCTGAAGATAAGGTTGCTTTTATAAAAAAAAGTCCCACCACCCTAAGATATATACATTTCTATATAAATGAACTTCAATCAAAACTGCCTATTTACTGACCTGAACAAAACCTCAAAACCTCATTTACTAACAAACCTTAAACCAAAATAATCCATGTTCTGAATTCAATGAATCTTTAGTGATAAGAAGACAACTTTTATCCATTGCTTCTGCATTGATAAATTAGCCCAACAATTCTGAGAAAATGACAAGACTGGTGTAGAATTGCAAAGACAACTTAATTAGAAATCATCCATAAAATGCATGCCATTCTGTCCTTGACCAACTGGGTTTGCTATCTGCTATTAAGAGCCTATTCCAAAGTCTTATAAGAGTATCCAATATACTGGGAGATCCAAATTTTTCTATAAACTTTCTTATATCTACTCAACGAGATGGATACTGTGGTGTAATATTTTTAAAGAAAAGAACCAGGTTTACTTACAGGAGGGCCTGGTGATCCAGGATCCCCTGAATTTCCCTGTTGAAATGAAAAGACATTCTCAGTGGTAGATGTGGTACTGATACACATCTGAGGTAGCTTTCTTTCTTTTTTTCTTTCTTTTTTTTAGAACTGAAGGACCATAAAATAGATTTGTCAAAATGCTTGACTTCAAATGAGATCTTTACCCATTCCATAAAAATCCGGATCACTGAAAAACCAAATGTTGCTTATTCTATAATTTTAAATAGTACTGACTATTAAAGTCTAATTGTTACAATCTAATAATATCAGTTGATAGTATCAGCTGATAACAGGTCTGGAGTAATTAATTATTTGAGCCTCCTTACGTCTTGTTCTGGTGAACTCCCCATTAAGAGCAAGTTCAGAGTCATTTTTATCAACTCATTTTTGCTGTGACATCTATCTTTTTCTATATAGACAGAATATAGCGTGGGAAATTATGGTACATACAGATATGTCACAATGATTTGCATACATGACAGCAATACTTTTGCAGAGCTGTACTATCCAAATGTCAGTTTTCTGGATATAATAGGATGATGGAGACAGCTAGTTGAAACATTGGGGCAATACTTGACTGCCATTTCCTTGCTCTATAGTCCTTCAATTTTAAATTCTAAAAATAATATACAAATACTAAAATATTGTGAAATAAATGTACACATACACACATATATTATGCTGCATTATTGCTATTATTAAACACTGGTGTGTAATTCATAATATTTTATTACTATTGATACTATACATTCATTCCTTTCACAAAGTGATTTAAAAATATTACAAGAGCTTCATTATTACATCTTGCATTCGACAAATGAAAAAAGAACTTAAGTGGTTTCCTTTGAGTCCCTCTGTTGAACTCAGGTTTGGTCACCATGCCAAGGTCTCTCTCTTCCTTTAGCAAAGCTGACCATGCTAATTAGCCCTGCAATGCAACCTCATCCTCCCACCCCTGTGATTAGTAAGAAGACGCATTGTGCTACATGCAAGGTGGGATGTGGGTGAGATACAGGAGAGGGAAAGGGGAAAGGAGCACCTACCGGTCTGCCCAGAACTCCAGGGAAACCTGGCAAGCCCTGCAAAGATCCAAGGCAAAGACCCAAAGAGTTAGTGAGACCCAGAGCAATCTCTGAAGCAAGCTTTGGATGGCCTCACAAAACGGCAAGGCAGAGCAGTTCATTCTGCGCTAAAAAGAAAGCGAGCGGGCAGAGAAAGCCAACCACAGTCAAAGACTCAGGGCTGCTGCAGCTTAGGTATAAAAGTTACTTACAGCTGGGCCGGGGGGCCCTCTAATACCCTGTAAGCCCTAGATGGAGGCAAGAACATATACAGACACATGAACCAGCTATATAAAATACAACCACAAGGAAGCATGATGGACTGTTGTCATCTGAATGAACTTTCTTAGGGAGGGCCTTCTCGTTGCTGCATCCACTAGCATCTCCTGGAGGAAGCTGTGTACGTTAGCAATGGGACCCCAGAAAAATGCATGTTTACAATGTGGAGGCACCAACAATAGTACAATAAGGTACTTCAGAGCAACATGCACACCTGTTGGCAACTGAGCCGACTGCAGATATTTGAATGTTCTGCACAAGTTCTGCAGAATTGTCCAATTTTTATCTGTTTAATAACTGCCATTCATTATACTACCCCCCCGCCACTGTTTCTCTCTGAAATGATGGAAACTCGGGGTAACCAAAAGTGGTTCTTGAATGGAAGGATTTTAAGCCGATTCTGATACCTAAAACAAATTCATAAACTCCAATGTTATGATAACATTTTCATTCTATAATTTAAGTCTTTAATTTAATTTAATTTAGTTTAGTTTAATTTAAATTAAATAGTTTAATTTAATTTAATCTTATCTAATTTAATCTATCCATCCATCCATGCATCCATCTATATCATGCCTTTATTATCTTTAAAAATAACTCAAGGTGGTGAACATATCCAATGCAAATTCCTCCTACTATTTTTTTCCCACCACAACAATCTTGTAATGTGGCTTGGGTTGAGAGAATGACTGGCCCAAAATCACCAGGCTAGTGTTCATAGCTAAAGTGGGACTTGAGGTCCTGGCTTTTTGGCCTCTTGATACCTTAATCTGGTACCTTAACCACTTGACCAAACTGGCTTAAAAACAATCAAACAAAAGAAACAAAATGTCATCACAGAATAGTTGATTGATTCCAATATATTTATATCTCTTGTTCAGATGCTTGAATATTTCTATAGATTTTGAACAATAACTCACGTCTGTTTATAGGTGTACTGGACATATGTAAGAAACAACCATAATTATAAGTGACAAAGAGTAAGCAAAACCCTTCTAATGAGGCCTTCTAAGCTGAATATGGTCTACCAAGGCACTGGAAAGCAAACAATACATCAGATCCAATTATACAAGAGTTTAGCAAGAAGAGATCTAGAAATGATTTACACTTAAAACTAATTATTATTAATGAAACACGCGAAAACTAGTTTCAAACGTGGTTCATAAAGAAAATGTATCCTGGTTTCTCAGTGCTACTAAGACATTGTAGTTCTAATAAACAGAATGTTCTTCATGGAGAGACAAGTTGTCTCCAGTTGTTTCTGCCCACCTTCCTGCCCTACCTTTCAGCAGGTCCCCTCCATTAAATACTGTCGTCTTGTGGGATATAGGAAGCATACCTTTTCTTTGGGACTTGTGGGTTTCACTGAACTCCCTGTCACATTATCTCATATAGAATTCCAACAATACTCCTTTTCTTTTGCTGTCTTCTTCTGCCTCTCTTTTTTCCCCTGTACCATAGGGTTTTCTCTGCCAAGGCTGAACCTTTTACTTACCGCTTTCCCTTCTGACCCAGGAAGGCCTCTCTCTCCTGGAAGTCCCTGTAGAAGATGGAGAATAAGTAGCAGATAACAAAGCCAAAGTGGTATAATGCAATAATAACTATACATGATAATGGAACGGGCCCATTCTGAAAGTAAGACGTTCATTGTTAAAAAACAGAATAAATGTTTACGTCAGAATTGCTTTGTTTCAACAGCTGTCATCATTTTGACAATGATGCATCATTGATACTCACTGGAGTGCCATCCCTGCCCTTTTCACCAGCTTCACCTCTCTCCCCTTTTTGACCATCTTCACCCTGCAACCCAAGATGGCATGACATCACAAAAGGAAAATTGGCAACTTTATGGTGTCAGCTCCCCATATCATACAAACCAGGATCACTGATTGCACTACAATGCCTAGTTTAATTTCTACTGGTTAGCTCAAATCATGGGTGTCAAACTTGCCGCATCATGTTGCTGTCACATGACATTTCACAACATTTTCCCCCTTTGCGGACCTGGGGTGGGTGTGGGCTGCGCATGACGCATCTGGCACGCAAGCCGCCAGTTTCACCCCCCTGCTCTAGATGTTCCTGTTCTGTTGAAATATATTTCTATTTCAACTAGTAATTATTTGTAACTTTGCATTTATGCATAAGCTTAATAATTTTCTACGGAAATTTGTGTTGCTTTTTGTCCTCTTTTTGGTGATGCCTGTATATTTGACACCCCTGGCTCTGATCAACCAAAAGTAGAAAGCCTGCCAAGCCAAGGAGAGCTCTGCCTTTCTCCTTTGCCTTCTACAAAGGCAACTGAAAGGCTGAGATCTCCTGTGTACTCCTTGGAAGCAATTCTGAAAAAGATAAGAGTCCTAGGTTTTATTGAAGGCAATGGATTTGATGCTTTTAACTACATATTAGGTTCAAGGAATTTCTATTAGTGTATTATCCTTAACTATAATTTCTTCCTTAGTGTTTCTTAAATGCAAAATAGCACAAAGAATAAAATAAAAACCCAGTATAATTTAAAAAATAATAATAAAAGGAGACCGCTTCCATGATGTGATTATTTATTTATGAAACCCTGTGGGTTTTGCCACAAAAAGATTACCTAACTCTTCCTTGACTTCTTCGTCAATATCTTGACATAACCATTTCATAGCATTTTAAATGTTTCAGACAGAAATGGAGCCAATACATAGTTTCTAGTCCGATTACAGAAAATTGGTCTGTAATTATAAACAAACAGATGAAAAAACCCCACAACATTTTCAGCTTCAGCTTCAAAAGAAAGCATAATGTAAACCAATGGCAAAAGATTCTTGCAGAAAATTCATGGTCACTAATAGAAATGGCAATACAATCAAAGGAGATAAGTAATCTTGGTGGACAAAGCTATCTCACTCTTACTCACTGCACCATTGCTCTGATGGTGAAAAATGACAGCTGTGCAAATCATTGCATGAGATAGTGGAGAGGTTAGGCAGGTTAGTCAGATATAGCACAATTCATTCAAGGGCAGTGATACGTAGCAATTGTTAACTGGGAACAGGGGAAGGAAAGCACTGGGAAGATTGGTTAGGTGGCTTGGTGAACAGGCCATATGGAGAAGAAAGAGAGAAAGGGACAAGTTGCACCAGCCTTGCCATACCTGCCCCATAACACCCTGGCTGAAACCTGGTGGAAGCAAGCTATTTGGGTTTCAAATAGGCTGAACTTCTGAGCCACAGCAGATGTGTTTTTTATTCACCTTTGTGAATAAAAGACCCCTTGGGGCTGCTGAATTATTCATTAAGACAATGAAAGAGACAAAATAATATTAAAGCAAGATCAAGTCAAACACTTGCAGGAAAGAAGAGTTTCCTCTCGCAAGGGAGGCACAGAACAGACACAAGGACAGCTGGAGAAGTGCAGAGATGAGAAACTTACTACATTCAGACCTTATCGCCTCTGGAGCCCTTTACACCATCTTCTCCTGGGCTTCCCTGTGCAAAAATAAAAAAGGGAATGATTACCTCCAAGCCTTAAAGTACAAGGGTTTTACTAAAACAAAAGGATGGGGGAAATGTCCTGCTATCAAAACAATCATCAAAACAAACATCAACAGACTTTCAGTAGCTGGGACGCTATGTTAATAACCCATTTACGACCAAAAGAGCTTCTGCTCACAGAAGAGAGCAGAATCTCTCTGTTAAAAATACAACACCTGCTTTTTTCTCAACAATAAATATAAAATGTTAAGGTCAAACTAGTCATGCAGTTAATTAGTGAATATGGTTTATATAGCAATAGCACTTAGACTTATATACTGCTTCACAGTGCTTTACAGCCCTCTCTAAGAGTCAGCCTATTGCCCCCAACAATCTGAGTCCTCATTTTTTTTTCAGAAGGAAGGCTGAGTCATCCTTGATCAGGATCAAATTCCTGGAAGTGAGCTGAATTGGCTGCAATACTGCATTTTAACCACTCCGCCACCATTGCCCATTTATATACACATTTTAAAACAAAGACTGCAACTAGAAGGTAGTATATGATTGCAAGATCACAGAAATGTTGATTCCTTCCATTGCAATCCCATAGACTAAACAAATGATGCTTCCCAATCACATTATATAGGAAGATAATTCAATTGAAAAAAATAACAAAGGGGGGAGGGACATTCACTAACCTTGCTTCCCTTGGGTCCTATAGGTCCACGTTCCCCAGGAAATCCAGAGACGCTCCCTTCTATTGCTGAATCTACCTGAAAGCACATAAATATGTCAGTCTTGTCATCAGTCTGTCTGACAGCCTCTGCCTCTCTCTCATACAAACTACTATAGATTCCCGTTTGTGACCACAATATTATCAACAAAAGTCACATTCTCAACACAGCTATAGAACTGCTCTGATTTAATGACATTTCAACTCTCCCCCAGAAAGTGCATGATTATCATATATCAAGGGCTTTCACATACACATATATAGTAACTGAAGTTGGGATTGTTCATATTTAAACAATAAATATTGAAAAATCCATGTGCTTGATGAATCTATCAATTTTCCTAGGCAACAACCCAAATTCCAGTTCAATCCTATGGATAATAAAAAAAAAAGATTGTTCATACTAGCGTCATATGAAACTTGGAATGATTATTCCACAAATGCCCTCCTTAACTAAAATGGGCAGAATTCCTAGACATAGCCATTAAATACTAGATTGGCAGTGTTCAATATGACATGAAATATAAACAGAGGCATCACACTGAGCCCCTCTTTTCTGTTTCATTTTGACAAGTGAATGGCTTGCAAAACAGCCATTTTTGTATGAATTTTATCAGTTTAGGAAAATACTTCTTAGGATAAAGTAAAATATACTTCAAGCTGAGCTCAATTCATGGTGATGTCGTAAACCCATCCATTCTTTCCAGGGGAAAGAAACACAAAATAATAGCTGTCTCATAGTTGCTTGGTCTCTTCAAGACAGATATACCTCAAATGTCCACCAGTTTCCTTCCATAGAATTATAAAATATAAGGATTGGAGAATATAATAGGTCATGTAGTCTTCTTCTTAAAGATCAAAACATTCACTTCTTAATCTTTTGTAATTTGGTAGCCAAGTTATTTTAAATCCAACAGACCTTGGGTCCTGGTGGGCCTGGAGGTCCTGGTGGGCCATCTCTACCCTGTGGACAAGAAATACCAGGTAAAAATCAACAAAATGCAGCATTGCTAGAGGTCACTTCTCTTTTGCCTCTCCATGGGTTGCAGCTACAAACCTTCTATGTTGACTTTAAAGAGAAAAGATCAGAGATCATGAGTTATTTTTCAGACTAACTGCAGTTTACTTACAAAAAACTATAACAGAATCTAGACACCTTAAAAAACAAGTGAAAAGATTCAAGGCAAGTGATTTCTAGGTCAATGAATTTTAGATTAGAAAAGCAATGGTAGAAGGGGGTTTCACAGTTTCCAATTTCCTCAAAGAAACATTGCTTTGAGCAGGGCTCTAAATGTCAATTTATGATTTGGACACACACACACACACACACACACACACACACACACACACACTGTATGTGTGTGCATACATATGTAGAGGACTATGATTACTTGAAATCTGACTATAAACATCTGTGTGGGAATCAGTGTGAAAACTAACTGAGGGGTAATGCAGAGCAGACACATAATAGATCTACAAACACATATGGAAATCCTTTTCCCACTGATTGTTCACTCAATTTAAAAAAAAAATATTGGTACCATATTTTAAGGGATGTGCCTCTACCTAGAACATGATATCTGAAACACTGGAATCAACATGATCTAAAGCAGGAATAGAATGTTGCAAAGTTCTCTACATTGTTCCATTTCAAGAAAATTTAAGTTTACATTATCTAAAGAGACCATTAGAGAACACTATGGCATTTAATGGTTTAGCTGCATGTAACATGAGGGATGCAACAAACAGTGATGAAGGTTCAAGAATAAGTAAATGAAGGTATGTACTAAGTTGCCAGCAGAAAGAGCCAGGCAGACAACATGCGTGCACTTGCATATGGAGTTGCCAGTATTGATAGCAACGGACAGGAGATCATTGTGTGTCCATTTACTCATAGAGTTCTTCTGAAGATGAAAGCGGAAATGTGAAGCATGGCTCAGGAATGAAACACAGAAAATGATATTCTATGTATTAACTCTGAGCTGCAGTAGTTCAGTCTAAGTCAAGAGCACAGGGTAAGGAGTAAGATGCAAAACTGCTTCCAGCAAATGGAGAACTTTTGTGGGTTGATATAAGTATTCTCCTGGCTATGTGTATGCAGTTCTAGAACTTTAATTCCAGCTGCTGGAATTGGCTATAAGGCTGGTAACTGTGACAGGTCCTAGAAGTACTTATAATTTACTCTCAAATCGTCATTTCTGCATAGGGCAAGGGCTTTCTACTGAGCCAGGGTGACCTGCTATGCAGCCTGGCATTCATATCTTCGGGTGGGATGGATAGATTGTCCATGAAGGCAGAAGATGGCCCTGTCAGTACAACCCCAGGATCTAGTGAAGTACAGAGCACACAAGCATCCCTAGTATTTCAATTTTCCAGAATCTCCTACTAGCCACTAGATAGGAGAATCTAAAAATATTATAGAAGACAATAGAAAACCAATTTTATACCATTGCCAAAACAATCACATAGGTCTATCAAGTCACAAAGAGCTGTGTTTTATCCCTACTCCAAAAGGACTTTTTCTCCTACTCACCTGTTCTCCTTTTGCACCCTGCTCACCCCTGTCACCCTGAAATACGAAAATAACATTTTAAAAAGAGATAAACAATCAATATAGTCGCATGACTTCTCACACTCTCTAATTTCAGTTTAAGCTTAGAAATGTAAAGTGGGTTCTTTTTTGGGGGGAGGGGGATTCATGAAGCTTTCTAGGGAACTTCAGGTTATCGTATGATTTTTTTTCCTCCATTGTGGTGAGGAACTATTATAGGCACTTTAAATGGTTTTACTGTTATTATGTATATTGTTTTGTATTTGTCAGTTACAGAACTTTATAGTGACATAAATAAATACATGCAGGTTCTGCGATGAATAAACGAATATTCAGATGTGTTTTATAATAGACAATCCCATTTAGTTTCCCTCTAAAGCCAAGATCGTCAAAATGTATAAAATCAAAGCATACATTCACACAAAGAGCAAATCAAGACTATTTTACTATTCCTGATGATTTTTGTTTAGCTTTTCAGTCGTGGCTCATACTTCTGCTTACCTTCTCTCCAGGCCTCCCTGCTTCTCCAAGTTCTCCTGCCCGGCCTGGCAGCCCTGGAATTCCAGGTTTCCCAGGCTCCCCTGACTGCCCAGGTGATCCTCTTGGCCCCTGCTCTCCGATGGCACGTCCTGGTGGTCCTTGTGGTCCTTCATTTCCTTTATCTCCTTTTGCTCCTCTTTCTCCAGGGAAGCCTATGAGACCCTACAAGAGATAGTCAGGCTTTACTTAGGCCGATTCTGGAATAGAAAGTTTATTAGGCAGAGATTCAAGGACATAGCTTTTTTTTTTTAAAAGACTGCTTTATTGCAGATACTGGAAAATTGTCCACAAAATCAGCAGCTGGTATATGTAAGGCTCAAACTATATGTGTGTGTGTGTGTGCGTGTGTGTGTGTGTGTGTGTTTGGTTATTCGGGTTTTCTCCCGCGTAAAGTTGGAGGTGTCTTGGCAACGTTTCGACGAAGTCTCATTCGTCATCTTCAGGCTGGTGTTTTTGGCTTCGTGCTTCTAGGAGCAATGTGTGTGATCGCAAACTCCTAGAAGCATGAAGCCGAAAACACCAGCCTGAAGATGACGAATGAGACTTCGTTATGAGAAGCAGATGAAGGCCATTCATTTTCAGTGGAGAGACCAGTTAACATCTAAGCATTAGAAATATAGTAAATCAGTCTTGTCTCAGTCAATTTAGCTCTTCCTTCCAATACAGAGCGTAACCTAGGCAAAACAACCTTCTCCATAAAGGGTATTCTGAGGGAGGTATTAGAGGTATCTCAATCCAATGCTTCACCTTATTTAACTGAGCAAAATAGGACACCTGGAGGCTTCCAAGTGTGATTCAATGTGCTCATTGTTATCACCCTTTAAAGTCTAAGAAACGAAAGGTGGATTAGATTTGGGGTTCTTTTTCAGTTATGGAAGTATGTAAAGAACCCTATGAGAAACTGGCTGCTGGGATGCAATGAATACTAAAAGTTTGAATTTCCTATGTCTTACAACTTACCCAAACCATGCAAACTTTCGGGCACACCCATCTGGTGAGGGCCATGAAAAACCTTTGCTTCCTTCCATAGAATTGCAAAGCTGAGTTTCAACTTCACAGAAGTCACCCAGGTCTGTTGTACTGCAACTTACTATTTCATATTTTATTCTTCAAACATTGTAATTCACAACTGAGAGCCTCAATTTGAAACTGGCCTTTTATCACAGAATTTAGACATTTAGGAAAGTAGTGAATTGATTGCCTGAGGTCTCTGCCCCACTTTCAGTGAACTTTTTCTAAATAATACTATAGGAATACTAACATATAAGCATTAATCGATGTTGAATCCGTTTGTCTACATCAGGGGTCGGCAACCTTAAACACTCAAAGAGCCACAAAGGTCCTAACTGGAAGCTGCCCGTTCAATTCTGGAGCCAACCGGAAATCTGGTTCCCTCACCATAGTGTCTCCTCCTAGTGCGGCATTCTTTTTCCTCTACCAGTCCTAACTGAAAGCCCTATCAATTGTGGAGCTGACCGTAAAACCCACCCTTTGCCATAGAATATCCTCCTGGCAAGCCCTGCTTCCCCCCCCCCACCCGACTGGAAGCTCCTCTCAAAATTGTTGTGCCGACCAGCGACAGGGAGCCACAGCAAAGGGATGAAAGAGCCACATGCGGCTCCAGAGCCACAGGTTGCTGACCCCTGGTCTACATCATCACCATGGTATTTGGGTTTAGGACACAATATTCAGGAAAATATTATGTATACTGAGTTTAGAGGTTTGTTTGTATATGTGTGAAGAGCTTTCCCCAGCTGGACTAAAAAGAACAACAAAACATACACTTAATACTTATGTATGAAGAACTCAGCCTTACCTCCTTCCCTGGTGGCCCTCTTTCTCCTGGATCTCCTCTCTCACCCTTCAGTCCTCTCCGGCGGTCAGGGACAGGCAGTAGCTGATCTGAGCTGCCGTCATAAGCACCAGTGATCTCTCGGAGCAGGGAAATCTATGAGGAAGCAAAGAAGAATCACTGAACACAGCCTAAAATGCAAACATTTATAAACTAATATTCCTTAAACTTATTTAAAAATGAGAGAGAATGATGGCATCATCCTAATTCAACTTCATTATGGCACTTAGGAAATTCGGCTCAGACATAAACAAGACTCCCATGCTTTACTTTAAACTGTATATAAGTTACGTTGAGACGGATGCGATGGCTCAGTGGCTAAGACGCTGAGCTTGTCAATCGAAAGGTCGGTAGTTCAGCAGTTTGAATCCCTAATGCCACATAACGGGGCGAGCTCCTGTTACTTGTCCCAGCTTCTGCCAAACTAGCAGTTCGAAAGCACATAAAAAATGCAAAGTAGAAAAATAGGGACCACCTTTGGTGGGAAAGTAACAGCGTTCTGTGCAGCTTTGCCATTTAGTCATGCCGACCACATGACCACGGAGATGTCTTTGGACAGTGCTGGCTCTTCAGCTTTGAAACGGAGATGAGCACCGCCCCCTAGAGTCGGGAATGACTAGCACATATGTGCGAGGGGAACCTTTACCTTTAAGTTATGTTACTTTGGTTATCAGAATTCCAAAGCAACTTGTTCAAGTGGTCACACAAGCACCAAAAATAAATAATTAAAACTATTTCCTGAGACAGAACGTTCCACAATTTAGAAATTAATGCTAAAAGGTTTGCTTTCTTGGATCCACCATCCTTATGTCTATCTGTAATGAGACATCAAACAGATCCTCCAAGGTCCATCTAATGACTCAGATAGTTTCAGAGAAGATAGTTCTTTTTAATATATACATATATGACCTGAGTCTGGAAGCACTTATCTCTTTCTAGATGTTCACTTACAGAGCCAGCTAGGAGTTCTGAGAAAGGGACAGTGATATGTACAGTACAGAGATAAGATGGAGGATAGAAACTGAATTCCTACCTTAATACCATGTGCTTCTAGGGCACGTTCAACATTCTAGACAAACAGAAATGGGGAACCATGAGCAATAAAATAAAATAAAACAAAAATAGACCATTGGAAATAAACATCAAACATATTGGAATAAGATGATAGTTGCCTGATGTAGGCTAGGATCCTTCCTTGTACTCATTCCAACTTTAACAGATCACTTAATGTCATGCCCATGTATGTGAACTGCTTCTTGAGAAAGAAAACTCCTGATTAGTGAGTTTTCACAGCTCTGATACTCCAACATTTTATTCAATAATTTCCCTGTCTTATAAAATTGTTCACTCTTCTCAGTTAAAACTTTCACAGGGACAACTGGTCTATGACTGTAGTAAAATTGATTGATTGATAAACTTTTACAAGGGTAAATTCTCCTTCCTAGGCTTTCAAAATGAAATGATGAAATAATACTTTTGCTCACTCACTGATGCTGTCCCAGGTTCGCCTTGTGGCCCAGGTTCACCATTTCTCCCCTGAAAGAAAATTAAAATAAAAAAAAAATAGAATGAAAATAGTCCAAATGACAAGGTGTGCATCTGGACTTTACCATACAATATACACTTCAGAAGCAGAATCCAATCAGAGTTAAAAGACAGAAGAAAGGCAGATATTTCTCTGGATTAGAAACAGAGATTAAGCTCCACGAGGCAAGGACACCATCCAGAGTGTTTTAGGAAATCTTGCACAGCATCCTGTCACTCCTTTTTATTAATGACAGGGGTGAAGTAAATCATTTGACTAATTTATTATGGAAAGTTTCAGTATGCTATGACTGTTATAGCAATTTCCAGATTAATCATTGAGTTACTCTCCAGAATCATTGTCTTCCAGGGTCTTTTTCATCATAGTGATAAAACAGATCAGAAACCAGCCACTGGAATGCACAATTGAGAGGTCTCTGGCATACTGTATGAGTTACTAATATATGGATTGCTATATTGGATGATAACTTGGGGAGCTTTCCAAATGCATGGTACACCTGGCATAAACTGCAGATGATCCATATCAGTGGCCATTGACCTGCTAATAGTTGTCCCACACAATATTACCTGATTCTACTGTGCTTTAGGGTCTATCAAACCTCACTGAAGATCTCATTGTTAAATAACTAAAAGAAAGAAGAGATGGGCTCAGTGAAAAGTCATATTCATATTCAATAAAATGGGATTCCTATTGGACCAAATTTTGTGTCATGAAAGCCTTCATAATGAGTTTCAAAGCTCTAGAAATAATTGATTTTGAATTATTAAATTCCTGGGGAGAAATGCCCACCTGATCTCCTTTGAATCCAGGTTCTCCTCTTTCTCCCTAAAACAGAACAGGATGAGAAGTCACTGGGCAGAGAATTACAAAGAAATTCAGTTCTACTCTAGAAGATATTAAAGACTGAGGAAGACCTCCTAGATTAGGCCTGGCCTAATACGAATTTTAGAATGGGTGTATGTGTGTTTTAATCTATGGGCCAAATTTTTATATATTCAATTTTAAATTGTTTTAAATTTTGTATATTTTTATGTGTTTTAATATGGCTGTACACCGCCCTGAGTCCTTCGGGAGAAGGGCGGTATAGAAATTTAATAAATCCTAAATCCTAAATCCTAGATATTGTAGATCAATATCTCTGCTTAATGTGGATGCTAAAATATTCAGGTTTTCCAGGAAGCCACAGAAAATACCATATATTGTACATTCTCTAATGAGTCCATCCATGCATAAGCCAAACCTCAAATTTTTAACCAAAGTACCATGAAAAATGCCCCACCCATGGATAAACCAACCCTCAAGTGTTTTTGTCACTATATTCTGAAAAACTTCATTTGTTTTAATATTTTGCATCAATAATCTTTTCAAGAACAGATTCCATTTTAAATTTTCACAATTGGCTTACTCACGGGTAGCATGCTTTTCATAATATTTTGATTTGGCTTATCCATGAGTGTATACGGGTGCTTTTAAAAAGTATTCCTTTTTATGTATATTTATGAATAAGCTGAATCCAATTTGGGGGTTTATTTTGGGACCTAAAATTCTCAGTTTATCTGAAAGTATATATGGTGATACCATCTATAATTCAATCTAGATTTATAAAAAATAGATACGTATTGGGGTTGGAAATGTGGTCCAATCTACAAGATGCTTTGACCTGGCTATTAATTTGCATTTATGGTGATGTTATTGTTTTATGTTTTTATCTCTTATTTGCTGAGATCAAGATGAACAGTCTTATCAATTGAAATAAATAATAAACACCTGTCAATACTTTTTTTGTAATTTCTATTGTAAGTATTGCAACAAAAAAATTGAAGTAAATTGTTTTAATTTTGATGAATGTTAAACAGATTTTGATATAGTCCAGACTGAATTTATGAGGTGCATTCTATGAAGATATGGGTTACCGTCATACAAATGGTTTTATCTCTCAGCTTCTGAAGTTATACCATGATGCCCAAGAAGAATGCCTCTGGTCTTGTCCAATTATAATCTTGTTCATTTTCAAATTACTATATACATCAATGTAATTTTGGGAAGAACTATTATATTAAAGGATCTCAATGTGATGTTGACCAATATTTCCAAAAAATGAAAATTATTATCTCCCAAATAACATGAAGCATGTCAAAGAATTTTACAGAACTAATTTTAACTAATGGTTAACTAGGATATGTGTTTACTATTTTCGCAAAATGTTTGTATTCTAAAATGATAATGTAATGCAATATATTGCTGTCAATCTAGATTTGATAAACTGAACAGCTAAATAAACTTTATATTGTTATCTTTAGTTATTGTATGGATCTTTTTTCTGATAATTTTTGAAACATTTATTTTAATCACTATAATGTATCTGGATTTTTTTTTTTCACTATAATCCCTATTTATCTTTTTACTCTATTGGTGAGGTAATGTTTTTTGTATTTTTTTAAAAAAAATATTTTACCATTAAAATGAAGTAGAATGAAACATCCTGCTCTAGAGGAAAGATACTTTGGATGCCTGATCTAGATGCAAAGTTATTTATGTCCCAGATTCCAATATCAGGTGGATTGTGAAAGATAGGATAACATAATTCATTACTATAAGTGGAAGGCTGATATAGCCTACGTATAATATGCTTCCTTCACATACCATCTGCTTCTACTCATAGATTCTGGGATGAAAAAAGCCATAGAAAGACACACATATATATTGTGTTGTTCCCAAAACAATAACAATACCCTTCATGTGTGGGCTTGAAACTACATTTTAAAAATTCTGCAAAGTTATACAGAGAATTCAGCTGCCATTGAGACAGAAGTGAGAACTGCAGTGCCATCTGACTTGTTTTTGGGGTTTTTTTGGTTTTTTTTTTTTACAATTCTACTGATGTGATACAATGTGTAGTAGATTTTTGCTTACCTTGTGGCCAGATATTCCAGGGAGGCCGGGCAAACTCTGAAAATAGCAAAATGTACTATTAGAGAACTAGAAAGAGACATTTACTGTATCCTATTGACACCAACCAACATGTTCCCTAAACAGCCACTAAGAAAGGATAGAAAACTCAAGATAATAACAAACCACATGGGCAATACCAAAACACTTAGAATAAACATTCTTTATGAGCATTTCAGATAAATTCTTTGGCAAAGCCAAAGCAAAATTCACCAATTATTCTTTCAAACTGATTTCTAGAAATCTAAATTCTTCCTGATTGATGCAATGCATATTTATTTACTATCAATTCTCACAAAAATCATTTTATTAATTACAAATGGTTCTCTTGAAAAGATGATCTAAGATTTTGACTGACTCCCATAATGATATTTTTTTTTTGTATAGAATTATTTTTATACCAAGTCAACAGGAACTGATCATGAAGAGAAGGGATGGGATTATAATCTATTTAAATGGCATCAGCTGCAAACTTGATAAATTATATTGCTGACTGTAAAATATATTGTATTCATTACCATCTTCACTGGCAATTCCCAATTAATTAGTCTGATTGAAAGTTTTTGAAAATATTGGGGAGATCTTTGATGAAAGATCAAATGATCTTTGTTCCCAAATCCAGCTTGTTGGCCTATTGCCACTTTTTCTAAATAAATAAATAAATATTGATACAATATAAACATTCATCATGTTCTTATGTGATAAGCTTGCAGAACACTTCAAAGGTAACTTCTAGCAGATTAGTGATATTGACAGTGTAGAAAATTGCTCTGCTTAAAAAAACTAATTCAACATATAAAAAGGTTTGAAAAACTCTAAATGAAAATATAAGTTTATTCAATATACTAATTACTGATAATATAAGCAATATTTTAATACGTTGTCCTTAACTATATAACTATGATTCTGAACATAAATGTTTAAATGCATATTTAAAAGATTTATGTACCGTATGTTTTTCTTTACTTATATATATGTGCATGTACATGCAAATTATCCTGCTCCAAAGTTTTTTTCTTTCTTTCTGTTGTTTCAGCTTCTCTTTTTGGCTTTTCAATCTCAGTTCTACCAGTGTTTTCCCGAAAATAAGACCCTGCCTTATATTTTTTTGAACCCCAAAATAAGCAGTTGGGCTTATTTTCAGGGAGGTCTTATTATTTGGGGGCACGTGGAGCAAGATGGGGCTCCTCTTGCCGTCTTATCTGATTTGCAGCTCTGCGTTTAAATATTTTCGGGGAGGGCTTATTTTCAGGGGGAGGCTTATTTTAGCACATGTGCTCAAAAGCCCTATTGGGCTTATTATCAGGGGATGTCTTATTTTCAGGGAAACAGGGCATGTTTTTCTTTTCTTTTTGCATATACATGCACACATGTTCCCCATAATGAATTTCAGCCTTTATCCATCTTCATGCTAGTTTCTGCTGAGGCTTAATGTTCATATCCTATTGTAATTTATCATTTCCTATTGTAGATTCTGCAGGAGGAGGAAATTACCTGGCCTGGTGGACCAACTTGTCCAGGCACGCCAGGAACACCTGATGGTCCTGGAGGCCCTGGGGGCCCACTGGTTCCTCTCTCTCCTTTAACACCCTCAGGACCCTGTCAAAAAAAAAAAGACAAATACAGTTAGATATCGTTTGTAGGGAGCTTTCCTGCGGTCTTTTTAAAACTGGCAACAGCTTTGTAGAATTTGAGCCAAGGATCTTATCCAACCTTGTTTTCTGAAGTGCCTTTTAACAGGAGACATCAAGGACTTTGTTGTAAATTCTTCTCTGCAGAGAACTTCTGGGCTCTAATAACTTGCTAGCAGTCTCCCCCGCCCCCATGTTTCTAAATACTATCCGTTTTCCTTTTCTTGGTAGCCTACATACTTATGACTTTATAAAGCCCTTTACTTTAAATCTAATTCTCTTTTTCTAAAATGTTTGCATAAAAGTAAAACAATTTAAAGACCAGGCAAGTTGACCAAAGATTTTCTTAACCTTAAACTTTTCTTTACCTTAAACTTTACCCATGTGCCAAATCTCACAGCTTGGGAAGGGGTAAGCTGTGAGAATTGAAAGGGTGAAGATAAATCTCTCCTTTCTCATGACTTGGGGCTATTCTGAATTATATCAGAATCTAGCATGATTCTTTGCATGCATAGCATTTTCTGTGTTTTACCTCCATATGTTTTACTTTGAAACAATTTACTCTCATACTTGGCAGGATCACTGTGATCTGGAATGCTGATTACCTTACTTTTCCAGGCAGATAACCCTGGCAGTGCCTTTACTTAAAAAAAAAATAGAATAAAGGTAAAAACAAACTTGCAAAGAAAACTCATTGTTATGGAAAAGTACTTACTTCTTTGCCAGGTGTTCCAGATTCACCTTTCTCCCCCTAAACACATTAAAAAAAAATCAGAACTCTATTTGTATGCATTCTGGAGTTTTCTTATAGATAAATAGTAAAGTTTTCTTGGATCCTAATATCCATCACATTGAATTTTACCACCATCCAAAAAGGATAGTCACCTAAACCCTATAGGGCATGGGTGTCAAACTTGTGACATTGCAACGTCACATCATCACGTGACATAATGTGACTTTTTTCCCCTTCGCTAAACTGGGGGTGGGGGTGGCCAGCACATGATGCATCTGGCCCATGGGCTGTGAGTTTGACACCCCTGCTATATATGGCCCTAAAAGGAATATGCTGAGAGGACTTTTCTGTTACACTCCTCTACTGAGATGGAAATCAATAAAATGGACTACTTTCTGGATACTGCTGAGGGCCAAAATGGCCTACTGTAGATGTGTGCTGAGCCACTTCCTTATTGTATCATTGCCTAACAAAACTATGGCCCTAAAAGGAATGACTCTTATCTTCTAATGACCACTTATGAAGTGAAGAAATCAACAATGATCTGATATTCAACTTAAGCTATGACAGAGAGCAAAATTAGGTCTCTTTTAGATTTGCTGGTTCTTGGCTCGCAAAAGAATCATTCTCTTATGTCTCTAGACAGGTACTTAAGCTAATTCCTTGGCCTGCTCAACACTTACAAAAATATTTATTTATTTATTATTTATTTTTAGGAAAGGACAACAAAGACTAAATATGCCAAGTGTGAAATGCTGGCTCAGTGTTGGAAGGAAAATGGAGTGAGACAAGGAATGAAATTGAGACTGGCATCTCTAAAGAACATTCCTACTTTCTTTTTGGGTGGTGGTGGAATTAAAAGCAGTTTTCCCAAGAAAGGTTTATTTGGATTGGTATGTAGCTCTCAGAAAAACAAGGAATAGAGCTGGTGCCTCTGATGGCAGTTTTTAAATTTATACATAGCCCAAAACTGTTATTGAAATAGGGAGGAGAAACAGGGACCCTTCTTAAGAAATTTGGTTCTAATTTCTAGTTAAGAGATAGAAGTTTAGCTGAAATGCCTGAAGTATGTAAGAGGAAACTACCTTTCTCCCATCTTCTCCTGGGATCCCATCTTCTCCCTGTAAAGTAAACATCTTGTTCACATTTGTATTCCAGATTAATTTAGAAGCATATGCTATGATACTCTTACTATTAGACGAACGAAAGAAAACAGCACATTTTATTCCCTTTGCTTTTTTCCCACCCCAATACAGGCTTTGCCTGTCAGACCTGAAGCCCCACTTCTAGCAGGTCAGAGGGATCAGACCCCACACTCACATTCTTCCCATTCAGCCCAGGTTTGCCATCTTCACCAGATTTGCCCTGGAAAAAAATGTAGGAGATCAGCCAGCTAAGAGAGCTCTCACCAGCTTGACTGCAACAGGCATAAGGATCCTGCATAAGGCTCAAGGAACACACAGGATGGATGAATCCATACAGAATATATGACTTTGTTGCAACCAATGGTTAGTGAAGTAAACTCAAGTGAAGTGAAATTCAGTTAGATTCTTGTTAACAAGACATCTTCATCGGGTTTTGTCTTTCCCCAAAACTCTCATCCAGCAGCTGTTCCATTGGACCACATCAAAGAGTGGGACAGAAAACAGAATTATTTCACTGGTCTGGTTGACAGTGCAGCCATTTTGGATTTCTCCTCCTTGGAATTTGTTGCATTCTAGATGACAAGACAACTATAAATTTCCATGTGACTAATTATCCACAGACATTATAAAATCTATACAGTATAGTATTAATACTGTAGATGCCAGAGTTTTTATTTTTCTCCCTCCTTATCCCACATTTTCTCTCTCACTGTGTGTGTTTGTGTGTGTTGCATTCTGTTAAATTGTAAGCCTAAATTGGTAGATGGGAATTCAATTGCCAAGATCACCACACGAATCCAGCATTGAACAGAATTTAATTACCAATCACTTTAGCTCAAGATCACTCTCTATTAACTAATTTTGCTCCAGTTGTTAACCTAAATATTTTTTTAAATTTAAAAAGCAGAAATGGAAAACTTAAGTAATATATATCTTAAGTTTCTATATGGGCCTAGATAGCAAGGAAAGTACAAGAACATTCTCTCTACATTTTATGGCTGAGGTATACAGTACTACTGGTATATACAGTTGTGAGTTAGTCAACTGAGAAGTCAATTTGCCTTAATTTGTAGTCAACTGAGTGTTGATTCACTAGATCTGTGCAATTTACCCACTAGCAGCTAGGACCGGGATATATACGAGACCGCCTTCTGCCATCAACAGCCTCCCACCGGCCAATACGCTCCCACAGAGAGGGGCTCCTCAGGGTGCCGTTGGCCAAACAATGTCGACTGGCGACGCCCAGGGGGAGAGCCTTCTTTGTGGGGTCACCAGCCCTCTGGAATGAGCTGCCCCTAGATGTGCGGATGATCCCCGACCTGCGCACTTTTTACCGCACCCTGAAGACCCTCTTGTTTCAACAAGCCGGACTAGCCTAACATGAATATGAATTTTAATGGGTGTATTTTAGTTTTAATTTGTGGGCCAAATTTTGGTATATTTGATTTTAAAGGTTTTTAAATCTTGTAAATTTTATGTGTTTTAATATGGCTGTACACCGCCCTGAGTCCTTCGGGAGAAGGGCGGTATAGAAGTCTAATAAAAGTAAAGTAAAGTAAAGTAAAGTAGCAGAGGCCATCTGCGATGATTAGCAAAGACATGACGGCCCACTTAACAAATGCTCCTACTGGAAAATATGCATATTGGCTTTCAGCCCCATATGTTGCATACGGGCAGTGGATGCACAGCAGTCTTTTAAGCATTTCACTTACAGGCAGTCCTGGAGATCCTGGTGGGCCAATTGCTCCAGGAGGACCTTGCTCTCCACGATGACCTTGCAAGCCCTATTTTTAAAAAAACAAAAAAACAAAAACAAAAACAGACGGTTGTGGATATGCTGAATAGAATATGAGAAAGCTTCCCAATATGAGAAAGAATGCTAATTAAGCTCTACGCAGATTATCCAGAAATCAATTAAACATGAGGAAAATAGCCGCTTATCTTATTTAGGCTTGTCAGAGGTCAGTGATTTCTTTATACTTACATCTCGACCAGGGTCACCCTGCTTTCCTGGATCACCCTAAGAAAATAAAGCAAGGATGCAATCAGAAGTCAGGGATTGAACTGTGCCTTGTGCTCACGTCATTGTCTTTTACCTGCAGTTCCCCAAAATATTTATTTAAATATATTTGCTAAATTTGTGCACCTCACCTCACCTCACCAATCCAACCCAACGCACCGCATATTGTGGTCCAGTGTGCTATATGAACCCAGTTTCAATCTCCTAAATGAGGTTATTAACTTCCTTTTTTCTAGGTGACAAATAGTGACAAATGGCTATAGTGATGATCTCATAAAATTTACATAACATTTGTACAGTAGTATCTAAGCTTCAACACATCAAAAACATAATTTCTTTATATTGTTCTGCTTAATAATGCCATGAAAATAAAACTTGCATATATAAAATCAATTAGTATGCTCCAGTAAAGACCAATGATAATTAACTTTTATATTTTGGAACTAACAAGATGATCCTCAATGTGACTCCCTTATTGTGAGCATTGGTATCAGTACAAAATGTTCAAAATATTCCTTTGGACTTAGCAGCAGCTTCCCATAAACAGCTGACTTTGCTAAGAGAAATGCAGCATCATTGTGGCTTAACAACTGTTAAATCTAAGAGCTGCAGTCCTGATATACCTGAAGGCATCAAGTATCAGACTTACTCTTTGGCCTAAAGGACCTATTTGTCCAGGTTTTCCATCCAAGCCATTCCGACCATCCAGGCCTGGAGGACCTCGATCACCCTGAGGAAAAATTTAAATGAATAAATGAACGAGAAAACAACCATGGCAACAAGTAAGAGCTGTGGGAATTAATGAAATTACTGCTCATGAGACCATGGACATTGACCGTTCAATAATTTTGACAAAATCCACTTTTATCTGCAATAATGGAGGCTACTTTGTTTTTCTTTTTAAAAAGAAAAAAAAACACTAAGGTTCTCTCTAAATTCTGTATGAAATATCAGATCTTGTAGCTTTATAAAAATATTTGGTGGGCTATTAGGGATTTCGCCAGTGTCTTTTCTTTCATAATATCTTCTAATGAATGATAAAATCAGAACTCTTACCTTCTCTCCTACTGGGCCTCGATCTCCAGGGTCACCCTGAAAAATGAGACAGTTGACAGACCATCTAATTAAAAAATGATTATGCAGACTGGGCCCTCTGTTATTCAATAATCCCAGAGGAAGCAACAGCATTACATTCCCTTCTGAAGCTTATGAAAAAGGAAAAAAAAAAAAACGACTTACACGAACTCCAGGGACCCCTCTGGCACCTTCAATTCCCTGGAAGAGAGGGGATAAAGATGTCTCTGCAATTCTCTTATGAGAAAGGAATGGTTGATACTAGTTCCCTGGATTGTAGACTTACAAGCCTTCCCAAAACCTCTTACCATCTCCCCTTACTACTGTTTATACTACAAAGGACTTGGTCAAGCCGTAATTTCATCTCGTGCTCTTCATATTTCATTCTCTCACTGCATTAAGAGTGTATTGATAGTTACCAGCATATCACATTTCCTAATTAGTGAATTCTTTTCTGTGAATTTCAGAAGCAGAGGGCTTACTCTGTCTATTTGAGTTTGAAGCCTGATTATGATTATTCTCAATTACAAGAAATTCTTTCAATACCAGAGAAGATTATCTGTTTCAAAAGCTTACCTCCATCTCAAATCCTGGAGTGATGCTAGAAAGGGAAGGATTAAAAGTGCCAATTCCTTCCCTCCATGTTTAACTGCATGACTAGAATAGCTGAAGCAGGCACCATATTTCCTTCTTTAAAGATGCAGCGTGGCAGCTGGAACCTACCCGTTCTCCTGGCAGGCCAGGTAAACCAACTTCTCCTTTTGTTCCTTTCATGCCATCCTCTCCAGGGTCTCCTGGCTCCCCCTAAAATGGAAAAAGACAACTAGCACACAAGTAGTTTTATTTTTTTTATAAACTAAATCACAGAAACTAATTTTAAGGTATCCAAAGAATCCCAGTTTCTTTGAGGCAAACTAGATATGACATTAAATGCATTTTTACAAAATGGACAAATTTTATTAAATTCCTTCAGCAGGTGAAGAAAAATACCTAACAAGTATCACAAATTAAGCAGGAGTGCAAAGAAAGAATTAAAATATTATTTTAAAATGCTCAAACTATTTAGATTCAGAAAACTGGTATATAAAGTGAGTTATTATAGGAATACATAAAAATGTCCAGATTGAGAAAATGAGTAATATTTTCTCAGAATAGTATACAGGATATGCTGGAAAGATCACTCCACACTGGGATATTTCCCTCCCATTTGCTGTAAGGTAGGGATCCGATAGCTGCAACCCATTATGTCTCGCCCACCACACATGTGTGCGCAGCCCCCTGCACGCGCCCTGCCCCCACACATGCACGTGCGTCCCAACTGCATGCACATGTGGCTCAACCGCATGTGCCCCACCCCCCATGCATGCGCAGCAGAGACCTGAAGACCAGCTGGCCAGTGGGAGGCACATGTGCGGTGGAGCTGAACTGGGGCAATGGCAGAGGGGAAAACTGATGTGTTTTCTCTTTTCTGTAAGAATTCTGCAAAGTACTGAATGGGCTGGAAAAATACCTAATTATGTTGTGAAGTTAGGATGAATGATGTACCGTAATAAAACTGAATGAAAGTTATCTGATTTTGTGGAGTTGATCACTGCATACAGGGAAGCAAAGATAAATGAAACAATTGAAAAGAATTTGAGAAATGGTGAAATGGTAGATTAGTATGATTATGCATGAAAGTAGGAATCTATGGCTGGTAGCAGCTACATATACTCAAATGAATAGTGTGTATGGAAAGAATTTTGGATTAATTTTGGAAAAAATTATGCAGAGTTCTGAATAAATATGATTTAGGGAAATATATACCATATTGAATGAGTGACACAAATGCATGGATATGAATGAGATGAAAGAGTATAGAAAAGTAAAAGGAACCAGAGACAAGGAACTACCGTAGCTTAGAAAAAGGTTGCTTTCAAATATGTTCTCAAGTCTATTAATGGCAAATGAATGACTATAAATCTAAAAGCATGACTGATCTCATTCTTTATGATGGAAGACCAGGAGAATCAGTGAAGGGAATGGTGATGAGACTTTCTGAATGTGGGGTTGGCCATCTTTTGGTATGTAAAAAGTGGATCTTAGGAAAAATGGGTAAAGAAAGAAATGAAGGAAACAAATGAATGTAGATTGATTGCAAGAAGAGGAAGGAGAAGTCCTCTAGGAAAATAATTTAATCTCTCATACAGAATATATTGGTAGTGAATGAAGCAAAAGAAGATCTGGAAGCTGCTTGCAACAGAATACAAAGAATTATATTACAGAGACACACAGATGTACATGGATTTATATTAATGGAACAACCGATGCTTGGTAGAAAAATGAGGTGACAAGGTTATTGATGAGAAAGAATACACGCGAGAAAATGATTACTGCCAGAAATTATGATAAGAGAAAAATGACTTTTCTTCTTCTTGATACACTTTATTGTCTTTTAATTCTTTTATTTACAAGTTGCCTAGCATTGCTAGGAGTTGATCAACTTGAACTTAAAATAATAAATGAATACATAAAAATATGTATATTTTTGCAAAGAATATAATCAAAATGACAAGGAATGGTTAACATTAAAAATAATTAAAATGCATGAAAATTTTGTTGGAAATGTATTTTTTATATGTGGGCAAAGACGAGTAATTATGAAGTCTCAAAAATTGTAATGAGGTTTTATCCTAAAAGTAATTTAGGATAAAATTGAAGTAGAATAATGCAGGAAGGATATTAGAGAGATTTGCATAAGAATAATAACTATACCCAGAAGAAAGGAACTGAGATGCTATAAACATTCATATTTGAGATAGATACCATGCAAAATAAGTAATAAATGCCATGAGAATATTGAAAAATGATGATATAATTGGAGAAAGATTAAAATATGGATTTTTTTGCTTCTGGAGTAGCTGTGTGATTTGTTTAATCTATATATGAAGTCTGGATCTTTGCCTGATGATTGGAAGAATGCCATTATTCTTCCCTTATACAAAAGAAAAGTAGCAGAGTAAATACACAAACCACATGGGAATTAATTGATCAAGTGTGCTGTCTGGGAAGGCATATGGTAGAATTCTGATCTAAAATGTATGAAGGAACAACATTTCAAAAGTGCAGTGCAGCTTTTGTTGACAGTGCTGATCATATTTTTGCTCTTTAGCAAATAACTGAGAAATGTAAAAACATAAAAGGTTTGTTTATTGGAAGTGATTAAGAATGGTATATTATAGAAAGGGAAAGATATTCCCAAGTATGAGAATAAATAGAATGCTTAGCAAATCAATCAATATTGAGCCCAGATTAAGACCATAATGCCTTGTTTAATATATTTATAGACAAATGTATGAGGAATGCTTGAAGCAACGTTATAAGTCTGTTGTTAGAGATATAAATGTACACTTAATTATGTACAGAGATAAGACTGTTCTGTAGTGAACCTAGATAATTTGAAGCAAATAATAGGTCCTTAAAATGTAGTAACAAGTGAAGCAGGAAAAATGGTACCAATAAACCTATAGGACAATCTAGTTGCTCCATGTTTCATTCTATTCTGTTTTATTTGTTTTCTTCATATTCTATTTTATTTTACTTTGCTGGCTAATTTTGCCTATTTTACTGCCCCCTGTACATAATTAAACAATCATGACACTCTAAGCAGCATAGCATTTAAGTCAAGCTACCCCAAAATAGAAGACATAATGCTGAAAAAGAAAAATTGTAACAAAACAAGTCCAGGCTCTACCTAAATCATCAAAGTTACTAAAAATGACAAACAAGACATGTCAAGAAAACAAATCCTATATAATTTATTTACAAATCAAAGTGAGGAGCGTGGATCTTAGAATTAATGTCACTAAGGACCAATATTGTTTTTGGCAAGGAAAATAGCATGACTAATTGCAAGCTATACACGGACGATGAGAAACTAGACAGAGTGGCTGAATCTGGATTCCCTCTTAGAATGTTTATTCAAGAAAAGCCAGTGGATGAAGACACTGTAAGATGTACAAAACTGATAGGAAGATAGTGAGGCAATTTGTAGGTTCTTGTGTGGAATGAAAGTGTATTGAAAGAAGCAAAAACAGCTGTGTATAAGACTGTGCTTCTGCTAATGCTATTATAGTCAGTTTTGAGATAGGATGAGTGGTCAGAATATGAATATTCATAGACTGGAATAGATCAGCCAATGGGGACTGTTTAGATAGACATGGTAACAGGTCAACCAATGGGGACTGTTTAGAAACTGAAACATAATATTTCAGTAATTTCAAGTAATAACCAAAAGCCAACATGGGTTTGTCAAAAACAGATCATGCCAGACTAATCTTATTGCATTCTTTGACAAAGTGACAAAATTAGTGGACCAGAGGAATGCTGTCGATATAATTTACTTGGACTTCAGTAAAGCATTTGATAAAGTAGACCATAACCTACTACTAGATAAAGTAGAAAAATGTGGGTTAGACAGAATCACCACTTTTAATGCACTTTTGTGCTCTCTTCTTAGTTCAGATGCCCTATCATCTCCATCCAAGGAGGAGAAAGTTAGAACAGTTTAGTTTTCCTGAAAGTTAATTAATTAATTAAGCAATTAATAAGTGGAACAACTTGCCTGCAGAAATTGTGAAGGCTCCAACACTGGAAATTTTTAAGAAGAAGTTGGATAACCATTTGTCTGAAGTGGTGTAGGGTTTCCTGCCTGGGCAGGGGGTTGGACTAGAAGACCTCCAAGGTCCCTTCCAACTATTCTATTCTATTCTATTCTATTCTATTCTATTCTATTCTATTCTATTCTATTCTATTCTATTCTATTCTTTCTATTCTATTCTATTCTATTCTATTTTTGTTTGTATGGGGCCATAAGAGACAGTTTGGAGTCTGGGTGTGGCTTAAACTTGCTGAATTATATATAAGAGTTGGTTTGACCTCTGTACAATATATTAGCCTCTCTATCTCTCTACTCTGTAATGACTTGCTTCTGTGTTCCTGATTTTGTATGCTGAATTCTGCTGATTTTGTATGCTGAATTCTGCTGTATGGTATTGTATATAAAGATGTTTCTTATGTAGTTGAATCCTGCAGAATTATTTAATTGTGTCTGATTGTGTGTGCTGCCACAAACTCTGACAGAGCGTTTGGTCAGGAGAATTGTAAAAGTAAATTCAGTGTTGTAGGAATTGCTTACTTAACAAGTGGTAAAATAAGATGAAATACAATCCACGTTGGGACTTTATAGCAGGATTACCTTTTCACCTTTTTGCCCTCCTTCTCCAGGTCCCACACCAACCTGTAGACCAGAAATGAAACAGTACATCAGGCATATGCAGAATCAAGGTTTAAAACAACACATTGGAAACAAAAAGATGGCACTCACAGTTTGGCCTGGAGGACCCGGCTCTCCCTGCAGAGAAAAGAGGACAAGAAAGCAACAATGATTAAAATAAGAAGAGGGAATTTTATAGTGCTTGTAATATGTTTCTTTTTTCCTTATGGATGGCATTATACACATTTAATAAATTGAAAGATAGCTAGTTCTTATTTGGTGTCCAAAAATCACTGGAGACATTCCTCAAATATCTTTTTTCTGCAATCTGTAGTGATTGCCCAGGTATTTGCAATTCAGACATAGTAAACCAAGTACAGGAACCCAAGAGAAGGCACAGAAAAAGAACAACATGGATGGAGTGGAGAAACACTGCTATGTCTACCACTACTTCCTCCTCTATGACTTCTGGGTCAGCTGTTGCCTCACAGAAGTAGGTGCTACAGAGCCCTTGGAATAGCAATAGCAATAGCACTTAGACTTATATACACTTCACACTGCTTTTTACAGTCCTCTCTAAGCGGTTTACAGAGTCAGCCTATTGTCCCCAACAATCTGGGTCCTCAGAAGGAATGGAAGGCTGAGGCAACCTGGAGCCTGGTGGGATTCGAACTGCCAAATTGCAGCCAACAGTCAGCAGAAGTAGCCTGCAGTACTGCACTCTAACCACTGCGCCACCACGGCTCTTGGAATCTAAGCCAGTAATTGTTGCTGGTCACACACTACCTTTTGTTTTCCTCCACATTTTGTGTGAACTAGAATAAGCATATACCATACCTGAGTTACAAAAATCTGGATGACTATTACATATCTGCAGAGAAATTGCTTTTTTCTACAATGGTAGAGAAGAAGTAGGTGTGTGACCATATGTTTTCCTCTTTCATGCTCTCAACTCCTGCACTCTGGATGGGTACTTGGAGCCTGGGGTTTCTCAGCAGGGGGTGGGCATCTGAGAGATATGTTTTGAGGTCCACAAAGCTTTACTTTGCCTAACAGAAATGAATTCTTGCCCTTGTATTTCATGTTTTCAAGGATGGATGCAGAGGGGCTTTGTGCTTTTGAGCGAAGCATCTTCTCAATTTGCAGAGGTCTATTTTTTATACCTCTTTAAATATCATTATTATCAAACTGTCCTTTCTTGCCTAGGAATCACTTGCTCCCAACTTGTAGCTTCAGTCCTTGCAACCTGGTTAAGAGGAAAACAGACACTACCTTCAAGAATAGGCTGGTTCTATATTTGTGGTCAGTTTCAATATATAGCAACCTGGAAACCAAATAGTAGATATAGACTGGGAAGAACAAACTTGAGTAAGAAAAAGGTTCCTTGAAAGTGGCATGGTGACTTACGGGACTCCCTCGATCACCCTTTGACCCTGATGGTCCAGGGCTGCCCTGTAAAAGAAAAGAACATTTTTGTAAACTGGACAATGTTCAGCAGTCAAACTCTGCAATGACACTTGAAAATGGGAATGAGCTCTTACGTTTCTCCCATCTTCACCTGGGTCTCCCTGGTCTCCCTTCTCACCAGGAAGGCCTCTGATGCCTGGCGGACCCTGTGAAATAAAAAATAGAAATGAAGAACCTGTAGAATCAGATAATTTCATACATGGAGACATCTTTTTTGGAATTGGCTAGTCAAGGATGGGGCTTGAAAAAATAATGCTAGAAAATAATCGAACTTTATACAAGTTTGTGGGACTAGTAGATTATAATAAACTTTCAGTCTATATAGGAGAAGAAGAAGCAGAGCCATGTGGTGGAGTTAAGAGAGTAATCCATCTGGCATCATTACATTGCCACATACAATCCAAGTTCACACACACACTCCAAATTCTATTAACTCTTATGTAGTACCAATTTAGTATTGACTGAGTTGACTGAATTCCTGTGTATAGGCTTGAGCAATAAATCTTTTTCGAACAGCAACTTAAGGTATGGCCCTGATACTTTGCACCTGACAGTCTACAGCAGGGGTGGGTTCTAATTTTTTTTACTACCGGTTCTGTGGGTGTGGTTTATTTTGTAGGCGTGGCTTGATGGCCATGTGACTGGGTAGGCGTGGTCAACTCAATGTCACTCACGTCAAGGGGAGTCATAGTTTTTTGACCACGCCCCTTGTTTCTTCCTCTCAGGCCCAGTTTTGACTCAGTTGGCCTGAAAGAAACATCTCTAGCAGATCTGGCTTTCAGCCATTGTCTCTTCGATTATCTCAGAGTCACTGTGAGTTTTTTGACTAAACAATTCTTTAGGATTTAGCAGAGGTACTGGTCTACCAGGCTTTTAACTGTTTGCAGAGCGTATCGGTCTACTCATTTGTTTTTGGAGCGTTCTGGTCTACCTATTTGTTTTTTGAGTACACCGGTATCCCCATTTGTTTTTGGAGCGCACTAGTCTACCACCACACTGCCTTTTACCACTGATCAGCTGTAGGGCGACCCTTTGAAGCGCACTGGCAAGAGTTTAAACAGTTTTTTGCCACTCTGCCACCACGGAGAGGATCGGAAACTGCTTTCAGGTAGCTTGGCCTTAATTGCCAATCTACCACCACCGAGTGGTTTACAAGGAGCGGATCGGTTCTAGCCTATCAGTTGGGAGGCTTCTTGGCTTCTCAATTTAAAGCTACGGTGTCTTGCTTTTTTTTTCTCTCTCTCTCTTCTTTGTCAAGTGAACCCTGATTTTTTTCCTTCTAGCTGATCAGCTGGGACTCGGGAGGCAGCAAATAGATTGAGAGCAGAGCCAGGCAGAGGTGGTATTTAATGGTTCTCCGAACTACTCAAAATTTCCACTACCGGTTCGCAAGAACTGGGGAGAACCGGTAGCAACCCACCACTGGTCTACAGGTTTAGCCCCTGTGAGCAATGTCAATCCATACTGCTGATGCAAACAACTCTTGCACACTGCTGATACCAGCACCCTTTCAAGCTAGATGCAGACAAAAACTTTAGAGGAGGAAAGCATTCTTTAGTTTCAGGCTCAGGCTCAGGCTCAGGCAACAACAACAAAAAGTCATTTATTTTACTGCCAAACTGAAAAGATGCCTGGCAGTTTAATACATAAAATATTAAATTTGATATTTGAACTCATAAACTCAGATACATAATCAGTTCAAAAATATCATTTCCAAATGGCCTCCAAAGGCAGCCCCATGCACTGAAGCAATGCAATGCTATCCAACCTCTGGGAATTTACAACACTGCTTATACTTCCTTTTCTCATTTTAACAGAAACTCTTGGGTTGTGCTTACCCGTGGACCTTTCTCTCCAGGTTTCCCAGATAGGCCTGGCTCACCCTATGGAAAAAAGAAAATGCAGTAAATAAAATAAAATAAAATAAATAGTAGCATCAGAGTGGATAATAAATAAATTGAGACAATTACTTACAGAGATTCCTTCTTCTCCTTTATCACCTCTTTCACCCTAAAATCAACAACAGAAAGATTACATCCTACCATTGCTTCTATTATACACTCTGTGTTTGAATATACTTAGTGTCCTAGCTTTGCAATCGTGTACGCCTATGAAAATGAACCTGACCTTCCAGGAATTAAGTTCTGCTAAACAAGTTAGATTGGAAGAGTATATCTTCTGGTGACCTGAGAAGAAATTAATCCAGTTTTGAGATCACTAGTGATGTGATGCTCAAAGATGATGTGCTAATATTGTGATGGCACTCTTTTAAAGGTTTCTATGGAAGTCGTGTCCTTGCAGCTTTACCAGTTCTGCTATTAGACATGATTGAGGTACTCTCAATCAGTTATGTGAGGCAATAAGATTTATGATGAATCCATTGGATCACCATTCTAACTGAAGACTGTTTATAGCTACAGTACTACTGATGTAACAGTTAAAAAATATAGAGGACAGTATGAGTTTATAAATGAATATTTGTTACCTAGATATCAAATCCAAGAAAAGGTAGAGTTGTTCCTTACCTCTTTTCCTCGTGGGCCGGTTGGTCCTGCAGGACCTGGTCTTCCTGACTCTCCTCTCTCCCCTGGCTCTCCTGGATCACCCTAAGGAAGTGAACCATCCCAAGGAGGGTAACACAGTAACAGAATTGGAAGGGACCTTGAAGGTCATCTAGCCCAATCCCCTCCTCACGCAGGAGACCTATACTAGGGATTCGAACTACCGAACTGCCGACCTTTCTGATCAAGCTCAGTGTCTTAGCCACTGAGCCAAGTGTGGGGGAATAAACTAAATACAGCAAAATTCTGAAGCAAACTAAGTCTAATGACTAACATTCAGAAAAATAAGCTGAGAAACCTTCTACTCCCACTTTGATTGCTATCTAATTACTATCTAATAGTAACAGCCCCACCAAAACACCTTCCAATAGTCTATCAAAAGTCTAAGCTGAAGGTAACCCAATGCATTCAACCAGATCTATAGCTGAGTGTAATGTGTCTTGCTGCTACTAAAAACTGTGCCTTTCCGTTAACAACAACTTGAAGAACACTCCTAAATTGTCCACCTACCCAAGACTGATTATGTATCATTACCATACCCATGTAAAATCCACCCACCTATCCCAGAACCCAAATCAACGTCCTTTTCCTCCCTTCCTCCAATGCACAATAATCACCTTTGGGCCAATTTTGCCAGCCAGTCCTGTGAGTCCCTGAAAAAAAAAAAGAAAACAGATAATTATTATGGTTCAAATGATTAAGTCAGGAAAACTGCATAAGGAAGGTTGTTGCACAAGGACTAATAAATATTCCATGAAAAAAAGCAGAGTTTTATTACCTATTAGTGGCTGCAAGAATACATACATTGCTCTGCATTCTGTAGTGAATGCACAAACAGATTAGGCCTGTATCTACTATTTCTACAAAGAGAAGTGATACTTGAGCCTTCTTTTATTAGACATGATGGAGCTAGGAGCCAAAGTATTGCACTGATGTCAGCTCATTAAATTGAAACGCAACTAGGGAGTCTAGTGATCTATTTTACAGGGATTCCTTTTCTGTCTGAATGAAAAAAGGGAGAAAAACAGAGCTTTAAAGATGGCATGAATTTAGGACTCACATTTTCTCCTTGTTCTCCTTTTGGGCCGGGTAGGCCAGTGACACTAAGACCAGGAGGTCCCTGAATAAAAAAAAATTAAAAAAAAGGAATAGAAACACTTAAAAGATTGTCATATATTCATATATGAATATTCATATCCATCATTATGAATAAGATATTATCTTTAAGATCAGCTTCATAAATATTGAGAAGATTTGGAAAATGTTCTGTAATGAAAAGAAATTGAATCACAAAGAGTATTTGGGGGGTATTCATCAATGAATTGAAATATGTCTGGTGAAAGATCTGATGAAATGGTGAGAATCTGAAGGGCCATATTTGGAAAGAAGAAATATATTCTCCACTTCTATCAAAGAAGAACCATCATCCCATTCTAATAATGAAGCCAACAGTAACTTTCACAGCCATCTTAGCCTGGTCCTCACTTTTGCTCTCCAAGGCAGATAGTCCTATAAGGTAATATCAGGCTATATCTAAAAGTGAAAACAAGCCTTGGCAGAAATCGAAGCAATCAACATCCCAGTTTACTGTTCAGCAGGGAAAAAAAAAATCAACTTTATTTATTTATTTAATTTATTTATAAAATTAATTGGCTGCCCACCTTATCTCAGGGTTACATTGATCGTTTTATCAGGCTGAGTTATCATAATCAATGTATTATGATATCTCATCATAACCTTGAATACTCACACGTTCTCCTTTGTCCCCAGCATCTCCTCTAAGTCCAGGTGGACCTTCAGGTCCTATAATGCCTCTTTCTCCCTGAAAACGGGAAAACAATCACAACGTCAATGTTACATATTGGCATGACAGTATTCCTACTTCCCATGTGATACATTTAAGTTGAGCATTGCTTTTTCTTATTAAATCAAATTACAAAATGAAACTACTGGAAAAAGAGAGCCACAATAGTCTCGTGAAATAGTTTCTTTAAGCCAACTTCCCTGCTACAACTAATATAAATTAAAATAAATTCCATTCACTGTGTATTTCTTACATCTGTAACAAGAGATTTGTTCCTGTGCAGTTTACCTTATCTCCTTTGATTCCAGAAATGCTGGATGCCTAGAAGAAATATAAAAAAGATAACTGCTGAGACCTTTTCAGATCATATTCCAGAAATGCAAACTTGCAAAAAGGCACTTCCTAATGGATAGGATTGCATGAACATTTATACAATTATGAACGTAACTATGCCAGGACAGATGGATAATGAAGTTCTCCATAACTGACTTGGTCAGATGAAGAAGAAATATAGTCTTTTCTAGACCAGGCATTAAGCAACCAGAAAAAGGAAAAGAGGAAACTAGGATGAAGATGAAAGGTGTTTTACCCACTCTAGCTGTTTATGATATTTATGATGGCTGATTACAAAGGGGCACTTACCGGCAGACCGGGTGTACCAGGCTCTCCTCTCTCTCCCTATGGCAGAAAGTGACACAGGAAACATGTTAGGGCAGCCCAAATTGTTTAAGTCTTATCATAAGGATTTACCACTATTGATCTCCACTGATAACTTTATAACCTCATAATCATCAGGCAAAGCACTGCATCTTCACTCCCTTCGCTCATTATAAGACCACATCTTAGTTTTACTGGGAGTTATGATCAATAAACTGGACTCCTAAGAATCTGAGAGTAAAATTTCATTCAGCCCATTGTATATGCTATTGTTGTGTGGGAACAGGCCACTTCTCATGTTAATTTGCATTTCAGTAAGCTCTGGATACATGAATGCATTGTCAACTGTTTTCACCAGAGATACACGCCAGCCATTCAGAGCTCTATAGGTCAGACCTACACAAATTTGTGGCTCACCAGATAAGTTTTCCAATATTCCAAATGATCAAATCTGAGCCAATTTCATAGTAGTAAGAACTGGAAATTAGTATTAATGTAAGGAGAAACAGTCAAAAGCAATGCAAGGATTCAACTATTAATACTGTTCTTACATAAATGGGAATGGCAGGTTACATTACTAATTCTTTTCAGATTCAAGGGCCCTGCTGTGTAAGCATATTTCCAATATAAAGTAGAGCATTTGCCATAGGTCTAAGAATCCTTACTTGTTCTCCTCGAGGCCCAGGTGGTCCTTGTAAGCCCTATTTTTTTTTTTAAAAAAAAGGGGGGGGGGAGTTATTCAGAATAACCATGGATCTCATGCTAGGCAGCAGTAACAGGAGGAGTTCTCGAAGTCAGTTATGGGAATAAAGGTGAATTATTGGCCAACATTAAGAAGAGTCCTTATTTTGGAGGATTACACAGGCAGGAAAAAGTGTACCTTAGTAATGAGAGGATTCAAAGTGATAAAAATATATATTTTTATTATTGCATAACTGAACTGCAGCATTAAGATTACTTTTTGAATGTCACTTATGATGGGAAATAATTCTTTTTGGTTTGGCCTTGAATTTTCAGGTTTCAGATAAACCTAGATCAAGAAACCTAAATTTCTACTGAGAAGCTGCAACAGATGGGAAAGAGGAGGATGAAGTGGAGAAATATAAAGTAGGAAATTTGTCAACCCTCCCTACAATCACTGATTCCTTTTGGAAGGCATTCTAGGTCCCCACATGTTTTTCCTCTGAAAAGGCAAAACATGCTTGAAGACTCTGGGAGAAAAAATAAGTGTGCAGAAAAAAAACCATGTCTGTTTTTTACTTCTCCATTACAACTCATGATATTTCACCATCATTTGCAATTGTCCAATAGATCCCCTCATTCCAAAGAATAAAGTCAATTTTTAGTACAGAAAATTTAAGACACAATTCAACATGTTTTATCCTTTCTCTAACCTTTCCTCAAGTTGCTTCTTTTTGGACTCACCAAATCATCTTTGAACTATTGCACTCAAAAAGAGAGATAGGAGGAGGAGAATTGTTCCCAGATAGACAATATTTCACCAATAAGACCAAAACTCAATCAACGCTTCTGTCTCCCAGAAATACAAACTGTTGACTTATGTCTAGATTTTACAGCATTATGAGATATTGAGATTAAAAAAACTCCTACACTTACATCTCTGCCAGATGGACCAGGACGGCCTGAGGGACCTTGTTCTCCCTAAAATGAAAAAGTACTGTAAAAATGTAGTTTATGTGAAATATTCTTAATTTTATCATCTGAACAAACCTGGCAGATAATTTAGACTTAGAAACAAAACTTTCTTAGTTCAAATCTTAATTTTTAGCCATTAGGCCATGCTGTTTTTTCCAGAGAAACATATCCAAATTACTATTGGATTAGGTTATTCCTTGATATAATATGGGGCAGTGCAGTGGCTCAATGGTTTGGCTGGAGAGCTGGCAGTCCAGGTTTGAGACCTGAATGCCATGTGATATGATGGGGTGAGTTCCCATCCTTGCCCCAGCTCCTGCTAACCTAGCAGTTCGAAAGCATGCAAATGCAAGTAGATAAATAGGTACCACTTTGGAAAGGTAACAGTGATCTGTGACGTCATGCTGGCCACATGACCACCGAAATAGACACTACTGGCTCAATGGCCTTGAAACAGAGATCAGCATTACCCCCTATATTTGGCAATGACCAGCGGAGTAAAATCCCCAGGAACTTTTTCTTTTGATATAATGGTCAATTCAGAATGAATATATATATACCTTCTCTCCTTCAGGACCAGGCAATCCACGGTCTCCCTAGAAGAGTAAAGAAATTTTTGCAAAAGGTAAAATGTAGGCAAAATGCATTTTATTTCCATAAAAAACATACCACAGCAATGACTTTATTGAGCTTTATATTCTCCTATTTTGCTCCATCAGAAAAATTCTGAATATAAATGAAACATTTATATATTTACATTAAAGATGGATCTGAAGATAAATCCTAAATTACATTCTAGGCACTCTAGTTCATAAAAATTTCAGAGAACACATAAAAATCTGTCTGGATGCCACTAGTGCATTCGACTTCACTGTAAAATGATGGTAACTACATTAACAGGCCATGAATTGTTATATAAGAAATTAGAAAAATCAAATTATGTAATTCACACACATACAAGTTAGCCCTTGATTTGCATGCAATCTTCCATCATGAACAGGAATTTCGTTCACAGCATTGCTCCACCCAAATCTTACCTTCTCTGCTGATGGCCCAAGTGCACCAGGCAGACCACGGTCTCCCTATTACAGGGGGGGAAAATACCAAAATCAGGTATTGGAAGCATCAACAGGTACAAATAATTCATGAAGGGACAAAAACCATAGGTGTAAAATTAAAGATTTATTTGTAAGGACTCTCTAATCCCATCCAAATCAATTTCCTATGAAGAAACAAACAAACAAACAAACAGCTCCCCTTATCAGTGCATTAGGCTGAACCTTCTGCAGAAAATTTCCCCAGAAATGTGTATTATCAAAAGTAAAAACGAAATGAATATAACTGCCCACTGCCCATACAGGCAGAAGATCTGTGTGAACAATGCTTATCATTCAGTATAAATATTAGTGACATCAACAGTTGTGGTCACCTTTCTTATTTAGAAGTGTGGTATGGGCTTAGTCTTCCAAGTCTAAATGCAGCATTGGCATTTGAGCAACACTTACCTTGATCCCAGGTTCACCTGGAGGTCCTCTGGGGCCCTAAAGACAATAGTAAGAACATTTTTGTTTGGGGGATTATGAGCAATTTAATGCATATTGTTCTCTTGGGACCAATTTAGCTATTCATTTTTAAATTAAATTATTTAAAAAATGGGAAAAACAATGTACAGTAATAGTGAGTTTTGGTATTGGTTTACTGTCCATATTATTATTTAATTTGTTAATAAATTTGTTAAAGTTTATATAGCCACCTACCCACTAATGGAATTTTGGGCAGCAAACAAAAGGTAAAACATAATATATAATCAAACAATTAATATTTATTAATGCAGACAAATGAGTGCAACATAAGGAAATGACTCCTGTTGTTCATCACTATATTACCAGCCATGGAAAAATGATGAAAAATTAAAGTGCATCTTTGATTGGATTAGAAATATTTTAAAAGATAGGAAATTGCTTTTGTTGAAAAATTACCAGAACAACCAAAAGTTGGAAGTACCCTAAAATTAAGGCTAAATTAATTTAAATTTGCTCATTGTTTGTAATCTGTATTAAATCTGAGAACAGTTGAATGCATAGTTTAGCAGACACTTATATTGGGCAGCAGTGATATAGAAAGATGCTGGAAGCAGATGATCACTTTTGTGACAATGACAAAGAGATAAATTTATATTGCTCAGGAGTACGTTAGCCACACCTGTATTTTTACTTAGAAAACCACCACATGGCTTCAGAGCTTCTTGAATTAGAAGCAAAATGTCTTCAAAGAAAAACCAAAACGTCCAGTTGCCTCTTGAAAAAAGCACCTTTGGGACACCACATGGGTAGAAAATCTGTGTGGCCATTACCGGTAGGAGTCAATTTGATGGTACATATTCAATCAATCAATCAATCAATCTCCAAAAGTATTCAATGATTTGCTGTATCTCATCCACCCATCTTATCTTTTGTCTTCCCTTCCCTCTACTTACTTCAGTCTTGCCAAACCTAGCTCCCTTTTCTAACTCATCAGCTACTTGTAGCACTTGCTAAAGAGCCAAATGCAAGTACAAAAGGAAATATATGGATGTATCATGATCTCAGCCTTCTCGTCACTGCTAACCAGACCATTCCATTAAGCAAAGGACATGTCCAAATCAAAACCTATATGAATCCATAACCCAGGATCATTTTCTGTTATACAATCCTATATGGAATATGTACTAATAGAATCACCTAGAAGACACTGATTAATAACTCATTCAAGTTACTGATTTTGAACTGAAGAATACGGGATTTTAATTTCTGTCCTTGGATGTTCTCTCCATCCAGCCCTTTTAAAAAATCATGTTGAATAAACCTGCTTTGTCTCCAAGTAGCTGCGGTTTGGCTATGTGGAAAAAAGGATTGTCCTACATTGATCTTATGATAATGTACTATTATTATCTAGGGAGCTTCCCACACAGCCAAACAGCTGGGCTCCTGAAAGCAGAGGATATCTTTAAGAAAACTTCTCAGGCAGGATTTTAAGAGCAGGACAAATTCATAACAAGAAAGTTATCTCTCAGTAATTTAGGTCATGAATATTTTTGGATTTTAAAGATTAGACTCAATAACTTAATTTAACCATGAATGAATGAATGAATGAATGAATGAATGAATGAATGAATACATGCACATATACGCCCCCGCACCCACACACATGTGTATGTGTGTATAACATTCAGTTCTTTAATATTGTCCTGATATGAAACAACACAAAATTTTAAGATAGTCCCATTTACAATGCCTTGAAGTGTTTCAACCTTGATCTATGACATGAGACATGAATACTTAAGGCCAATTCTAATTTGTTCAGAAATAGTCATGAATAGCACAATTGTGCAAGTTGAGGATCAAAGAGCACTCTCACAATGCATACCTATTTTCAGAGTTTGAAATCACATTTGGATAGGGCTAAATTTCCATCCTTTAATTTTATTTCCTGTTAAGACTAAGCTGGTCTTAGTCTGTGCTTATTATAATATACTTTGATAACCCATAAGGACCCTAGCTGCTTTCTTGAACTTAAATGGCAAGAAGCAATATTATTGAGCATCATGCACATACTGATGGAATTTGATTTCAAAGTTTCTGATTACATTCAATAATTTTTCACATAAATATTAATAACTAGGCAGTACAAGACCAGCCCAGTTTACTCGTTTAAGTTGAAATAGTTTCTGTTTGATGGGCTCTTAAAAACATGAAGAGAGAATGTTTTTCTCTAAAATCTCACCCGATCTCCAGGGTCTCCAGTACGTCCAGGCAGTCCAGGAAAACCTTCTTCTCCATCTCCCTTTAACATAAAGCAAAGCAGTGACCATTCATTATAAACTTAAGGAAGTTTGCTGGTTAAAAGCAGGAAGTGAACTCTACAGAATTCCAGCTCAAATTAATTTTATCAGCACAATTCTGGATTCATACACTCAGTTACACAACCTCTGCAGGTAGTCCTTGACTAATGCCAAATGCTTAATAGCCATTCAAAGTTATGATGGACTCCTCAGAGTTACTTACAACCTGTTTTCAAAGTTATGACAGCCACACACCCCTATCGTCATGTGATCATATTTTGGGCACTTTGCAACCGGCTCACCTTTACGTCCATTTGCAGTGTCACACAGTCATCTGAACTGCCTTGCAATATTTTTTGCAAGTTTCCAGCATGTATTTCCAGTTTTGGGCAAAAAACCACCCAATGGGTGGGAAAAAAACCAAGTCGAAAAATTGGGTCTGATCTCATGATGCTTCAATTTATGACCACAACAACTTACAACCAAATTCCAGGCTCAAATCTGATCGTAAGTTGAGGACTACTTCTAATCAGAAGCAGCAATATACAGTAGAAGGCTTCTATCTAGAATTTTGAATGGTATTCAATCCCCTCCCCCTCCAAAAAAACCCAAAAACAAATGGAGCATTTGGTTAATCTAGGCTCCATTCACCCTTTCAGTCAGTGAACAGATCCTTATCTTACCTTATCACCTTTTTGTCCAGGAGTTCCAGGAGGTCCCCTGGGCCCAGGATCTCCAGGAATACCCTGGGGAGTAAGGAAACAGAAGTAAACACAAAAGACCAAATTTTAATTCTTTGCAATTAAGCAGTCATTTACTGGTTTTGTTCATTTTTTTAGGAGATTCAGATGTCCTCTCTTATGACAATACTTTTGTTTCAGACATATTATTATTTTCTAGACTTTAAGTTTTACAAATGTTCTCCAACAAATTTCTCAAGTATTAATAATATCTACATTCATAAATCCCACCTTTGCCTAAATGTTGTCCTATAGTCCCAAAGCTAAAACATGGCAAAGAATGTACTCACTGGAATACCAGGTTCTCCTGTGACCACACCCCCAGCACCTCCTGATCCAGGAGGGCCCTAGGAAGAAAGTAAAGGTGAGCTCTGGATCTCTGCATTTCTCCAATTTCACATAAATGAAATAAAGCACATTAAAAGGGTACAGGAATGCAAAGAAAGAAGGAACCAAATCCTAAAGGGATAGAGGAAAAAAGTAGCAGGAGAGAAAAATCTACTAGAAGGTGGGGGGGGGGAATACCCAGGGAGGGAACCATAGAAGAAGCAGGAGGGTGGAGCAGAGTGAAAAGGGCGAAGCATCCAGAAGAGAAGACAGACTTACATAAAGAGGACTGTGAACAGGGTTTTTATATATTTTGTGCCTGGCCAAATCCCTCACAGCTGTTAATTTGGGAACTTTGCATCGCTCCAAATGTGCTCACAGATACCCCAAAACCAAAGTTACTACGACTCTTTGTTTCCTTTTGTTGCTTTCCTGAAGCACACTGTACTCTTCATGCTCACTTTCACTCAGAGTAGCGCTGTTCTGTCACATTTACTTAGAAGTAACATTTCCAGATTTTTGGGGAACTTCCTCCCAGGAAGTCAGGACAGAGAAATGAATCTTACATTCTGACTGGAAGTCCTTGTTGGTCTATTATATGGCTGTTTAGCAACTGAATTACTGACTGATTTCTCAGCAAAAGCAGAGCAGGCAGGGAAAAGGAAGGATCACTTACTCGCTCACCTCGGTCGCCCTTCTCGCCCTGTAAATAAAATTATAGTATATGTAAGCATATCCATTAGGCTCAGCAGAGAAACAAATTGTGAGAAAGCACAAATATTGGGTAAGAGGAAATAGTGACTATACAATACATACTATACAATACAGTGAATATGTAATTTTAGAGTTTATGCAAAAAGTATGACAAAAAGATATGCTTCAGATATAGTCTAAACCAAGTTATTCTTGTTATATAATAGAGTCAGGGTCTATTATTATTTTCTTAAGTTTCCAAAATTATTGACACTTGGTTGTTCAACTGTCTATCACCTTACACATGAAGATAATGGACATGGATGTAGTGAAAAGCAATATATGGGATTGGGAGACATATGAAGCAGTTCCAAGTTTACTGGAAGTATCCCGACATAGGAGAAATGTTCCTGTTTCAAAATGCCTTCAGTTAAGTCAGAACACCTGTTTAAAAATAGCACTGTAACTCTATGAATCGTATGGAGGCCAATTCCAGAGGTATTGCATACCTGTTCAAGAAAGAGAAGGAAGGTTAAAGACAAGGGTGATACTTGCTACTTTGCCAGTTTGCTAACAGGGCACTATTAATGGACTTGAAGGCAGGTGCACAAAGGGACTTTATGAGCATACAGATGGGACTGCATAGCTTGACTTCATATTCAGAAATGAGCATGGATAGTTTCAATTGTTAAAGTAGACAATCACTGCAAGGAGAGGAAGTTGTACCTTGATAGAAATGCCAGCAGGCCCTGCTGGCCCACGAGGTCCTGGTAGCCCAGGATCCCCTACAAGACCCCGGAGGCCTGGAATTCCTGGGCTTCCCTTCAGACAGAAAGAAAAAAGACACTTAGTAAGAACTGGCTTCCCTTTGGTACTCAGCCAAAGGAGCAGGTATAAAGTTAGGCCTGCAACACATCAAGTTAGGTATGCAACACATACACACATCTACGGAAGTGAAACATGAAGGGAAAACAGTGGGATTTATGACGAAGTAAATATCCATAGGATTGCTGCGCATGTTTCAAAGTGAGACCAAAGTGGTGAAATAGCCATAGGATGCTGTAAAGAAATATTTCTGTGTGGCAAATGACACATACATGAGGACCTCATGAAGGTTAAGATAGTTCCTCCCCCCCACCCATCCATTTCCATGGGAATCCTGTTTTCAGTTTCTTTTTCTTCCATCTCCCTCCTATTTGCCTATAGGGCAAAGTTGGCTGAGGAATTCTGGGAGTTGAAGTCCACAAGTCTTAAAGTTGCCAAGATTGGAGACCCCTGCTGTAGGGTGTTACTTACTGGATTGCCAGGCTCTCCCTTTAGGCCAGGAAGGCCTCTTCCTCCATTCAATGGTATTCCAGGCTCCCCCTGACCAAGACAAAAGTTTAATGTTATCTTATCATAGTACAGTTTAGGAATTAAACAAGAACCTATCTAGGATGTCAAGAGGAGCATGGAAATATCTTTATAAGCATAAACTGAAGAGATCACAAAGTGTGACTCACAGTTGATATTTACCAGGACTTTTCCTTATGCCGAGTGTTAACAGAAGAATTGCATGAAAAAGAGAAATTAGATGGGCTGGTGCAGAAACTCTAACAGCCTGCTACTGTTAATCACTTTACAATAAAAATGAGATTTTTTAAATATAAGAGGGTTGGAGCTAAGAGTAGATAGGTGCGCTCTGTATTTTAGAGAACTCCCAAATGAGGGATCAGAGTCACACAGTTTTGTTTAGATTAAATGTGATAATTTGTATGAAAACCAATATCAGTGAAATATCAGGTTGTAAACAGAGATGTGTTGATAAAAGCAAAGCTTTCTATTTGCTTTTTGATGAAGCCTTTCTGATGGGAGATTTCAGCTGAGTGTGTAAAGTATTCTCAGCTTTCTTTCTTCTGCTCACCCACATTTATTCCCATTTGAGTGTAATCATCGCCAGATAATTATCTCCATTCTGAAGTTATGATGGCAGAACAACTGTTACTTTCAGACAGATGCTCCCTTTTTATCATTAGGATTCCATATCAGCAACTCTGATGCTGTAGTACTGCTTAGGAGGAGTGACCAGAGAAGCTAGGGCAGGGGTCTGCAACCTGCAGCTCTGGAGCCACATGTGGCTCTTTCATCCCTCTGCTGTGGCTCCGTCGCTCAAAATATGTGTCACAACAGCCAATGTGCGACACCCGCCGGCACGTGATTTATTGAGCTTCTCGGCCCATCCTTTTTTTTTCAGAGTTCAAAATGTTTTTGTTGCATGCAGAAATAAAAATTTGTTTTCTCTGTAGCAGTTCATTGATTTCATAAATGCAACACACTATAGTTTTTTTATACATAGCATAAAGGTAAAAAAATGATATATGCAGTGTTATCTTCATTTTAGATGTCAAAAGGATTTTGTGGCTCCCGGTGTTTTCTTTTCTGTAGGAAACGAGTCCAAATGGCTCTTTGAGTGTTTAAGGTTGCCGACCCCTGGGCTAGCTTATACATTACATGGAAATGTTACATATCCTACCACAACAAATAAACTCTATATCAGTGATGGCAAACCAATGGCACGCAGAGCCAACTTTCTGGGCACACGAGCCGTTGCTCGTTGTTCTTCCGGGTTCTGGTGTGCCGGCCAGCTGGTCTTCACATGTGCGGGAACACCGGAAACTGGAAGAACAGCCGCCCGGTGTGCATATGCATGCCGGGCGGCTACTCTTCCAGTTTCCGGCACGTGCATGCGTACAACCAGCTGGTTTTTGTGCATGCATGTGTGCCAGAAACCAGAAGACCAGGTGGGCGGGGGGCATGCGCTGGAAACCGGAAGAGCAGCCACCCGGCACACACATACGCACCAGATGGCTGATCTTCTGGTTTCTGGCACGCGTGCGCGCAAGCTCCCATTTCGGCACTTGGTGCCAAAAGGTTCACCAACATTGCTCTATATGATCCTTTTCTCAGTCAAACTCTCAAAGATCCACTTACCGGCTCACCTTTCTCTCCTCTTGGCCCAATTAGCCCACGCTCCCCCTGAAAGGCAAAAAGATAAGGAGTAAATGGCTCTTCACTTGGAAACAAGGAGTTTAATGGCAAATATTATCTTTACTTACTTGGTTTCCTCTGAGACCAGGAAGGCCAGGGCTGCCCTATGAAGAGAAGTGGGGAGAAAAGAAAAAAAATTGAATAGGACTTGTTTTCCTATGGTGCGAATAAGAAAAGAGAGGTGAAGAGTAAGATAAAGCAATACATTTGAAAATAAATCCTAGATCTAAATAAAATAGGCTAGCATTCAATATGGTTAGAACATGAACTTAGTACTGGGTACATGAAGTATCTCAGTTATAGGTAAGTCACCAGATCTACATTGTGATCTTGGGGAATTACACAAATGGGGGACCAATATAATGTACAGATGGGCAGAAACACTCATAAAACCAGAGGCTCCTTGCCTTTGTGTTCGGCACCAGTATATTTTTCTGTCCCAAGCAGAGATTCATATCCTTTTTTTTTTTTTTTTTGGCACTCGGTTCATCAGAACGAGATTGAGCATGGCGCTTGGATTTTTGCACTTGCACCACCTTTAAAATAGTACAGAGTTGTACTGGTGGAGATGTCACAATACTATGTCAAACCAAAATGCTTAACTACATAAGGCTTCACAAAAACCTTTCAGTTCTAGAAAGTTTTATTTCTGCTTAAGAACAAAACTGCATGCTTCACTGTGACCATGAAGAAAAAATTGTTCAGTAAAAAAAGTATGTATTTCAAAGGTTCCAACTTATGGTGGCAGACACTATCACAATTACAGCAAAGCATTAGGGACATATAGGAATGTGTTTGCATGCAACTATACATGGCAAAATGTTAAAAAGGTTAATTACCGGCTGACCAGGAGAACCTGGGCTGCCAGGAAGACCAGGATTCCCTGGTGTTCCATCTGCTCCTGAAAATCCCTAGAAGAAAATAGAAACATTAAGGACACATCTTTGCAGAAATTATTTACATTTAAGAATCAAAAGCATAGCTATGAAAACACAGATAGGATTTCAGCTTTCTCTAAATTCCAACTGTCTTCATCATGTGATCTGAAGATAAGAGTTGAACAAATCCAGAATGGGCCAGATAGGAGAAGGTTGCAAAGATATCTAATGAAAATGATGATGATGCCAAATTGTCAGTTACATCAATGTAGTTGAGCATACAACACAAATTATTTACTGATGCCATTTTGTATCACTATGCAAAATATTACAAGCATGAAATTTACATTATTTGCACAATGCATCCCCATAGAAGGCTGGAAAATTAGGTTCACAATTCAGAACTTGACTCATATCCATTATCAAATAATGGCTTGCAGGTCTAAACAAATCTTTACAGAGTTATAACTTTCCTCCAACTTACTGTAGAATGTATTTTATATTTATGTATATGCTTACCAAATTTGGTTTAATGTCATCAAGTCATAATGTCATCACATGGCAAATGGGTTCTAATTCCCATAAAGCTACTCCTGTTTCAGTGCTATATGCTATAACTTCATACTTTGGGCAGGGATTCACAATTGAAGGCTTTCTTATATAAAAGCAATATTACAAACAGAAAGTTAATACGTCAGAAAAATGTGTTGCAGCTTCGTCTTCTCATTTTCCTCTAAAAGTTTACTTAAGTTAATGTAAATTTAGTCACGTAAGCCTTCAACTGTAACTGGAAGTATTAAAGACACAGACACGAAGGGTTAGGGTACAGTAAATTCAAAGCTGTTTTGTTTGTGGATCATCATGCCCTAGTTACCTCCCGTATGGACTACTGTAATGCTCTCTACATGGGGCTCCCCTTGAAAAGCACCCAGAGGCTCCAACTGGTCCAGAACGTAGCCGCACGGGTGATTATGGGCGCAGCTCGTTACGCCCATGTAACACCTCTCCTACGCGAGCTGCACTGGCTCCCGGTGGTCTTCCGGGTGCGATTCAAGGTGTTAGTTATCACCTTTAAAGCGCTCCATGGCTTAGGACCTGGGTACCTACGAGACCGTCTTTTGCCACCAATAGCCTCCCACCGACCAGTTCGTTCTCACAGGGAGGGACTACTCAGGGTACCGTCAGTCAAATTATGTCAACTGGCGACTCCCAGGGGGAGGGCCTTCTCTGTGGGGGCTCCAACCTTTGGAATGAACTGCCCCCGGAGATACGGAATATCCCTGATCTCCGTGCTTTCCGCCGTGCCCTCAAGACCCTGATGTTCCAACAGGCAGGGCTAAACATATGAACATGTGAATGATTTTTTAAATGTTATCTAATTCTGGGTTTTATTTAATTGACCAAACTAAGTATTAATTTTAATTAGCAATTTTATGATGTTTGTGTGTCTATATTTTTCTTGACTGTACACCGCCTTGAGTCCTACGGGAGAAAGGCGGTATAGAAATATAATAAATAAATAAATAAATAAATAAATAAATAAATAAATAAATAAATAAATAAATAAATAAATAAATCTTCATTAATCCAAAATTTCTTGTTTCAGAGAAATATAGAAATATGTTAGAAGATTTGCAGCAAGCATAACCAACACCCATCATTCCAATAATTGTTTAGTTCTTAGGACCCAAAAACCAAAGACATAGACTTTATAGCACACCAATCTGATTCAGGTCCCAGATTTACACCAAATCTGTAAAATAAACCTGATTGCAACTGGAGTTCCTCTAAGAAAATTAATCTATGGCTGCAACCAAAAATGCCACTCTTCACATAATGGAAGACTGCTACTCACCAAGCCACCAATGAGATCCAAACCACTTTGTCCCCAAGCAGACGCAGATGAACAGCAAAGAGAGAGAGAATTTCAGAAGAGATAGTTCCAGATGACTCAGGCAAGAGAACTACACCACACATTATAAGAGAAGGCAGAAAGCTTCAAAAATGGTTTATCAGTAGAGGTACTCTTAAGCTTAAAATGGATAAAATGCATATAATGGAATTCACTGATTATTGATGCAAAATTTGATAAAGGATGATAGAGAAGAGGAACAAGGAAAGTTTCTCCTTTTAAAGAGGAAAGTCTGTAAAATTCATCTCTTTCATTCAGGCTACTGTACATTTGTGCTGTGAGAACTCACCCTCTCTCCTTTTTCACCCCGCCTCTCAATAGTATCACCTGGGGGACCCCGAGGTCCCACTGGACCTGGAGGACCTGGGATCCCATTGCGTCCCTAGGGGGAAAAAAGAATGATTTTGTTTTATAATTGGGTACACTCTATTTCTTATAGCTGGATTCCTTTACTTAGTTCCCCATATCCTTCATGGATATATCCTTTTATAAAATGAAGGAACAGCAGCAGTACGAATCTCAAGGGGAGAAGGTGAAGGGGGGGGGGGTCCAAAATTTAATTAATTAATTCAGTTTGCTTGTGATCAGATAAGTGAGACAATATTCTTACAGCAAAATCCCTCTTCTATGTGCTCTGTAGTTTCTTGGCATTGAAATGACTATCATTTTAAATATCATAATTATTGGCTGCTAAATTAAATTATTTTTTCACATCTCTCATAACAGGCCTCTAAGATTTAGGAAGATTATTCTGTGTTGTGGGGAGGTTATATACAATACCCATAGATTTCTTTGATTTTCTGATTAACACTCCAAATGGCGAATGTATGAACACAGATTCTGATAAAGAATGACTTCAAAGAAGGACAGAAATTTCCAATCAATCTGTTCAGAAGAAATTTCAGAGTTTTGTTTGTGTGTTTGTATCTCTATGTCTGTCTGTCTGTCTGTCTGTCTGTCTGTCTGTCTGTCTGTCTGTCTGTCTGTCTGTCTGTCTATCTATCTATCTATCTATCTATCTATCTCATATATACAGAGAGATTGATTTCCTATAGGAGACTATAGGTATGTTCATATATGTTTCAGGACTGTTCCATTTTAGGTAATGTTAAATCCCATTTTATCAGATGTATATGTCCTATTTGTAAAAGCAAATGGATATGAAAAAAAATTGGTGTTTTTTTTAAAGAAATGGTATAACATAATGCACCAACATTATACATAATGTATAACGTACAAATACCATTGTCTCTAAATATAAAGTAACAGAGACTCTGCCTAAGGATGATACGGAATGGAACTAAAAAAATATGTTCTTGGATAGCAACACAATCAACTCAAAAATCCTCCTTGAAAAATCATGTAATTTGGAAACATTTAGCCTTGGAAAAAAGACTTCTGCAGCCATTGGTTTATACATGGTTTGATGAAAGACAAATTAACTGCAAAGGAGTTTGAGGAAATGGAGTAGGCCAGAAATTTCTAGAAAGCTAACTATTATTTCAAGAGCTCTTTCCAGTTTTATTATCTTGTAATGTTTTGGAGTCTTCAAATCTTTCCTCTGTGATAAATGTTGAACCAGTGAGATTAAATAAATTATTAAATCATCTAACTAATCTCAAATTTTTAAAAAACTTACTTTATTTAAGGCTTCTGGTGATTTGAATGAAATAGAAACTCTTTGAAATTCTGAAAGAGGTTCTGCCAATGATTTTAATCATGTTTGTTGCCCCCGACAAAAGAGTCAAATCAAACTAAGAGAGCTCAAGAAACAGGACCAAACCTCCTCCATATCACATGTTAGACTTGTTCTCAAGAAGGCCAAACATTACCGGATTTCCAGAAGGGCCAGGATTTCCCACTTGTCCTCTCTGTCCCTGCAAAATTATTGATAGATAAATGGTCAATTCCCAAGGAATGATCTATATTTTTCCCTTAAAAGAATCCGAAATACCTCCTTCTACAATAAATCTCAGATACTCACAGGCTCACCTGGCTCACCCTTCTCACCCTGTAGGAAAAGATACAATAGTAGGCTTGATTATATGAACTTCAGATACCTCAAATATATTTAATTAATTGTTTTAAAATAGGAATATGTGGGAAGTCTATATCTCTCTTCCCCAGCTACCAAAGAGAGTTTGGCGATCATGCTACAGAAAGAAGATGCTACTGAACCAATTTAGAAAAGCAATCTTCCCTGATGTCCTTCTCTTTTCCTCTTATCTAGATTGGCCCATTTAAGTTTCCTTGGTTGAGTAGCTATGTTTTCCTTTAGCTCTTTTTGAGTATCTATTAGAATTGGATTCTTTCTACACTACACTACATTAATTACAGTAATAAAGAAAAATACTGTTGCAATATTTTTAGGATCAGACTCAATAAGGATAATAAAGATTAGAGGTTTAAATATATCTCTCTTTATTCTTAACAGGCATTCTATATTCACTGAATATTTACAGATAGAAGCAAGGGAAATGGTGAGGGTGGCTCCTTATATATACAAAGGGCGGAGTCAAGGATGGGAGTGGTGAATTATGAATACATTAGGAAACAAAAAATAAGTTAACCCCTGATATCCCATATATACATTATTTACAGGTTAGGGAATAAGGCATTTACATCTGACAAATCCCCCTCTAAATGCCGGTTCGCTATACAACACCAATTACATTCAGATTCAGGACAATATAAGACATATAATTTTGAAGTTAAATATTTGTGCTGCTTAGAAGGTAAAGGCTTCGTTAATATATCAGCTAATTGTTCAGAGGTATCACAATGCACTGCTTTGATAAATCCATCTTGAGACAATTGTCTCACATGTTTAAACTTTATATCTATATGCCTGGATCTTTGTCCAATGGCATCGGATCTGGATATTTCAATGGCTGCTTTATTATCTTCATGCATAACAAAAGGTAAAGCAGGTTTTTTCCAGACATCTGAAATCAAATCATTAAACCATACAAGGTTATTTGCAGCTTTGGATAAACAAACATATTCCGCTTCCCGGTTGAAGTGGCTACCAGTTCTTGTTTACCAGTGTACCAGTAAACTGGACAGTTATTTAACAGAAAAATATAACCAGAAGTGCTCTTTCTGCATGATATATCTCCAGCCCAATCCGCATCTGCATAACAAGTAAGCTTTGGCTCTTTGTCATTACTAGGTTCTAATACTAAACAAAAATCTAATGTACTTTTTAGATACCTTAGGATTCTTTTGACAGCTTCCCAATGATACATAGTTGGTTTACTAACATGTCTTGACAATAGATTGAGAGGTAATGCAATATCTGGTCTGGTCCAATTAGATATATAAAGAAGTGAACCTATGACTGATCTATAGAATGTATTATCTTTAAATTCAGGGGAAGACTCATCATTGTTTCTAAGGAAATCAGTTTGCATGGGAGTGTCACATGGTTTAGCATTGTTTAGATTGCATTTGTTTAGAAGTTCAATAATTTTATCTTTCTGAGTGAGTTTGAATCCCCTTCTAGTTTTGTTAATTTGTACACCAAGGTATTTGTTTACTTTACCTAGAGATTTCAACGAAAAATGTTCGTTTAGCTTATTTACAAAGGTTTCTCTTCTCTCCTTGTTTTTTCCCTATATATAAAATATCATCTACATAAATTAACACGAATTCAATGTGATCATCACCCTTTTTTACAAAGAAACAGTTATCAGCGGTGGTAGCGTTAAAATCCATGGTCTTAAGTACTTTTACCAAACAATCATACCATCTTTTGCCAGATTGTTTTAACCCATATAGACTTTTGTTCAATAGCCAGATTTCATTCTTATTAGTGTATTGACTGTGTGGTGCCCTTACATATATTTCCTTATCTAGTTTCGCGTGTAAGTACGCAGTCTGTATATCATATTGGAATACATCAAGATTGAGTGCAGATGCCACTACCAGAGCTGTTTTAACACTCTCTGTTCTCACTGTGGGAGAGTATGTGTCAGTATAGTCCTCCGGATATTTTTGTGCATAGCCTTGTGCAACTAATCTGGCTTTGTATAGAGTATTGCCTCCTTCTAGATTCTTAATTTATAGATCCACCTAGTACCTATGATTGTTTTATCTTTAGGTGCGGTCGCAGGTGTGAATACATTTAATCCTTGCAAACTTTCCATCTCTTTTTTCATAGCTAGTTCCCATTTTTCTTTTTCTTCATAAGGGAGTTTTAATACTTCCTCATATGTATTAGGTGTTATTTGTTCACCATCCATATGCATTATATAATCTCTGTATTTACCTGGTATTTGATTTCTATTGTTTCTAATAGCTCTTTCAGGTTTGCTATGGTTGTCATGCAAATATCTTGCTTCCTTTTTTGTTAATGTGTCTGTCTTTATTTTGTGCTGACTATTTGTCCAAGTTTTGGTTTTGTTTGTATTTTTGTTGATATTTTGATTTTCTATTGTTCCTTTCTCACAAGATTTTGTATCTTTGTATTTATCTGGAAATATTTCATTAAGATGTAATTTAGACCAATTTGCTTGTTCATGGAACACAGCTGTTCTGGAGACTATAAATTTGTTATTATTATCAATGAATCTGTATCCTTTGGTGCCTGTTTCATATCCCATAAATCTTAATCTTCTGGATACGTTTTCTCCCTTCCTTCTCAACTGCTTAGGTATATGTACGTCTGCAGTGACTCCAAATATGTGCATGTGTGCTAATTTGGGTTTCCTATTATACATCACCTCATATGGTGTTTTATTCACAATACTGGACCAGGTTCTATTTTGAGTGTAATTTGAATAATGTAAGGCCTCTGACCAAAATTGTTTGCCTAAACCAGCATCCTCTAATGTGCATCTAATCATGGTTTGCAGTGTGGAATTCTTTCTCTCTGCAACCCCATTTTGGAACGCAGAAAATGGACTAGACGTGAAATGTAGCATTCCTCTATCCTTTAACCATTGGGAGAATTCTTTAGACATGAATTCACATCCCCTATCTGTCATAATTTGTTTTATTCTGATATTATGTTGTGTTTCTATGCGTTTGTAGAATTCCTTAAATTTCTGAAAGGTTTCATCCTTGTGTTTTTATGTGTAAACAAAACCATAGCGACTATAGTCATCTACTATTGTTAGGAAGTAACGCTTTCTATAAGTGATTGATGGAGTTAATGGGCCAACTAAGTCCATATGTACTAAATCAAAAATTTTGTTAGTCGATCTGTTGGATTTTTTTGGTCTGGGACTAGTTTTTAGTTTAGTTGATTTACATACTGAGCATTCCAAATAATTTTCACAATTTTTTATTTTGACACCTTCTGCGTGTTCAGTCATTTTTTGTACTACAGGAAAACTTGCATGTCCTAACTTCCTATGTAAGATGTGTGCACACTCATCATGAATTGGTTTACCTATTCTTGGTCTCTTCTCTTTGTGTGTATTTGTGTGATCATGAGGTATTTCACATTCATCATTGTCACTGTTACTAACATTTTCATCATCTGCCTCAATACAATCCTCCATATTTGAGTCAATGTTATGTAACCATCTTTCTTTTGTTACTAGATAGGGTAGTCCTCCTTTAATCATCACAGTACCAACATTTGTTTTGTCCTTCTCTAAGGATGCTTTCCCCTTTGAGAAGACTATATTGATGTCAGAATCTCTACTTAGTTTTATGACACTTAGTATGTTATGAGGTATTTTCAGGGATTAACAATACCCCCTCTATTTTTCCTAGACCAGGCAATGTTATGTTTCCTCTGCCTAATACTTGAACCTTTTCTTGATTAGCCACCTTTATTACAAACTTATCTTCTGTAAATGAAGATAGAATATTTTTGTTATTAGTGGTGTGATTGGTTGCCCCAGAATCGATAAGCCAATTATTGTTCTCATTTTGTTGTGTTTTTGTGCTGTCTTGTTTATTTAGTCCATTCAGTGAACCAGATTTTCTCTCTTTTGAATTTTCTCTACCCCCTCTATTCTCTCTGTAATTTGGTGGGCTTCTATATTTATATCTATCTGTGGAAGACTGTCTATAATTGTATCTGCTTCTATATTCTGGCCTATGTCTCTCCTTTGATATTTTGGGACAGTCTCTTCTATTGTGTTCCCTGGACCCACAATTGTGGCATTTAAAAGTTTCATTGTATTTTTCATGGAAAGCTACCTTCCTAAAAGGTTTGTGTTCTGTGTGATTGCTAGAACGATTTTTTCTTGAATTGTCTTCAGCTATCAATTTGTTAGATAGATTCTCTATGGATAAATATCCTAGATTGATGGTGTCTAAGTGTGACATAAAACTATCCCATGATGAATCAAGTGAATTGATAATAACACTTTTCATTGTTTGATCTGAAATCACTTCCCCCCTCAGATGCAGCTCAGCTCTTATTTTGTTTAGAGATATCAAATGCTCACTTATGGAAACCCCTGGTTTTACTCTAGAAGAAAAGAAATCCTTAGACATTCTCGTAGTGGTAGCTACACTGTCGCTGAGGAATAGATTAAACATGCATTGAATTATTTCTGAGACAGTTAGGTTTGGGTTTGATACTATGATACATTGCAGGAGATACGCTAGATATTATTAAGAAGAATGCTCTATGATGCAAACAATCTATTTTTAAAGTCCAAGGTCTTCTTGGAGGACTAGTGATAAAGAATAGTAAATTTTCTTTCATAAAGACAACCTGGAGCTGTTGATACCACTCTTGCAAATTAATGCCATCAACTCTAAGTTTTGGGAAGTCACTGGGTAAGTTTCCCACATTATTTTGTCCATTACTTACAACCTGAGGTAGTCCGTGATCTCGCAAGTGCAGGAAATTGCAAAACGGCATAGGGATGCTCGCAACGAGTCTGCGCGTTCTCTGGCCAGTTCAAGTCTTTCCGGACCGTCTACGTGGTTTCGCACATGCGCGTTGCTCATTTCTTCTTTGGCATCGTCGTGGAAGGTTCTTTCCATTTCAGCTCGTTCGCTCTGCTCCTCTTCAGACGAGTCGGTCTCTGGCTCGGTTTTAGGAGTTCTGATGGCGGCGGCTGTTCTTCTCTTTCTCCTGTGTGCGTTGATATTTGATCCGATCTGCGGCGTGGGGCGGAATCGGCATGGCTCTCTGGGCTCGGGCGTCGTCGCTCTCGAAGTCAGGATGGGAGCGTGTAGGTCTTGAGGTATCGGCTTGTTCTTTCGCTTCTTCGTTGGCGCTTCGGAGATTTTTAATTTTGGCCCAAATGCAGCAAAAAGCGTCTTCATTGCTGATTTTATTTGGGATTTGGTAAAATCGTCTTCGCTATCTGATTCGGGTTCTTCTGGAGATTTCGAATCTTCCTTTTCACTTTCGTTGTCAGATAACGTTTTTCGCGCCGGAAATTTTGAACTGAGCATTTTGATTGGCTCTGCTTCGCTCCCTTTGGAGGCTTGTTGAAACCAAGATGGCTGCCATTCAAAATTTCGCGTGGCATCACATCTTTTCTTTTTCATAACGACTTTCTCTGTAGTCATATCACTCACAGTTTTTTGGTCTTTGGGTTTCTCTTTAGCGATGTTTTTCTCTCTCGCTGCTCCGCTGTTCTTCAGCATTTCTTGGAGATTCGCGATGAGACTTTCATCATTCTTCTGGCTTTTTAATATCTTTAATATTTCTGACCTGAGTTCGTTATTTTCTATTTCGATTTCCTCCTGGTCATTATTTTCATTTATTAGTTCTTCTTCTTCTGTGGTGTACTCTTCGGATTCTCTCGAAATCGCGTTTGTGGATTCGTTGATTATTTCTTGTTCAGTTTCTATTTCTTTGCTGTAGGCCCTGGTGTTGGGCCTATCTTTCTTAGACATTTTTAATTATTTATTGAGTCAATTAACCATCCTCTGCTACCAGTTTGTTGCAATATTTTTAGGATCAGACTCAATAAGGATAATAAAGATTAGAGGTTTAAATATATCTCTCTTTATTCTTAACAGGCATTCTATATTCACTGAATATTTACAGATAGAAGCAAGGGAAATGGTGAGGGTGGCTCCTTATATATACAAAGGGCGGAGTCAAGGATGGGAGTGGTGAATTATGAATACATTAGGAAACAAAAAATAAGTTAACCCCTGATATCCCATATATACATTATTTACAGGTTAGGGAATAAGGCATTTACATCTGACAAATACATTAACATCTCACCCTCCCCTTAAGACCCCTAAAGGTCAGATGATGTCAACATCCAGGTTGTGAGACACTTTTAAGGCAATGAGACACCAAAAGGGGAGATGCAATAGAGGATTGCATTTCACAGGAAACCATTATGGATTTTAATGAAGACAAGGACCACTTTATTCTCTGCTTTACTTTTAAGTTTATGAGGTTTGAGTAATCTTCTAATAATACCATGGGGAGGAATTGTGAATAACTGTTAAAAGTTCTTTTTCTTTTCAGGCATGTCTATATTTTAGAACAAAAGTTTAGTGCTTGTATTTTATATTGGGAATTTGAGACAGATTGGAGATTTTATTGATGCTGTGGCCCTAAAAGTGAATTCAAAGTGTTGGTATTAATTTCTAAAGCTTTACATAGTTCAAGATTGCAATATCTGGTGGAATATTTTTTCCTATTTCTGCCCATAACCTGAGATCATTTTTGGAGGTCCTGTTTCAGGTGCATTTTCAGGATGAGGTATGGAAAATAGCACGTGTCAATTTTGAATGGATATTCTCTCTTACTGCCACTTTTATTACATTATAGATTTAATGTCATACTTTAATTGCTATATTTAATATTTTAATCATTTAGAATGTTATTTGGTCACATTGCAATCTATTACAAGCTGCCCTAGTAAAATCCTGGCAGTTTACACATTATTGAAAATAGTTAGTGTTCAATAAATAGTCTTAACCATAGAATATTCTTTTTTAAAAAATATTTTAAAAATATTCTTTTAATAATACTGCATAAATAAAACAAGTTGGGGCAACCTGGCCATAAGAGGAATTTCTCCCATTTTTACAAATGACCCTGACTTTTTTTTCTTGGTTTTTAATCTTCATCTTTCCTTTGCCACCTGAGAGAACAAATACTGTTTATGAGTAGAAATCTTGTGAAGCATAATTGTCAGTGACTTACCTTAGGGCACTGCACAGTACAGACGTCTGGTCTAGACTGAAAAAAATCCCAAAGAATAAAAAGGTGAGTGTTAAGATAGTTACAATGCAAACATTTACATGTTAGAGCAGTGATGGCTAACCTTTTTGTTGTCACGTGTCAAAGGTGAGCGCACACACACACCCATAATGCAATGTGTGCACGCCCCCTGCATGCGCCCCCTGCATGCATCCTCCCCTGCCTGCTACCCGCCACCCCCCTTCCCCCCACAGGAGCGGCAGAGATCCGAAAACCAGCTGGCCAGTGGGAGGCGCACGCACACGCATGGTGGGACTGAACTGGGGCGATGGCTCACATGCCCGCAGAATGGGCTCTGTGTGCCACAGGCTCACCATCACGGTGTTAGAGGCTTGGCTTTAGACTCAGGTCATGCGCTAAGTAATATTGTATTTTGGAGTTCATGGAAATATAAAAGAAACTGGTTTTTTTGGGGCAGGGAAGACCACAAAGTCTCTTGCTGAATTCTTTAAGGGCTCCAGTACAAAACAGACACATCCACCAGATCCATTTCCTTTCTCTCACACATGGATCTTCAGGAGGACTAGAGGGGAAAAAAAAGGCTAAAACCTTTCTGTGCACAGCTCATTTTAACTAAGTCCCTATTACCATAGGTGTTAAGAAAACTTTATCAAGGAAAGGTAAGGCATATAGGGAGGTTTTAATCCTGTCTCGGTATACCACCACCCTGACTACTATGGTTGCTTTTGAAAGGGAGTCCCTGCTAATCTGAAGATGACCGATCAGATGAGTGGATTGGAGTGGTCAGTAAGCCTTGATAAGTGACCTTGATAAGCCACCTGTTTAGTGCAATTGTGAAGAGGCGAAGATAAAGTTGCTTCATCAGAAACTACAGGGAGCAGGACAGTGGTAAAGTACTTTTTACACTTTGGCAGGACATGATATGCACCAGTAATGTCAAACTCAAGGCCCGGGGGCTGTTTCCAGCCCACGGGGTGCTTAGATTTGGCCCACAGGGCTGCCCTGGAAACAGTGAAAAACTTGCCCGTGGTGCCTCTGTTGGCGAAAATGGACCTTGGGAGGGCCGCGTGCAGCCCTCTTGAGCTCCGTTTTCACTGGCAGAGGGTTGCAGGAGGCTGTAGCAGTCAAAAACGAAGCTCGGGAGCCCGATTTCTCTGGCAGAGCGCTCGGGTGCCAAATGACGTCAAACTGGCCACGCCCACTCCGGCCTCTCGAGGTCAAACACAACCCTGATGCAGCCCTCAATGAAATTGAGTTTGACACCCCTGATATGCACAGTAACTGGATCAAAGGTAAAGGTTATTATACAAAGCAGGAATTCCACTTGTTGTATATCTATCTATTTTCATCCTGTAGAAGAAATTCTGGACATAATGCAAAGCATAGAAAGCCATTGTGCTTTCCTCCTTCAACATTTCTTCTATAGCATGATTGCTATCTGAATGCCAGAGGCCATTGCTTTTCCATACCAATTGTCTCATTTACCTTCTCCACTGCTGGATCTATTGCTAGGAAAACTGCAGGCAATTATTTCCTCTGCTGCATGAGCAGTGCCTTACCCCATCTACCATGGATGATCTGCAGAGGGCACTGGCAAGCCCCATTTCCACCTCTGACAGGCTGTTTGAGTCTCGCACAAAGAAAACGTTACGTGATTCTTCACTGGTTACAAGGCGACGCAGTTGTTCACGATCGGCTCCTTCCATCCCCACTGCTAGAATCTGGATTCCTGCAAGGTCCACAAAAGGGAAACTTAGAAGAGATCCTCCATGTTAATTATTCATTGGAGATTGTGCAGTCCAGGTGAAGAAACTAAGGACACAAGTAGCTCAGCTGATTTTCTAAAGGTAAATTTCAGCCAGGGCTACCCAAAGTGTACCAAAGCAACTTAAAAGATACCTGGAGGGGGGGATTCTATTTTTTCAGCCCAGTCAAATGACAGACTGCTCAGTTAGAACCCAAAGTTGCTTTTTCAAGAGGCAACTGGACTTTCTGGTTTTTCTTTGAAGATGTTTCGCTTCTCATCCAAGAAGCTTTTTCAGCTCTGATTAATTCTTCAGAGCTGAAGAAGCTTCTTGGATGAGAAGCAAAACTTCTTCAAAGAAAAACCAGAAAGTCCAGTTGCCTCTTGAAAAAGCACCTTTGGGACAACCCTGACCTGGATGACTGAGAATCTCTATAGATACTCATACCTTTGTCACTTCCCTATTGGACTACTGCAATGCCTTCTATAAGAGGCTGCTCTTGAAAAGCATCTGGAAACTACAGGAAGATTCTTGTTAGAGAGCAGCAGCTACAAGAAATGCTTCTCTTATGTTTGTTGCATTCCAGACATGAGGGATAGATGACTTACCAGCAGCTTTGATTTCCCTGGCCGGCCCAGTGGCATCATCACTGGATGACCCATCTGCCAATATCACTAAGGTTCCTGGAACGCCAGATCTTCGCCCTGCAGTGGGGCTCAGCATGTAGCTCTTCACAAAATTAATGGCTGCTCCTTCATAGAAAAAGTAACGACAGATATGCATCCAGAGAAACACACACACTGTAGTAAGAGCACTAGTGATATATTGCTCATTTCAAGTTTTCATCAGCAATTCCTGTGAATATTGACATCATGGTCACAGGTAGAATTTCAAAAGAAACAGGATTGCTTCTTTCTCTTCCTGCTGAGTTCTTTGAACAAGGAACTAACAGCTCCCTCCCTGTTCCTTGAATCAAAGGAATGGGTGACTCCTTACCTATGGCATTGCCTCTAGGTTCCTCATAGCGCAGTGAGCGAATGTGCTGCAGGACACTTGCTAAGTCATTGGAACGATTAAGCAGGAGTAAAGGGAGGCCTCGATAGCTGTACATTGCAATGCCCACCTGGAGTAGGCAGAAAAGAAAAAAGAAATGTGATAAAAGCAGAATCAAAAGATGAAGTAGCATGTAGTCAAATTCCCCAACTTAGGAACAGAGAGAAACCAGGAGTGATATTCATTTACTTCTCAGCTGTCTAAGATAGGCAAGATTAGGAAACAAGAGTTGTTAGTAACCTTGGAATGTATTTTAATGCAATTAGGCTACTGCACCAGAAATGTGAAAGCCCACCAAACCAGTGGTGAAATCCAAATTGTTTTACTATTGGTTCTGTGGGCGTGGCTTGGTGGGCATGGTGTAGTTTGGTGGGCGTGGCAGAGGAAGGATACTGCAAAACCTCCATTCCCACCCCACTCCTGGGGGAAGGATATTGCAAAACCTCCATTCCCACCCCACTCTGGAACCAGCCAGAGGTGGTATTTGCCGGTTCTCCGAACTACTCAAAATTTCCGCTACCGGTTCTCCAGAACCTCTCAGAACCTGCTGGATTTCACCCCTGCACCAAACCCCCAATCTACTTCAAGTTATACTATTACAATGAAGGTGGTGTGGTTTTGAGCTTCTTTCTCATGCTTACTACCTTCCCAGAAACTCAAGTATCTTTTTTGTAATTGCTCAGTATTCTTCTCTCCTTTCTCTCTGAATCCCAATGTTTCATCCCAGAACTGGATCCCATCCCTGTCATATCCCTGCAGGATCAAAGTTTTGATTCACAGCTATTTGGATGGCCAAATAAAACACCACCACATGGAGGTTACAGAACATATCTTTATCAAATTTTATCTTTTGTCACCTTACTGACAAAACTATAGATTTGCAATGATAGAATGAAAATCAACAAGGTTATAATTGGGTTCACTTCACCCAATTAAAATAACTCCCAATGTCTTTGTGCATGTGAATCAAACAAGAACAAAAGCACTGCAAAATCTTGATGATGTAGGTTACCCGGGTAGTTTCAGGGCCTGGATGAAGATTGGATATAATGTTGGAGAGGAAGCTCTGCACAACCTCTGCATTGAAGGCTTTGTCTCGAGTTGTATGTACAAGAAAAATGACATCACGCTGGGCATCTGGACAGGCTGCAGGGTGGAATGTTTCAGAAAGAGTCAGAATGGCATCAAATGGATTGGGAATATAAGCTAAAGGTCTGATTTTCCCTTCCTCTACCCCCACCCCAAATGCAAATAATAACTGAAGAGATTTAACTTCCTGTGTAGCTGCTTGTAATTCTCAACCAGAACCTTTCTAAATCAATTCTATTTTATTTTTAAATATTGCAATATTTTAAAACATTTGTTCCAAATGGCTTGCCATATGAATCTGAAAGATCTAGCTAAATCTACTCAAACAACATTGAACCAAGGGAGTGCCATATAATCTCTCTGTAAACAGGCCAAAGAATATACAAATCAGGAAATCCAAAATGTAAGGTCTAAAATAGGATCATCATTGTTAAAAACAAACACCCCAGGACTCCCTCTCAAAAATAGGACTTCACCCTTTTCTCCCACCAAATATTAAGTGAATTGACCAGCAACTTGCAAGCAAGAGGCTCTAGAGACCCACTGGTGTCCATGGCAAACTACTGTGATGCCAAAATGATAGCATGCTGTGAAGAATTCAACAAATGTTATTATTTACTTGCGGATGAGCTTCTGACACAAGTATGTAATTTATAGCACCTGGTTGATCACACATGCTTTGTTATTTGTCCTCTTGAATGGATACCTTGGTAAAGACATTCTTCCATAAAGCAAAACCTCACCTATCTGGTGAGAAATAGAAACCTCAGCACCGGAGATGCTCCCAAACAGTGGGCGAATCATAAAGGCGTATTGCTCCCCAAAATGCAACCCAGACACTTGGTAGGATGTTTCTGATGCAGGCAATGTTCTTTGTGCCTCTTCTCCCTCTGAAACAAAGGAGAAACATGATAGAGGATTAACACAGAGAATTTTACACAGGGCTAATAATGCAGATAGTGTGTCTCACAATATATTGGCTTGTACGCTTGTTAATTGGTCACAATACTGCTCTATTACATTGCTGCTATGGGAGCCTTCATTCTCATGGTCTTTTGGAAGCTGGTAAAAACCTGACACTTCTGGACCTTTGGGGATTGATTAGGGAGTCATTAGCACCAGAGATTTTTGTATGATTTGTTAATATCCTTTATTTAGTATTAATATCTGCAAACTATCTAGAGTCTGAATGGATTGAGGAAGTGGAAGAAACTGTATAAATAAAGAAACCCAGTATTTTATTTGATACCTGCTTATATCACATAAGTTTAAGAGCAGTAGTGGCGCAGTGGTTAGAGTGCAATACTGCAGGCTACTTCAGTTGACTGCCGGCTACCAGCAGTTCGGCAGTTTGAATCTCATCGGCTCAAGGTTGACTCAAACTTCCATCCTTCCAAGGTCGGAAAAATGAGGACCAAGATTGTTGGGGGCAGTATGCTGACTCTGTAAACTGTTTAGAGGGGGTTGTAAAGCATTGTGAAGCAGTATATAAGTGCTATTGCTATATCTAAGCATAAGGTCTTAGGGGTAAGGTCTTTTCCCTCATAACAACAATCCTTAAGAGTAGATTAGTCTGAGAAAGAGTGACATGTGTAAAGTCACCTCGCAAGCTTCCGTTACTGAGTGGAAACTAAAATTTGGGTTTCCCCATTCCTAGCCCAATACTTTGACCACTACTCCACAAAAAGTTGTGAAGGGAAATCAGAGCTCCTATATGACTGAACTCCTGGAGGAAAGGTGTGATGTATATCAAACATAAGCCCAACCTCTTGGAGATTTCCATGTGAGAAGATAGCCAGAAGCCCCAGGAACTGGAGTCCAGGACAATGTTAGAGAATCCTTTTGAGAATCTGTCACCTGGAAATTGGCCACTCGGCCCACAGCTGCTGAAAAAATAAAAGTAAATATGGGACAGGTAGTTTGGTCCTTGATAGTTGAAAGAAAAATCTAGAGAAGCTCTTCATAGGAACTCACACTGACGACCACAGAGAGTAGATGTCACACTTGTGTAACCTTACAAGGTTTAATGGGATGATTTCATTTGAAAGTAAATGGCCCAAATCACCCCATAATAGCTGCTCCAAGAAAAAAAAACCTGGGATTTTTTAGCTAGTCCTTGACTTACAAAATATAATTGGAACCAGAATTTCCATCACAAAGCATGGCAATTATTAAGTGAGTTGCACCTGATTTTACAACCATTTTTTTGCCATGGTCGTTAAATGGATCAGTGCAGTTGTTAAGTGAATCACATGGTTGTTAAGTAACTCTGGCTTTCCCTACTGAGTTTGTTTACTGGAAGCTGGCTGGGAAATGGTGATGGCATGAGTCAGGACACTGCAACCGTCATAAATGCATGCTAGTTGCCAAGCACCCAAATTTTGATCACATGACTGTAAGGGATGCTACAATGCATTATGCATCTCTTAAATATGATAACTGGTTACAAGCCAGTTTTTTCAGTGCCATTGTAACTTTGAAATATTACTAAACTAATGGTTGTAAGTTGAGGGCTACCTCTACCTAATGCTTTGCTTCAGCTGCTTCTTTGGCCCTTCAGAGGTCTTTTGTGCACACACAGTGCAGAAGTCACTTTCTTTGAAGCAGATTGGCCTGTCATGATGCTTGTGAGGCTGAGTACATCCCTGCCAATGTTTTAAGCTTAAATGAAAGTTCATACTATTTCTGATGCTTAAAGCAGATTGCTGAGGTGGAGTGCATAAGCATTTTACAGATCTGGTATTTATATACCAGAGATGAGTAGTATATAATACAGCTATATGCAAAACTAGTGTTATTGTCTGTGGCACATTGACTTGAATATTATACAGAGAAAAGCAGTACTGTACATAAAAACCAAAGCAATAAAATAGAGATAATTTATACTGTCATAGTTGAAAAAAATGTCCACTGTTGAAACTCTGCTTTTTGAAGTACGTTCTTAGATGCTTTATCTGCTTTTTGAACTATCTTCTTATATGCTCTATAGACAAGTGTGGAAGAAACAGCCTAATAGCAACATTCTGGTGTAGCACCCTTATTTGGGAGTTTTCCTTCTAAAAGGTTAGACTAATATCTAGAAAAGCTATTCATGCTTTTATTTATGCTTCACTTCAGTTTTAGATTATACATTTTGCTTTGTGTGATGTTTCAACCTTTTTTTAAAGGACAATAAACTGTTCTTTAAAATTGTTTTTTAAAGGATGGGTTTTTTTAGTTTTAAGTTTAAAAATGGAGCTGCAACAGCCAATGGAATTACATATCACAAAAGATGAGAGATTCAAATATCTACTGATCTTTGGCAATATTACAGAAGATCCTTACAATTACATATCAAATACAAATATAATTTCTCTAATCTGCATGAAAGAACAACAAAACTCTAAAGCAGGTCTCTTAGCTGCAAGAAAACACAACAATGCTTTCCCCAGAAGTAGAGGCCAACAGGGGCCATTAATGAAAACCAATAAACCAGATAGAATTGGTTTATCTCTGTCTGGTCTCTAATTCTTCTTACATATGAAATTTACATTCTATATTTAACTAGAGGCTACTCTAGCAACTTTTGTGCTATAGACTTCTATCTCTGGATAACAGAGAGTTGGGTTACCAGTGGTGGCAACAATGGCCACAGCTTCGCTCTCCCGGTTGCCACTCAGACTTGTGATGCGGATGTCGTAGCGCCCTCCTGGCTGCAGATCTTCAATGACATAGGTGTTAATATGGGCTGGCAACAGCTGACTCCTCTCAGGCCCACCTGTCCCATGTAAGAGAGCTAGTTAATTTATTGGATAATGGGTGCCAATAATAGAGGAGGTGTATACATATAGGAAAGTATATATAGGAAGGTATATATAGGAAGTGTTGATCACCTGCAGGGCGCCAGGTGAGCCGATAGCCTGTGCTCCCCTGTGCTGGGCTCCATTCTAGTCGAATATGGGTTACTGAGGAGTCAGTCACACGCAGGTTTCCAACCGGTTGAATTGGGATTGCCGCTAAAAGGAAAGGTATGACGATTAACAATGGAAAAGAAGCCAGGAAGTCTGATCTTTAACAATGAGAAAAAGATACTCTAGGAAGATGAAACATTATGAAACATAGATAAGATTTATGTCTTCGGTATGAGATAAAAAAAAATGTTTTTCCACTTTCAGTTTTTGTTTTTTTTTAATTTGATTTATATGCCGCCCTTCTCCGGAGACTCAGGGCAGCTTACAATGCGTTAAGCATTGAGGTATGAGGTAAAAAAAAATTTTTTCACTTTAACTTTAGATGATTATTCACTTCATGAATAATCACTGAAATATTACCTAATAATACCTGAATAATCAATTATGTGATGGAATGATGTATCTGGAAAATATTTTCAGAAAAATAAATTCTTTCTTTAGAAAAAATTCTATGGGGTTCTTTGATTCTGAGGATATCTTTACAGAAAATATAATGATCAATTAATGAGGGAGGATTAAGTTTTCTGAATCTGGAGCTATATATTGTCACATATTAAATACTGGAAGCCAAACAATTGGTGTTAATTTTCCAATTTGGGCAAGTTTGGAATATCTATCTATCTATCTATCTATCTATCTATCTATCTATCTATCTATCTATCTATCTATCTATCTATCAATCTATCTATCTATCTATCATCTATCATCTATCTCAACGTTGGTTAAATGGATAGTATTAGGATCTAAACATGTATGCCTGGAAACAATTATGTTAGTTGAAAAGTTATGGAATGGAATGTCCAATAAAAAGATTTGACCCTTTTCCCATGCTAAATTGACATTATGGGGAAATTGAACTTTAAAAATTGGGGAAAAACTGGAGATATGAAAAAAATGGGTGGAAGCTAAGATTTGAAGCAATTGATAGATAAAAATGAATTTTTAATATATGCTGTGTTGAAAGATAAATAAATTAAAACATTCCAGAGGCAGAACCTCCTTTATTCATAGTTTGTGCACTCAGAGAACTTCTCTAAGGATGACAAGTGCAGGAACAATACAATGTAGAGTGTTAAATACCAGTAGAAAGTGCCACATAATTTCCCTCCAAATCTTAGCAAAGAAACCAAAGCATAATACAACTAAAATTAGTAAGATTAGTAAGAATCTGACACACAAATAAGGATGAATAAGTCTTACGTGTTGTGACAGTAATAGACACAGGATTTCCTTCACGATTCCCAATCAGTGCTGTGACTTTTACAGTGTAGCTGACTCCTCCTTCCAGGTTTTCTAAGTCAAAGGAATTAACGTTTCCCATGACCAGTTTGCTGCTCTCAGGTCCACCTTTAAAAGAAGAGAATGTGACTTTGCTAGTGAAAAAGATGACCAAAGCCATGCAAGATTATTGTAACCCACACAAATAAGTATAAAGTTTGATCACAGCAACAAGAAGCCTCTCTTTTTCCTAATTCTACATTTCCTTTCAGTAAACAAGAAAATCTCCAACTTCAGCCTCAAAAGATCTGTGTTTTTGATTAATGACTGCTTTGTTTTTCACTCCTAGAACTAAGATGCGCAAATTAAGTCTGCACTGTAAAAGGCATTCAGAATGTGTGTGTGTTTGTGTGTGTGTGTGTGTGTATTCAGGTTGCTTTTAACATTCATAGGGATTTTTTTTTAAAAAATACTTAAATCTTCATTTTCTTAATAAAACTGTGATGTCAGTTATTAGCTATCAAATCCATGGCTTGTACTGTATTTTTTTCCCCTCTAAATCCAATTGCATAGTTGTGATAATATAATAATTATTTTGTTGTAAAATATAGAATACTTATAATTATGTAACATGTAATAATTAAGTCGTTGTAATAATGAATTAATGTATATTAAAAGTATGTGTTTGCAAGATTTTTTTAAAAGTTGCTTGAGCATTCCCTGCTTCCATTCCCAAGCCCATTTTAGGACATTTTAACAGTATATTTCACTTGATCCATCATTGAGATTAAAACTATCATCAGTGTGCTGATAATATATCAGGCTGCACCAATGGATAACCTCTCCCAGGGACTATAAGTGGTTATGAAAATAAGGAGACTCTACAGGTCAACAGCAAACAAGTATTTTCTTCAAGAGGCTCACAACATCTCACAATTAATGCGAGGAAACCAGAAACAGAAGATCAATAAACTTTGGCAGCTTCCTTACCACTACGCTGGTTCCATACCACTCGATATGCTGTAGCCCCTGGGACCCCAATCCAAGAGATGCGTACCACATTTCCCCTGGATTCAAGGACTCTGAGGCTGGTGACTGTTCCCACTGGATCAAAGCCTTCAAGTTAAAGAACAAAAAAAGAATGATTGGTAATAGGATTCTCAAGGTGAGAATCAAGGTGAGAATCTGTCCTCAAAGGGCAGAGAGATAAGCATTGACTCATCCGCAACTACAACTGGTCTCACCTGTTGTAACTGAGGTGGTAGCTGAGCTCCCTTCTCTGCTACCAACTAAGGCTGAAACCTCAATGAAATAGACAGTTCCAGGTCTCAAACCATCAATGGTGTAAGAGTTTATATCAGCTGGTAGGAGTCGAGAGATCGCTTGACCTGGAAGAGAAAAGGTGTGTTCAAGATGAAGGCAACAGATTAATCACACAAGGAAGAAAACAGTGAATTCTTACATCTTAAAACCACCAGAGAGTGGTGCCAAAATCAGCCAATGCTTCCAGGCTAAAAAACAATCTGGAACTCAATCACCCTTTTGCATTTTAAACTGTCATTCTTTGATCAGAATTTGATCAGAATATCGTGGAGAAAATGTGCACTAAAATCCCTTGATTAGCAGAAATTATAGCAAACATTGTTTCATGTTTGTTGGCTATATGCTGCCTTGAGCTTCTGAAGAATAGGTGGAATATAACAAATAAAATAAATAATATGTATACTTTATTAACCCATTTCTTCCTTTATTTGAGTTTGTAGGAATACAAAACATGCATATTGAAGAAATGAAAATATCTGCAACATGCATGTTTCTGGAAAATTTGCTGAAATGTTTGCCAAGAATAAACTTGTACTTCAAAAATTCAAAAGTTGTAAAAAAAAAAAAAAAAAAGGTGCATATTTGCTGTGGGTATCTGCTTACTCAAATCTGGCAACTAAGAAACCAGGATTTTCACATCTAACTAGCAATCTATACATGCTCCAAAAACATTATATGGGAGGCTAAATGTAAATAATTATGTTTGCAACATAATTTGCAAGATGCAAATTTCATGGATAAAGCATCTCATTGGGCAAAAAAGAGTTCCATGTGCATATAAGAGGAAACAAGGAGGGAAATGCTGCTGTCTTAAGGAATGCAAACAAAAAAGCAGAATGGAAAGAAAAAAGAATCAACACATGGCCAGCAACAGGGTGATGGATAGTATATTACATAATACATTTCCTGATCTGAGAGATGAAATCACAGCTAATATACTCCAGTCCCCAGAGTTTCCTGTTAGCTAATTAATTTTAGTCCTGACAGATTCAATAATGAAAATCAGATCACAAGAAGATACAAAACACAGATGCCTAACTTTTAATTTCTTTTCTGCTATCATACACAACAGGAAATCATTAGAAGATTTTGTTCATGAAATTCAATGCTCTGTGATTGTTTTTATCAGTACATTAACTTCATTTTCAAAATGTCAACTGAAAATGAAATATTAACTATTTTACCTGATACAAACATATCAACTAGGTAGACTATATCAAGATACAAAATCATTTCTTCGTTGGCTACTACAATAAAGACAAGAAGGCATAGAAGGGAATATTCTTTTACATACTCTGAATATAAACTATTATATTGTACTTCAATGGAACGTGTACAGTTTAAGACTACAGGACTAAAATACCAAGGCTGTTGCCTCTTTATAATAAAATGTATTTCACAGATTGCTAGAGGATAACTAAACTTTGAGGACAAAATATCCAATTTAATTTTTCTATCTGAGGTTTTGTTGCATTTTATAATCCCCCAATTTATTCAGAACTGACAGAGATGAAGCAAAAATTATCTATGTATCATCTCAATTTCTTGGATGCTATTTCTCAGGGTGTGGAGAAGAAGGAGGACGAAGGGGACTGATGAAATCTTTCAATTTTATATCTTCTAAGAAACAATGAGATAATGTTAAAATATGCCACACACTGTGCAAGCAACAGAAACAGATATTTTGGCATTCAGAAAAGTAGCAAGCTGAAATTGAGCTGGCCTTCTCTAATAGGAGTGCAAGTTTCTCCTAGAAAAATGTTATTATTTTCTTGTAATTATTCATATTAAAGTAAAATATATATTTAATCTTATGTATATTAAGGCTGGGTAGTATTTTGAATCTGAAGCAGAAAAAATTGCTTTGGAGCATATAGCAACTATTAGCAGCTCCTTAAACCAAAAACATCTTCCATAGGGTGGCCTATAGCTATGGAGAGAAGCTATTTTGTCCAAGGAAACGATGCAGTTGCTATAAAAAGTTGTTGGCATGTCCTATATAAGCATCCCTGCTCATTCTAGAACGAACACACACAGTTGCACACACACTAAGCCAAGAAAAATAACTCCAAATTGGATTTGGCCCATCTGTGAGTATATATGGTACTATCTATATATTCCTAGTCTATTTGTGAATAAGCCCATATGCAGATAAGCTGCTCTCAAATTTTTAACCAGCTGTGCCACCTGTGGAAAATTGTGACAATTAAAACGATATGAAAACTTTGAGGGTTGGCTTATCTCCAGATGGCACATTTTTCACAGTATTTTAATTAAAAATATGAGTTGAGTTGGCTTATCTTCAGATGGGCTTATACACAATATTAATATATACCTTGTGTATGTGTATAAAATCTATTATATACTTAAAAAATTTTCAAAGGAAAAAGTCACTAATCCTGTTTTAACTTGTTTTGCATTGGGACAACAATCCAGTCTGTGCTTATGAATGCTTATGAAATATTTTAATGTTAAGAAGAGCCTTTTGCTTAGCGCTGACAACTAACTGCCTAAATAGTTCTGAACTGCAAAGAGATTAGCTTGCTCAGAGACACAGATAAACTCTAGCATTTTATCAGATTACTAGTGTTTCCTCTTCTAAAATTATTTGGTTTTGGCAAAGTTTTAAAAGCTTATTGGCTTAATCTTTTGAGTCCATTGACTTGCCTCAATGGCAATTGTTCTGTTTTTTTGTTTGTTTGTTTGTTTTAACAGGAAGCCAAAAAAAGAAAAACGCTAAGTAGAATATTTTTTAGTTCATAGGCAAGTGTCAAATTCTGCCCCGATGCAAAATCAATTTGAAGGGAATTCTCACTGAATTCCTTACAGAAGTGCAGTTTAAGGTCAAATTATGACCCAAGGTTAGCACTGGGTTAAAAACATCCAACTTTCAGAAGGATCCAGTAGGAAGGCTGTAAATTTCAGAACCAAGTTTGACTGGGCTTTATGGATATTTCAATTTGCTTTAAAATCACATGGCCTGCTTGCCACCAAATTGGTATTTATTAAAACAACTCTGTGGCATTAGAATACGCTTTCAGAGAAGGCCTTTCTCATCAAGATAGTCCTGTCTCATTCATAGAATGAAATGAGGACAACTTTACTTTTCAGTGTTTTATCCCAATTTCTTCCATATTTTTTTTCTTTCCAAGAAAAAGTCACTAAGGAGGAAAAGCTGGAAAAGTAGCACAATCATGTTAGGAAAAAATATGGTAAAAAACTCTCCAATAGGAAGCATCCAAATACCTCAGGATTTGCATTTTGTTTTCTTCCCTCCATATATTGCCTTGACATCATGTTGCCACCCACACTTCAATACTCAAGTAAGATAAAATCCAAAAATGTACACTTCAGCAGTTAGAATGCCTTATTTTATGACTTGTCAAAACTCACCCTCTCTCAATCGCCATGTCACTTTATAGCCCGTGGCCCCAGGAACCCGATTCCAGGTAACACGCAATTGATTGGGCCCAGATGGAGCTGCCTCTAAGTTGCTGATGCTGCCTACAGATTGACGTTCTACAAGGTCAAGCATATAAAAGAAAGAATGATGCGTATAAACCATTGAAAAATAATAAAATGGTTACCATTATTTAATATAAATTATTTCAAATATAGAGTTGTTCTTCCTGCTCTTGAATATTTCCTCAAGAATCTGTGCAACCAACTTGTTAGAGAAGGAGACATTCTTTTCAGCCCTTGGTGGGGAGCTGAGGCTGAAACATCCTACTTTATCTAAAGCAGTGGTGAAATTCAATTTTTTTTACTATTGGTTCTCCAGAACCTGTCAGAACCTGCTGGATTTCATCCCTGATCTAAAGTCCTCAGTTGTGTTTATCTGCTTCTCCCATCCTGATCTTTCTGCAGAGCAAGGATAGAAATAAGTGCCAAAGACTGGTATTTCACAGTTCTGAGTATTTAATGAGTAGCCTTAGTTAAAGCAACCTAAGTTTTAAAAGACATTAGAAGGAGCATGTTCCTGCCTTGTTACTGCTGCATCAAATCTTGATTTACTGCTAAGTCTTTACCAGCCATAATGACTGTGCTGTACTGAAGAGGTTTTTTTAAAAAAGTCATAATACAGTTGTCAAGAGAAGGAGGCAGCTCTGGCGTCAGAAGAGAACGCACCAACTTGGAAAGTAAGGGTGGCAGGAGTGCTTTCTTGGGTGCCCAACTGTGTAGTTATTTGTACTAAGTATGTGACACCCTCCTTTAGATCTTGCAATTCAAAGAAATTCTGGTCTCCAGGAATTCTTCTTGTTTCCTCTGAACGATCTGAAACAAGATGCAAAGGAAGCAAAATCAACCTGGGATTTTGGGAAGCTTTAGTTAGCACCACAACCCCATCTCTCCTTGTAAGCCAGACAAAAACATTATTTTTCAATACTGGGTCACACGCTCATCTTCAGATCTTTCATATTATATTTTTTTGAATTTTATTATATTATTACCATATTTTTATTCTTTGGTTTTTGCTATTGTTTGTTTAAATTATAAGGCACCCACAAATGTGAGATGCAAGGCTACATAATTCAAGTAAGAAAGTAAGTGGGGTGTGTGTGTGTGTGTGTGTGTGTGTGTGTGTGTGTGTGTCCCTGAAGCACTTTTACTATTTCCCACCATTTTCAATTTGGACTTCCAGTTCATCCCTGTTTCTCTCCACCCCATTGTCCCTCAAACCTCAGGCCATTTTCTCCCACATTCATAAATGTTAAGGGTTGCAAAGTCCAGTTGCCTTTTGAAAAAGCACCTTTGGGACAACCATGACCTGGATGACTGAGAATCTCCTTAGACATTGCTCTTTTTTCTCAAATGATTGCAAACACACATTCATACCGCAAAATTCTGTTACAGTACTAGGAAATGGAGAGACACATTGCATTTGCTTATTGGATAAATGTATAAATTGTGAGAATTACTTAGTATCAAGATTGTCAGAAATTGTGTTTTTTTTACATAATAGGAAACCAAGTTATTTTATACTGAAGAAACAGTGGCTTGTTATTGCAAAGCCCAAAGCAAGCAAGCAAGCAAACAAACAAAAACTAAATTATATTGTGGCTTAGTGTTAAATGCAAACCACTCAGGTACTATTAATTAAACAATAGATATATACAGTTATATACAAGCTAAATATAACTACTGCTGGTATGAAACCACAAATAACTATAGTATAATTAATGGTAGCACTTAAACAGTGAGCACTGTTTTCACAGCTCCAGACATCATGGTCAGTGGCCACTAATGCCATTTTTGCCATTCCTTACTGGATGAAAGCTACATCCAATAATCATTCAGCTAAACTTTTACTTCATTTCCCCTCTCTCCTCTTAGACCTTTAAAGAACATCAATTAACTCTGCTGTTTTTTCTCATTTTGCTTCTTCTCCAAGTGACTCCCTGTTTCAAATTCCTTTTATCAACTCCTTTTCTTCCTGGGGCCAATTACTCTGTTTAGTTCAGTTTGTTTCACAGAGTTGCTGTTGGGGTAGGGGTGGGGGTCTGCATTATTGAGTGATACAGAGTAAAGCAGGATATGAAAGATGGAAGGAGGAAGATAAATAGACAGACAGACAGACAGACAGACTCTTCTATATTCCCACCTCCAAATGATTTCGCCTCCCCCTTTTTTTCTTCACTAGATCCTTTTCTGCTTTGTACAGCTTGAAAATCCTCCTGAATCAGAATTATCTAGGCATGCAGAAGGTCCTTACCCTGAGTGTTGACAATCACCAGTCTATAAGCTGTAGCCCTGGCAACAGGAGTCCATAGCAGCCGAATGCGACCCAGTCCCACCGGCACCATGCGCAGGTTTGATACACTGCCCACTAACGGTGGTCCTGCCACAGATAGACAAAAAGTAGGATTACTGGAAGAATGTAATAGATGGCTTGGGCTTATAGAGAGAACAGTTGAGTAAGTTCTTGAAACAAAGAGACAAACATCTGGCTCCTTTTTTAACATACCCACTCAAATAATTGCAATAACAATGTCTCCTCAGTTTTCTCCCCTATAGTGTTGCTCTACATACATTATCTGATGACAAAAATATTCTCTTTATTAGAATATCAGAAGATGAATCATTCCAAAAGTGATTCTGTGCGGGGAACAAGACAGCAAAAGAGGCAGTGGAGCATAGAGATAGGGTTAACACACTTACGGATTTGGATGTTGAGAGGAACGGCATTACCCTCACGGTTGCCAATAAGAGCTGACACACGGACCATGTAGGAGACGTTCTCTTTCAAATCAACTAAGTCCTCTGTGGTCTGGGAGCCTGGGATGTGTCGAACCCTCTCAGTGCCATCTACAGCAGAAACCACAATAGTTGTGAACATGAACTCATAACTGTGGCTTTCCAATTCAAAGCCTGTTTCATAAAAACAAATCTTATGATTTTGTGGTCACAGCATCAGGCTACAAAGAGCCAGGAATCTGACATTGGATAAGGAGAGAGGAGAATAAACCAAGAGTTTCATTTGCCACAAACAAATCACTTCAGCTTTCAACAAAAGATTTGTTTTGCTACACTCTTCTACTTAGGTGTGAATCACCTCAATGTTGTTCCTACTTCCATTATTCCTCAGGTACCATCTCTAATGGTTATCCTTTGAGAGCTGAATGCAATGAAATTTCATTTTAATGTATGCTGATTAGTGTACATTTAAAGTGACAATAAAGTTCTATTCTATTCTATTCTATTCTATTCTATTCTATTCTATTCTATTCTATTCCCTCAACTCCCAATGCTGATAACTTGAACAAGTTTTGAGGGTGCTTGCATCAATGTTGCATCATTGCTTAACGCATTGTAAGCCACCCTGAGTCTTCGGAGAAGGGCGGCATATAAATATTTTTTTTTTTAAAAAATGTTCCTTAAAGCTCTTTAGATCAGTGGTTCCCAAACCTGAGTAAAATACCTAAATTTGGTAAAAGTACTTTTTCTTTAGGTAACACATGAACCCTAATCACAATAGGGGCATTTAAATTGACTTAAAATATTTTACTTACATTGGATAAAAAGGGCTTTTTGATAAGTGGTTTTGAGTAATAAAGGAAAATGTTTGAGAAGTACTGCTTAAATGATTAGAGGTGATGTTTTATCAAGATTCTATAACTTGCAAGAAAATCTCCCTTCAGAACATGCTCTTCAACCCAGAAAAGCAGAAAAAAGAGGGATGTTGAAAGGGACCAGATGCTCCAGACTATACTCTGTTTATTGCTTGGAAAGTCTTTGTTCTTCTCCTCCTTTTAGTACATTTCTGCTCTTCCATCTCCTCCTCTCAATGGATACTTTTGGATTTTCAGCAAGCCGCCACTATCAAGCCACTCCTATCAACCAGCTGCTCCAGTATTCTCACCTTGCATATTGCGTACTACGATCTTATATCCTGTGGCTCCTTGGACTCCTAGCCATGATATCCGGACTCTGTTTCCTATAGTCTCGATGATCCTCAAGTTGGAGATAGTTCCCACTGAAGGTGCCACCCCTAAAAGAGAACTTTTGACTTTAATTCAGCAAAGACAATGCGAGAACCAAAAGCCTCAGCCAGGAATGTGACTAGCTGAATTAAAGGTAGCATGAATTTCCTCTTACTCACCTGTCTCTGAGATAGTAACTGGGGTTGCTACTTCTTTTCCATCATATAAAGTGTAGAGGGTGATATGATATTCCGTGCTTGGTTGCAGGCCACTCAGAGTATAGCTGTTCTCATTGGTGGATAGAGAAACAGTCTTGGGAGAATCTGCTCCTTGAAATCAATACAAGATAGAAATTAGCATTGATCTTTATGGATTTGAAAACAAATAGGTATTATCCCTGTGTTTCACTAATTTGACATAAATGCCAAGTCATTGCTTAACTTGCAATTTTCTTCAACATTAAGGCATAATCATAGTTCATTCTGCCCTCCAATATATCAAAAGGCATTATGATATATGTTTTGAGGAAAAATAGAAACATTCAATTGATGTTTTTTTTAAAAAAATAATATTATTTATAATTTACCACCAAAATGAAACATAACAAACTATGAACACGAAATATATGAGAATAACACAGAACAAAAATAGTCCAACTCAGTCTCTTTAGGCTCATTTACCACCGAGATCCAGATCACCAAATTCCATCAAATTCTGCAACAACCATTCTCTTTAAGCCAACATTCCCAACACCTCTGTCTTTCTTAGATGAGATATGGAATTATAATAGGACATGCTGGAGGATACCAAGTCACTGAAGCTTATTCTAAAACTTACCTTAAAGGAAAAGGAAAGCTATACACTGCATAAAAACTTCTCCGAAAGGATATCCTAGAAATATTTGAAACTGACTGGGAAAGGAACAGATTCTCCCCACCACATTTATAGGTGTCCACAATCTCTATAACTTCTCTACCACATTGCACAAATTTAGCCATCCTACCTGTTGCTTTTCTCCACTCCAGACGATACCCCTGAGCATTAGGGATGATATTCCAGGCAACCTTAATTGATGTCGGGTCAACAGCGATAGTCCTAAGAATCTGGGCTATTTCTAAGAGCAACAAAAATAGTAAAGTTCTGAATGATCAGGAAAAGCTATAATAACCTCTCAGTTATTACAATCTTTAGATCCAAACCTTAATCACTATGGGACAAATTTATTCAAAGAAGAAAAACAAGTAACAATCTATATCCAAATTCACTATTACAGGAAGTCCCAGCACTTTTTTGTAAAGATGGACTTTAGCTGGGCTACATAAATAACATTCATATATTGACATGAGGATACCTAGTCATCTGTTTGCTCCAGCTACAATTACCATATAATATCTGTTGCATTTTCTCCCCTTCTTTTGAATACATAGTAAACAGAATGCCATCTTTAAACTTGAATCTGAATACTTTCCTAAATCAATGTTCATGTTCGATATCTTAATATTTAACATGTTATGCTATAAACTAGTTTATAAATGGAATGCTAACAATTATTCCATAGGACATATTTTACGTGCAGTGGTAGTTATTGTAACAACAGCAGAAGTAGTAGTACTGTAGTATCATTAGTAATAAAAACAATGATCAGCAAGTGCACCTACCTGTTCTCCTCCTAATGGAGGCCTTGGGACCTTCTACCTGTCCATAGAGTGGAGCAACAGATACTAGGTAATCAGTGTTAGGCTGCAGTCCTGTTAACAAATATGAATTCTTGCTAGCATCCACATTAGCTGTTTGACGACCCTGACCTAAGAAATTTCAAAATACAAAGCAAGAAAGCTGTTAGTCATTATCCATATGGAACATGCATCTGTGAACTACATGACCACATGCTGAATTGCAGAAGTTTACCTTTTTTACTTTTCTATCACATTCAGCAAGAGATCCTTAATTCTTCACTTCTCATTGTGTCATTGCCACAATACAATGTCTTTTTGGATACAGTGAACTTTTAACACTACTCCTAACATCTTAATCTATTAATTAACTGGAAAACTAATTGTATTAATTTGGGAGCATTCTAAAAGAGGAACATAGGAGTTAATTACTACATTTCTTGGAAAAAGAAAAAAAATCACAGGAGGTTGGGCAGTTTATCGAATATTTACATAACACCAAAGAGTACCACTGAATAGATATACCTGAGAGGAGTTCCCAGGTAACACGGTATGCAGTAACTCCACTCACACCCCTCCAGATTACCAGCATCCCTTGGGAGGAGATGTTCTGGGTATTTAGTTGTTGCACTCCTGCCAAATTCACTAAAGATAGAAAGAGAGGGAAAAGTCAACCAAAATGAGCAGAAGGGTGTTTCAACTTATTATCAATAATCCTAGAACCCAAATCTACCTGAGCCATATTTTCTCACCGAATTCACATATTTAAGCAATTATACTTAAAGTTTATGAAAGGCAAAGGCATGATTTCCCTACTTAAATTATGAATTTATGGATGTTTTTATGGCTGTTTTAGTCAATAATACCCACAATCAATATCTTTATAGTGAATTATAAAGATTACTAAGAGTTTGAGATAAAGACAAAAAAGTCTCAATCCTGGCACTTCACATTTCTCAAAGCTTCATGTATAAAATAAACACTGGAAAGCCTATAGTTCCTAAGATGCCTAATCAGGGCTGGATTTAATAAACAAATCAAATTATAGGTAGTCCTTGGGTTGCAATTGCTTGTTCAGTGATCAAAGTTATGATGGTGCTGAATAAGGGGGACCTATGAAGAGTCCTCAAAGTTGAGGCTGTTGCAGTGACCCAACGGTCACATGATCGTGATTCGGGCACTTGGCAACTGGCTTGCAAAACAGTTGCAGTGTCCCTCAGTTGCATGTGTGCCATTTGTGACCTTCCCTGCTGGCTTCCCACAAGCAAAGTCAATGGGGAAGCAGGCAGGAGTTTGCAAGTCATTCCTACAAGTCTCTCCCACTGCCATTTTTTCACCTGCCTGTCCACCTGTGCTCTGTAGTGTCTGCCTGTGGCACTGCCTGCCTGCACTCTGTAGTGGCCATCCATGGTACCCATCTGCCTGTGGTCCATCGCTTCTACCCACAGTACTCATCCATCAGCACTACATAATGCCTGCCTGAAGCAGCTGCCCACCCATCCACACTCCATAGTGCTTGCTCATGGTATGCACCCACCCATCCACAGTCCGTAGTGCTTGCTGTGGCACCCACCCACCCTCTGTAGTATCTGCTCATGGCACCCTTGCATCCTCCTGCACTCTGTTAACACTTATTCATGCTAATCAGAGCTAAATCCATGAACATTTCCTGACAGTTAGAATAATTAATCAGTGGAACACCTTGCTTCCAGAAGTTGTGAATATTTCCAACACTGGAAGTTTTTAAGAAGAGATTGGACACCCATTTGTCTGAAATGGGATAGGGTTTCCTGCCTGAGCAGAGGGTTGGACTATAAGACCTCCAAGGTCCCTTCCATCTATGAAAAAGACCAAGGCTCTACTTTCTTAATTTAGGTGACACATACTTGTTCGGCTATGAACTACAGCAGGCACTATTGTATGATGTGGGAAGATTGGGTGCAATGTTATCACATAGTCAGTGTTAGGTCGAAGGTTGCTGAGCAAGAACGAAGTAGAACTGGCATCAAGATTCACTTCTTCAGCTTCAGTTTCACCTTTTAGGAGGAAAAACAAAGATAATTTTAGAAATGTACATTTAAAAATTTATGAGAAACATAAAGGATCACTGGATAGTGCTACTTCTTTAAGAATGTCAATAATAAGTACAGCTCAAGTTCTTATTGGGACTTCATTCTTGATTACTTAACATTGAGAATTAAAGACTGAACTATATGATTAATTGAGGAAAATAAAATTATTGATAAATGAGGGTTGTTTCCTTTTAAAACAAGTCTTCCCCAACCCTGTATCTTCCATAAGTTTTCCAGCTATTCCAGCATTCTGAGAAATACAAGTTGAGAGTACCTGCAGTGATTAAAGCATCAGGCTAGAAACCGAGTGACTGGGAGACTGGTAGTTCTAGTCCAGCCTCTGGGTGACCTAGGGTCAATTACTCTCAGCCCCAGGAAAAGGCAATTGCAAATAACTCCCCCCCTCAAAAAAAAATCTTGCCAAGAAAACTACAGAGAACTTGGCCAGGCAGCTACCAGAAGTCAACAGTGACTTGAAGGAAACACACACAGTTGGCCAGCAGCCATATGGTGGAATCAAAGAAACTACTTTTGAGTCAGAGTCAAAAGTGAGGGAGACTATCCATTCTCTTGCTGGACTTGTCTTAATCTCTCTAATCCATTTTTCCTCTTTTTCTTACTTTCTTTCCTTCTGATACTCTCTTCCATCTTCCTCCGATAGCAGATTGAAGAGATGAGACAGATACTTAACAGAAATCTGAAGTGATCCTTTCTGGAAGCTTTGAAAAATCAAGCCATATGCTATATGGAACTAGGCTGAAGGCTGTAGGTGGCTCTAGGATTGAAAGTCGCCCACATTTCCTTGTAATACAGCAGCTACAGGAGTCCAGCTTACACGTACCTCCTGACTGGGCTCAGCTGCTTTCCATTTGATCCCATGTAAACCTCCACCCTCTAATTCAGAGTACTTACTATTGCATGGAACACGTATCTCTAGCTGCTAGGACAAAGAATGGAGACCATTTTAGCATAGACCATTTTTAGTCTAAAGTGGATTAAAAGAACTATCTAAAGAGCATTGACAGACAAATGACAGTGACAGCTACAGGACCCCCCCCCCTTTTTTTTTTTTTTGCACAGGCTTTCTTTCTGATTGAGTCACACCAAGCAAAGCAGCAGCAAGCAAAAGGAACAGTTGGTGGTGATCTCATCAACATTCATTTTGGTGCCCACAGGGCCAGAATTCTCTGCTAGGCAGATAAATTCCCTTGGCAGCAGGTGTGGCCAGACACTGGGTGAGGCACTGGGAGAGTTGCCAGGCTATAAGCACCAGCATGGCTGCAGGCTGGGGTGAGGCAGCTCCAGGTGCAGCTTCTGACAAGCACATCACAACAAGTCGCAGGTAAATATTCCAGTAGGGTTTGTCCACTTCCCCGAGCCTGGACTTTCTTGCCCAGGAAACCCTGAATTCCAGTAATTTGGTAATTACAGTGATGCTTGGAAGCAGTTAGGGCTGGACATAAAATTATCCTCTCCCCAAATCAATTTGTTCTTTTTAAAAAGCAGTCTGACTAGTCAGAGCAAACCTCAACAAACAACAACAGGACTGGGGAGTGTAGTGTGGTTGACTCCTTCTCAGACAATGTGCTCCATTCTGCTGAAGGACTCACTTTTCTGCTAGAGTCCAAGCCCAGTATAACCTAAAGAAACACGGCAATTCCTGTTTCCCCCTCATCCCTGTGAATCAGGAGATAGAGAACTATCGATGAGGTTAAGGGGAAGCTGCAGCACCAGCCATGTACTTCCTGTTCCAGCTCAGCTCCAGTATTCCCTGAAGCAATTGAATTAATTGCTTTTTGAGTAAAGAATCTTTCTGAAATTTAGCACTTCTAACCCCAAAGATCACCCCCTGTCAAGTTTTGCACTAACCTCTAGCCACATAAGTGAGCCTGTAGCCTTGTAGGGCTTCATTTAGATCAGCTGCCCAGGATAGTCTGAGGAAAAATGGTCCTGTTTCTAACACCCGAAAATTTGTCACTCCAGACAGCATCTCTGCAAGGAAAACAAAGAATCAATGGGGTGGGTTCTTCACATTCATGTAAATTCCAGACACGTTGTGTTACGAGAGAACTTATACTAATAGGAATCTGCAGAGTCAATTTCACTCATAGTGGAATGAGCTGAATGAGCAAAATGGCAAAGGCATTTCCAGCCAGGCTCCCTTCAGAGCTCCAGGAATACAACACCTGTACTCCAACCATTAGGTTGCCTGGAACTGATGAAAGATGTAACCCAGGGGTGAAATCCAGCAGATTCTGACAGGTTCTGGAGAACTGGTAGCGGAAATTTTGAGTAGTTCGGAGAACCGGCAAATACCACCTCTGGCTGGCCCCAGAGTGCGGTGGGAATGGGGATTTTGCAGTATCCTTCCCTTGCCATGCCCAAGCCACACCCACTAAGCCACACAATACTGACCAAGCCACACCCACAGAACCATTAGCAAAAAAATTTGAATTTCACCACTGATGTAACCCCAACATTCTGATGGGATAATGGTTGCAAAAAAAAAACAAAACCCACTGCATTGTAAGGTTATGCTGGCAACTCATTTAAAAATGACACAGGATAATGAGCAGGTTTTAGCTGTTACAAAGAGGGTATTACAGAAGGGCATTTCTTCCTGACTTCAGACAGTGAAAATCATAAAAATGGTGCAGACAAGACATGTGTGAGAAAAGACAGTCCTTGAGCACAAGGTCCAAAGCTATATAGGGCTCTAAAGATCAATTGCAGGACTTTGAATAACACTTAAAATGGACCTGTAGTTTGTGCAGTAGTTTCAAAACATACATGAAATGTTTCCTGGGGTCAGCCCAATAGCAGCCTAGCTGTGATAATGTGAGGTAGCTATAGTGGGGGGAAATATTCTGATGGGATCGGAACACATTGTCTGATGAATTAATGCATTATTTTTTAATATGAAGTTATTTTTGAGCAGACCACAACTCCTGATGACATACATGGTGTTATACCTTCAAGTTTCTTGGCATGATACCTAAATAAAGACATCTTCAAAGGCAATATAATGCCCTGTAAGAATGTACCAGGCAGGTGCCCAGGGTTTGGAAAAAAGCAGCCAAATTCTAGGAAGAGATGGTGATGGCATACCTGCCCTGCGCAACTTATCTTGAAGACTATTTGGGACGCCAATAAATCACAATGGAAAAGAGCTTAAACTCATATATTAGCCGGATTGCCCAGAAATATATTCATAACAATATCAGACTTTTTATTAGGGTTTTTATTGGCTTCCCAGAAGATAGCCATCAACTTATTCTACTCACCAGCTTTCTGACTCTGCAATCAAAAAATTGTGGCTATGTCCCATAATATTACTATAGGACATAGCCACAGTTATAACAGACTATAGTATTACACAGAAACTACGTAACTGTAAATTCTACATATTATACATGACAAGCCTACACAGACACCCAAAGAAGCCCAAGTGTGAGATTATACCCAAGAAACCTGAAGGCACCAAATTCTGGAATTATTTGGGAGGAATTTTAAAAGGAAATGTATCAAGAAATGTCAAATAAATTACAGAAACTCAATATATCAAAGATGGGCTTATTACTCACGTGTCCGTCCTTTGCCAGAAACCGATTCTCCAATGCGGTTGGCATACTGAGCTATAACAGTGACCAGGTAATCTGTCCCACTTTTCAAGCCACGGAGTACAGTGCTTGTCTCACCAGATCCCACACTGACCTGTTTAGTATCCAGAATGGATCTGTTATCACTCATTAAGTGCCACTGTATCTAATCACATATGAAAATAACATCTGTATGAAATTACATTATACTATTTCTGGTATTTCTCAAAGAAAAATTGCTTGAGGAGGGACAAGCAGTACTTAACTCCTATCTCTATACTACTTTCCTGATAAAAGTTTGTCACTACAATGCTAAAGCAAATTAATTCTACTAGGAATAAATAAAATGTCCTTTTTTCATAACTGTGTTAGGGCTTTATGTAAAAATAAAAAATCCTCTTCTAGGCAAATAATAAAAAGAAAAATACTTTATTCAAGTTATGTTTACTGCATAATGCTTGCAAATCATCTAACACATTTAATGTATTTTATACTACTTGCAAATCATGTCACATGTTCACCTCACATTTCTTGCACTAAAGTGTTAATCGCAATTTATTAGATGGAGATATTGCTTAAAACAACTTTTGACAGAATAACAGAGTGATTGAAGCAGGGCCCTGCTTCGTTATCACTTAAATTCGTCAAATTACCACTCCCCAAGTTAGTCTTTTCTATTATCAAATACTTCTAATATACAAGAAAATGACAGCTCTGTTATACAGCCAAAAGGACTTTAAGTAAATAAGAACTGGCCAGTGGTCAAAGGAATCTGATGGGGTAATTGGCTCAAGAAATAAGTTACATTCTTAAAAAGATAAAGTGATGTGACAACTCCCTTAGAATGCAGGGCGGACACTGGATCTTTCATCCTTTTTTATAAACAAAAATTCAATATTATTATGTCAACTATAACAATGTGTTAACTAAAAGAGCACTGTGGAACATGGGCTGGTCTGAAAACAGACAAAGTTTGTTAGAATTTATGTTGTTGCTTTAATATGGAGAGGGAAGTTATTAATATAGCATAACCTTGATAATGTACCCTTCACCTCTTTTCAGACCAATAAGGGCCTTACCCCCGCATTAGTTGTATGCATAATGTTTTATCCTGGGAAATGTCAACCCCAGGACCCCCAGAACATTACAAATCACTTCCTATTCCAGAAGTTTCACTTCTAGAAAACTACTGTATCAGCCCCAGAATGGCATGGCTAATGTGATCTTGGAATAAAAATAGGACAATTCAGAATTCCCCAAAAATGAATGGTTTGCACATATGTATCTGCCACATTAAAACTGACCTGCATTATGGTTGAACATAGCTAAATTTACCTCCGAGAAAGCATGAAGATTGCACTATAAAAAGTACTCACCTCCTGCCTTTCTGACATGATTTGTTGGCCCAGGCCAGTCAAAGGTACATACTGAATTTTATATCCAATTACAGGACCACCAGCTGCTGTCCAACGGATCCTTAGCATGTCTGTTCCTTGTTCCACAAAAGCCAGGTTGGAAGGACCATTGTAGGCACCTTAGGGAAAGAAAAAGCAGAGAGAACAACATAAATCAGATTTCTTGTTGACACAAACCATTACAGACAGTTGTGGACATGGAAAGGAAAGGCTAAGCATCCTGAAAGGATCAATCAAACAAAGAGTGACCGTGTTGATATCAGTGGGGACTGTGGTCTGCAATGGAAGGATGGAGCACTCTCCATTTGTTGGGTCAAGTCAAATCAACAAAAAGATGAGATCAGTGGCCCTGACCTCAGCTTCCTCCAATATTGTTTCCATGGAAAGAAGAAAAGAACAAATTTCAGAGGTTCACTGAAGGGAAAGTTCTGAAAGTTATATAGCCCATTAAACTGAACACATTAAGTCCTCCGAATCCTTTACCTATTGTCTGGAGGATGCCTCCTGTGCTGGCACACACCTTCTGTGACACCAGTGGCAGGAGGGATGCCAGGATTTTAAAATCAGTAACATAGAAGGAATAATCTTCCGTGGGTGTGGAAGCCACTCGGTCAAGCTCCTTCCGGTCTGCATTTTTGATACCTGGGTGAAAGAGAGAGAAAAAGAAGCACCCTGCTTCAGCTCCAAACCTCCTTTAAACAATTGCTATATTCTTGCAGTAGTCAGTCTTTTTCACACTGGGAGCAACTCTCAGAATAAACTGGGTTTTGATCACTAAAGTAAGTTTTGCTACTATTTAAATTGAGATTGAGAAACTGAAATGCTTAAGACATTTTGGATTTCACTCCCATAAGCCCCTGGCCAACTTGATCAAAGGGAAAAAATATGGAAACCTTAAACCAAAACATATTGAGGCCTCCAGAAGCTATAAACCTGATTTAATCCTTGTAATTTGGAAAGATACTATAATCTGAGTTCCCTGGAAGGGCACATCTTTTGCATGCACTTCAGTACCCCACATCTTTAGATAGGGCTGAGAAAAACTCCAACCTATTGCTCTAAAGAACAGTTGAGACCAGTTAAGCTCTGCCAGTTCTTGTCCTAGTTGCTTTTAATCCAAATATACTAAATTTCCACCACAGAAACTTGGTGGAAAACAGTAATAGTTGCTCCAAGCTCTCTCGGGAGGCATTTTGTCCTCCTTCAAAAAATGCTTGGGGAGTACTGGAAGTCTTTTATGGTTTTGCTAAGAAAAATATGTTTCCACACATATATTATGCACAAACATCCCCAATCTGAAATCCATATTAGGACTATGCTTTTCTTAGGCAAATGCCAAAAATGCATGTAATTTTCTTGCCCTGCCCTTTGAGATTTCTTCACTGGGCAATACATTAAAAAAGAAAGTGGGAAAATAGGAAAAGAGGCATTATTAAAGATATTAAAATGGTAATGTCTTCATAATCAGGGTGGTGAGATGAATATCTTGCTTGATGAAGAAATGTGGCAATTTTGAAAGCCTGTACATTTTTGTGGCTTTTGAGTTGATTTCATAAAATAAAATTTTAGAGACTTCTCATGCCAAAAACAGTACTTGTTTTTCTGTATAACTGAAATTGATATATTCACCTTTACTTTTTACGCACTTCACTTGCATTGGTAGGGGAATCAGGGATTTTATTTTTAAAAAAATTATAATTCTAATCTGAAAAATATCTCTCTATGTATCAAGAACAATGCACCAAAAAAACAATTGCTTTCTGTAACAATTAGCCTGAGTGTTGCATTATAGTTGTACAACTGAATTCTCAGTTTGCAAGTGCAGACTTCCCCAGGTTTACCAGAGGCATAAGCAAAGTCTGATTTAACCCTCGTAATTTCAAAAGATACTATAATCTGATTTAAGAGGGGAGTGATTCCAGGATTAATAAACCTAGAGGGCCCATCCCGTGCTTGCAATGTTCTCAATCTTACCTAGCCCTAAACTGGCAAGTAAGAACTGGTATATGCATTTCATGTACCACCCATCCAATGTGTTTTTCTTTCAGCAAACAGTTAACAACAAGGGGGAGGTGACGAGAAATAGTGGCTGGTGCAGAGGGAGAAAGTCCCATTAAATTTGTCCTTATTTGCTGCAAGATCACTTACCCACTGCAAAGACTTTGATGCCTTGATTCTTCAGTTTTAAGGCCGTCTGCTCAACCTCATCCTGAGACTTTCCATCAGTAATGAGAATACAGATCTAAGGGGTGGGGGAATTTAATACTACATCACACAAATGCCCAAACAAAGACTTAAACTCAATTCTTTTTGAAGAACAGATCAGTGTATGCTCAGCCTGACCACCTGCAGTTAGATGGCTGAGGCAAAAAATAAAGGTCAGGACCAGTTGTGGGTTTCAAAATTTTTTACTACTGGTTCTGTGGGCATGGCTTGGTGGGCATGGCGTGGCTTGGTGGGCATGGCAGGGGGAGGATACTGTAAAATCTCCATCCCCCCCCTCCAAATCCAGGGAAAGGTTAGTGCAAAATCCCCATTTCCTCCCAATCAGCTGGGATTTGGGAGGCAGAGAATAGATGGGGGTGGGGTCAGTCAGAATTTTTACTACCCATTTTCCAGAACTGGTCAGAACCTGCTGAAACCCACCTCTGGTCAGGACTGCTATACACATTTCTGGGAACCTATACCCTTATTTCAGAACACCAGTAAGAGTTATTATTTAATATTGGTCCATTAACAATATGTAATGTTTATATGGGGTGTTTTGCTTACATTACATGATGAAGCTAGAATAGGAAAGATATTCCTCATACGGCCCTTATAGTCCAAAAATGTTGAGGTTTAAGTACCATATCCATTCAGCATTCAGGGAGCAACACATCATACTTCTACTGCCAAACATGATTTTTCAATATTATAAGAGACTAAAAATGGCTGTCAGAATTGTCAAAACGGGTAAGATTCTGCCCAGGATTCTCTGGCCATTCCCTTCTCTTTCTGTTGGGACAGAAAAAGTTTTCACAGTACCTTTGGAACATTAAGACGGATCTGATTGGCTCCAAATAAGTTATTTGCTACATAACGCAGGCCTGCTCCTGTGCGGGTATTCCCGCCCTTGAAGGCTATCTCTTGGACAGCCTGTATCACTTCTGTTCCATTGAGAAAGTCTGAGAATTTGAACTCAGTCCTGGAATCAAAACAAAATTTAAAGTAGTTAAGCAGAAGCAAAAGCAGAAACCACACTATTACTTGAAAGTCCATCAGTTGAGAGGAAGTATTTCCCGGAATACTGCTCTATAACCAATTTTTGTCATCAAGTAGTAGTTGTGTTTTTTTTTTAAAAAAAATCAATCTCAGTGAGAGTTTTTGGGAGCTTTTCAACGTTATAAATAGAGTACTTGGCTCCTCTAACAAATAACAGACAGTTATGTTTGTCTTTAGAGTGAACATGAATCTCAAGAGTATGTACAAGATTCACACACACTGCAGCCCCTTTTGTGCCTAGCTGGCAGTATTTAACAAGTTACTCAACGCACATCTTCTAATCAAATAGATTTATTCTGCAAATAGAGTAAAGAAAGGGGATTAATCTTTTTCTTTCTCTTGAGAACTGCAGGCTGGCTATTTTTGAGGCTATTTAGGAATAGGGGATAAGGGACTGGAGGCTAAAACATAAAGAACTGTTGCTGGAATTAATCAAAAGAAGGACTACGGGTGACATTATAGCAGTGTTCCAATATCTAAAGGGCAGTCACAGAGAAGAGGGAGTCAACCTATTCTCCAAAGCACCTGAATGCAGGACAAGAAACAATGGATGGAAACTATTCAAGGAGAGAAGCAATCTAGAAGTAAGGAGAAATTTCCTGACAGAACAATTAATCAGTTTAGAAGTTGTGGCTGGTCCAACACTGGAGGTTTTTAAGAAGAAATTGGACAACCATTTGTCTAAAATGGTATAGGATTTCCTGCCTGAGTGGGAGGTTGGATTAGAAGTCCTCCAAGGTCTTTTCCAACTTTTTATTCTAGATGGTTAGAAGTAAATAGAGTTTTAATTGCAAGTGAAACCAGTTAAAAGTTCTTTGGGATTTGACACTTCAAGTCTTCCCCAGACCAGTATCTTTTAGGTGCACTGAGTTCAACTCCCAGATTGCATGGTACCAGTCTGGGGGAAGGCAAGTTATCTAATCCATTGGACATCATATTCCCAATTGTGGCCACCTAGGAGACTCAAAGAATTCTACATGCCATGAAGGCAAACTGATTGACCCCAGCATTTAGTGAAATTATGTCTTAGGAGTATAGCAGCCCCATTTAATTATCCAAGTCAGTAACACAACTGTTCTCCAAGAATTTGTCTAAAGCAGGGGTCAGCAACCTGCAGCTCTGGAGCCGCATGCAGCTCCTTGGGCCCTCTGTTGTGGCTCCCTGTCAGGTGATCCCAACACTAGCTGGCCCCGCCCCTCGCCCTCCCCTCCCAGTCATTCCTTGCCTGGCCTGAGAAGGTAAGGGCGATGGCGTGGGATGGGAGAAGTGGCCAGGGCAGAGACAGAGAGATACAGAGAGAGGGGGAGAGAGAGAGACGTAGAGAGATACAGAGAGAGAGGGAGAGGAGAGAGGGAGGGAGAGAGATATGTCAAAAGGATTTTTTGGTTCCCGGTGTATTTTAACAACTGGTTCTCTGCCCTAATGACCAGCTGGGTAGGCGTTGTTAGGGGGGTCATGTGACTGGTGGAAGTGAGTAACATTGAGTTGGCCATGCCCACCCAGGTTTTTGTGGCTCCCAGTGTTTTCTTTTCTGTGGGAAACGGGTCCAAATGGCTCTTTGAGTATTTAAGGTTGCAGACCCCTGGTCTAAAATAAGTAACATGAAAAGCAAGTAGACTAGGACTCACCTGGGGTCATCACTGTACTGCACAGCTGCATAACGTACCCCATTCGCACCCACCACGTTGACAAAAGGAACAACCAGGCCTTCCATGAAGGATCGGATCATCCGGAAATTTCCCCTGCCAATGCTAGAGGATCCATCTACCAGGAATGCAATGTCAGCCAGGTACACATTGGTGCAGACCACTGCAAGGCAACATCAACTGGTCAGGAGGCTTACCTTCATCGGTGGATCTCCTCCGTCCATTCATATTACAAGGCAAAAGATCAGCAAGAGCTGGGCTTGGTCTACACAGAGTTATATAACTAGCTTGAGGCTTTAGTCCCACAGAGCCAGACTGAATCATTCCTAGAAAAATGGTCTACAGTTTCCGTGTACTTCATACATCAAGTCCATAATTTGACCATTACAATAAACAATAAAAGAGGTAGAAAAAGCCTTGGCTTAATAACTAATGTGAGAAGACTACAGATAGTCCTTGACTTACAACCACAATCGAGACCAGAATTTTCATCACTAAGCAAGGCAGTTGTTAAGTGAGTTGCACCTGTTTTTACAAACTTTTTTTTTTTGCCATGGCTATAAGTGAATCATTGCTGTTGTTAAGCGAATTGTGTGGTTGTTAAGCAAATTTGGCTTCCCTCATTGACTTTGCTTATTGGAAGCAGCTGGAAAAGTCAAAAATGGCAATCACAGTTGCGATGCTGCAACTGTTGTAAATACAACCCGGTTGCCAAGCGCTCAAATTTTGATCGTAGGACTGTGGAGTTGTTGCAACTATCGCACAACGACCAGTGTAAAGCTACTTTTTCAGTGCTGTTCAAACTGTTGCTAAATAAACAGTTGTATATTGAAAACTATCGGTATTCAGGACCAGGGAATCTGAGCTAAGAGGGGGGATTCAGAAAGGGAACTACAATCTAAAACAGACAAACTACAATAATCCTTCTGCAGTTTCTGGAGACTTCCAAATGAACTCCAGTATCTAATCCTTGCTCTCTTATTACACCAGGTGTGCTAGACGTAAAATCATACCATATGGCGCTCTGTGCAGCTCTCCCAAGATTTCAAGTGGTGTTTTTACAAACCCTTTTTTCCAGGGTCCTTCTCTAACAGAGGAACAGTTTTACAACTTAGCTTTCCTGAGTTTCTTGCTATCCCTTCTCTAGCCAACACGGTGGTTGAACGGAGTGCAAAAGACAGACGTAGGTGTTCTAATCCAGAGGTCTCCAACCTTGGCAACTTTAAGACTTGTGGACTTCAACTCCCAGAGTTCCTCAGCCAGCTTCGTTTCGCTGGCTGAGGAATTCTGGGAGTTAAGTCCACAAGTCTTAAAGTTGCCAAGGTTGGAGACCCCTGTTCTAATCTATAGGGTTGCCATGCAGAGTTAAATTAACCACGACTCACCTCTCTCCCTTTTTTGAGCCAAGACTTGTATGGAAGCAAAGAATACCGCATGGACTGCTGCGAGGAACAACATTTTGCTTTTCATGGTGGGAGTCTGAAACAAAGAATAAGAGATGGAAGCATGCTCAATTCTTCAGACTGGGAGTCAAGAGCTGAACAAGTTTATCATGAGCAGTATTGTCCTAGTCACCAACCCAGGACCACAGATAAGTGGCAAAAAGGATGTTCACGTTGCTTATTTATAGGCTACTTTTATATCTCATTGTTTCTCTGGAAATAGGCTTCCTATAATTTTAGGTCATCTGCTTAACCCTGGCCAGAGAGGAATAGAATAATAATAGAGTTGGAAGGGACCTTGGAGGTCTTCTATTCCAACCCCCTGCTTAGGCAGGAAACTTACACTACTTCAGACAAATGGTTATCCAATCTCTTCTTAAAAACTTCCAAGAGATGATGATTGCAAAGACCTGAGTGCAGTGTGTTTATTAATAGGAAAAATCAGGCAGTAAAGAATGGAATATTTAAGAGTCATACCCTCAGGCATCAGCCTTCTCCAAATCAGTAGCCTTCAGAAATTTAGGACTGCCATCCCCATCAGCTACAGCCTGCATGCCCAGAAATGTTAAGGAATGACAGAAATTGTAATGCAAAATCTCTGGGTGACATAAAGGCTGATAGCTCTTTAGTAACATGCTGATAGAAGAAAGCAGATGGCCACAAGACCAAAACCATGAAGGAAGGCTGAAGATACATATGCGTATGAAACATAATGCTTTAGTTAAAATTCTTACTTTCTCTGGGAAATTCCCAAATGAGAATTTGGTTTCCACCTGCACATTAGGAAGGAACGGTCAAGTTATTATTGGTCCAAATGCATTTATAAATTTGTTCCATCTGTTTTTCACATTAAAATGTTTAGGCCACATACATATTGATATTTAAATAAATATATTTTATTAGAAATATACAGGTCTCAATATATTTAATTCAAAATTTCCCCTTTAAATGCATAGTTAGTTGAGAACTACATTACAAAATCCAGACAATACTGAAATCCAAAAAATTATAAAAATAAAAATATTCTATTCTATTCTATTCTATTCTATTCTATTCTATTCTATTCCATTCCATTCCATTCCATTCCATTCCATTCCATTCCATTCCATTCCATTCCATTCCATTCCATTCATTAATGTTCCTTTATCAATCACTTCATTTTGGAATTTTCAATGTTTGAATTCTTAAAGCATTTAGACATCTTCATTTATTATTCATAGAAGCACATATCCACACATTTACATACAGTAATAAATGATACTTGATTATTTTGGATCAATTAAATTGGAAGCTCCAGATATAAGTCTGTAAATCTAGCCATGATAATTGGCTTTACATGCAGAACTAAATCATATGATTTTTTTTAGACTAGGCTTAACACATATGTGAACCTAGCCATTGTGGTTCATAAACAATGGCTTATGGTTCAGCACAATGTGTAAATCAGGTTACTATATATACAGTCTAGTATCTATTTCATACATACTGCCATTCCAGTTTACATACTATAGCTTATTGAACAAATCACAGTTAACATACTGACATCTTTCCTCAGAGAGAGTAAGGAAGGGAGCAGGAGGTTAAACATTCAGCTTGTATTATACAAGATGAAAGTCTTAACTAACAAAACAGAATACCCATGTTTAAACAAATCATTGTTTAGCATAATGGGTGAACCGAGAACTATCACTTATACAAGGCTTTATTATGGGCCAAACCAGATGATTAAATGAAAAAGGAAATACTTCATCCTACTGGAAACAAACCTTCACCTTAATCATCTAGATACTTAGTGGTTAGATCATACCACATACATATTTTCTCTCTGTAATAATCTCCTTTCTTAAAAAAAACAACAGGAATTTTTCCCTTAAAAAAAAGAAATTATGCAAAAATATTGGCTTGGTTTCATCGATTTTTCAATAAATAGACTGTATTCCACTGAAATGGAAACTTTTGAAACTTCTAAAAATAAATAGTGCAGATCATTTATATCTATATATATATACCGTGTTTTGCCAAAAATAAGACCTTATCTTATATTTTTTTTGAACCCCAAAATAAGTGCTTGGTCTTATTTTTGGGGCGGTCATATTATTTTGGGGCACGTGGAGCAAGATGGGGCTCCTCTTGCCATCTTACCTGATTTCCAGTTCTGCGTTTAAATATTTTCAGGGAGGGCTTATTTTTTGGGGGGGAGGCTTATTTTAGCGCATGCACTCAAAAGCCCAATTGGGATGTCTTATTTTCAGGGAAACAGGGTACTACATAGGACACTTAAGTATTCATCATTCTTATAATTTAAGTCCAGACTCTAGCTGGTTTTTTCATGTGACATCTCTCAACCTGAAATAATGGAAATAATAATGAATTTCCTTACTGGCTCATTCTGCTAGAGAAATAATTCAGAATCGCATTCATTCATTCATTCATTCAATTTATTTGTCACCCATTTCATTTCAAAACAAAGCTGACAGCTTTAAAAGCTTTGTACAGTTAGTCCCCGACTTACAACAGTTCTTTAAGTGACTGTTCAGTGTTACAACAGCACTGAAAAAAGTGCCATTGTATGACCATTTTTCACATACCCATTTCAGCATCCCTATGATCATGTGATCAAAATTCAGACACTTGGCAACTGACTCATATTTATGACAGTTGCAGTGTCTTTGTGTCATGTAAGCCCCTTTTGCAACCTTCTGACCAGCAAAATCAATGGGGAAGCTACATTCACTTAACAATGGTGTTACTAACTTAACACCTGCAGTGATTCACTTATCAACTGTGGCAGAAAAGTTGTAAAATGGAGCAAAACTCACTTAACAAATGTCTCACTTAGTAACATACATTTTGGGCTCAATTGTGGTTATAAGTCAAGGACTACCTGTAATCATAAAAGATAAATATTTCTAAAACAATGAAAATGTAAATTACAGTCAAAATAGAACTATAGTTAAGAGGGGGCAGGTGGGTTTGCTTCTTAATTCATCAACCACTCTAGGGTCATGTTCCTGCATTGGATTCCCCAAGCCATCTGGCAGACCCAGGTCTTCAGGCTCTGGGGAAGGTCAGAAGGGTGGGAACCTATCTCACCTCAGGGGTAAAATATTCCAAAGGGCAGGAGCCATGCAGAGAAGGCCATTTTCCTGGAACCCACCAGCCAGAAATCCTTTAACAATGAGACCTGCAACAGGCCTCCTCTGCCGGAATGGTTGGGGTGCACCAATCCTAGTGGGATGAGATGATTCCTCAAGTGACCTGGACCCATGCCACGTAGGGTAAAGGTAATAACCAACACCTTGAATTGCACCTGGAGGCCAATTGGCAGCCAGTGCAGCTCACGGAGGAGTGGTGTAACATGGGCCACCCTGGGGGCCTCAAGTACTGCCTGTACCAACGTACTATATGCCATTTGAGGCTCTCCAAGGGCAGTTAACTTGCACAAGGTAACTGTTCTTATACTTCTAATAAGTAATAGTGGCTGTATTGCTTTGGTGCATCGTTGACTTTAGACAACCAGATTTCCATGTAGCTTCCCTGGCTATGCCAACAGCTTTTATACAGGTTGCATTGAGTAGCTAGATCTCCTCTGTTTCAGATGGGAAAATAGAAAGTGCTGGATTATGTCTGTAATCACTCTATTCCTATGAAAACATAGCCGAAATTTGATAGAAGGGAATAATGATTATAACTAAGGGTGAAATAGTTAGGAAGAAATTTAATCCACTAAAAGGCCACCAATGCAATGGCTAATTTAGAGTGCAGTGGTAATACACGGTGACTTTCATAATGTAAACTTCCTAGCCATTTAGATCTTTGCATCATCTGCCTTCTGGAGTTTCTCCTGTCTTTTTATATTATGCACATCCTTGAGTTAAACCAGGAAATTCACAGGAAAAATTCACATTTTGGATCATGTCAAGAGCATTCTCCCTTTCTTACTATTCTAAAACAAGATCAGGGTTTTAATAGGAGTGGCAGAATTGGTAGCACAATCTGTGAATCAGGTAATTAAATGTATATGTACATTTTCTCATATTTTCCCCCTAGCAGCTTCAGGAAAACAGAGGAATTTCTATTGAATGCAGTAATTAACAAAACAGCAAATAGTAAACAGTCTGCAGCCTGTGGCTGTTCCCTCCGTTTTCCTAGATTATGCCACTGATACATAGCAGAATGTCTTTTACCCCTTTAAAAAGAGGAGTGGAAACTTCTGATAGGCGATGCTCTCCAACTCTTTAATTTCTCCCAATTGTCCCTCAAACTTGAATTTGTAGCCACAGTGCTACAAATTTACAGGCTATAAATGCAATACTTAGAGTATGCATGCAATGCTTGCTTTGTTAGATAAATAGGTATTCAATATATACTACGTGCATATAAAGCATCTTGTAGTTGAGTTGGGAACTTCACTAGAAATTAATTATGCAAGTTTCCACATGTGCATAGAAAAAAAATATGAGTTCATAAATTGTATAGGGCCCAAAGAGCAAATGAAGTCATTGGAGGAAAATGACAGTCTCCCCTACATTGATGTCCTATTTGTTCACACTTCATAGTAAAAAAAAATAAGGCAGCCAGATTACTTTGATGTAAACTACAAACCAGCCATGTCTTACACGTAGCACAATTAGGTGGAGAAACTGAGACCTTGCTGAAGTGTAATTCAAAACAATGTAAAACAACTATGATGCCATTCACACAATATGCTAAGCCATAGGATAACTTCTCATAGCTTGCTGACCAAACCATAATTGCCTCTGCTCATGCACCACCTATCAGCCATAAATGTTCTAGACTGAAAATCAAGTTTAAATTCACTGTTCTTGTCTATGGAACTTTTCTCAATAAAAGTTATTTCTGAGCTCTTTTTGGTCCCAAGGAAAGTGTAATTTCCTCTTGCCCCCAAGTTACTAAAAACAGTTCCTATCCTGGTGAACTCCAGCCAAGCTACCACCTCCCTGCCCTGCAGCTATGAGGAAGGAAATAGTTCATTGGTTCAGCATATACAGGTACTCCAGAAATATTTATAAAATGGAGGGAGGACCCCCAAGGTAATCTCTGTTGCATGAGGCTTTATTAAACCCCAGTCTTTAAATATCCAGCCTATCTTTTACATTTCCAAAAGTCTTCATTATGATGGGACCACCTATTACTTTATTGCCTTTTAAAGCGTTACTAGCAAAATCAGCCTGCAAAAACAAAACTGTAGCATTTTCTTATTATTTATGGATCAGGGAAGCCAGCATTTGAATGTATAACTAGTTATAACCCTCACTAAGGTAACCTGACCAGGTCTTCATCTCAGTCCAATCCACCACACAAGACTGTTGTAAAGTTTTATGTTACCCTTCCTTTGTTTCTTTAAGAAAAACTATATATGATTCTGGGCTAGTAATCTTTTTCAATGAATGCTCTGCCCCTAGTGGGGCAGTCTATGGCAATGGGACTTAATCCAGAGTTGGCTGATGTTTTTGCACTACAGGTCCCAACAGTCAAGCCTGCTGTGTAGGGTGATGGGAATTAAAGCCCAACAATTGGGGGAGGGGCGAATGAAGGATCTATGGTTGAGATCCTTGAGCTGTCCAAGAGCCAATTTTAAGGAAATGAGCCACCAAAGAAGCGGAGGAAGAGAACAGTCACCCTGTTCAGGGAAAGCAACTGAGCATGGCCAACAATGTGTCAGTGGCCGCTGTCCAAATTCCAGAAACAGGACAACCTTCCTGGAGAGGACTTGCAGATGGCAACATGCATAGAAAGGAAATCTGATTTCTGAGCGATTAACAAGTGGAAACAAGAATTAGAAGCAGCCCAAGTCAGGAGGAGGAGGGGGAGGAGGAGGAGGAGGAGGAAGAAGGAGAAGGAGGAGGAAGAAGAAGAAGGAGGAGAAGGAGAAGGAGAAGGAGAGGAAGAGGAAGAGGAAGAGGAAGAGGAAGAGGAAGAGGAAGAGGAAGAGGAAGAGGAAGAGGAAGAGGAAGAAGAAGAAGAAGAAGAAGAAGAAGAAGAAGAAGAAGAAGAAGAAGAAGAAGAAGAAGAAGAAATAATATAGGATTTCGTAAGAATTTATCAAGACGGCACCAGATTAAATATTTTCCTTTAGCGCCAGGAAGCAAAACCCGAGGTGTCTCTGAGCACGTGCAAAGTAAGGTTCCCCCCACCACCACCACCCACTGAACGCAACTCCAAGTGTGCGTGTAGTACAGGATTTTAAAGCCGTGGCGCAGGTGTCATTCAGAAGAGTGCAACGAAATTTCATGTTAATGTATGCCGATTAGCGTACATTCCAAGTGACAATAAAGTTTAGTCTAAGTCTAAATCTTAAGTCCCCTCGAAGTTTACTGGCCGAGACGCCCTCTTTGGCTAAGCCAAGGAGCCATTATCCCAGCGAATTCCGCGCTCCTGACTTTCGAGTAACGGAGTGGAGGGAAAAAGGGGGACGAGGGGCAGCTGCAGCGGGGTTCCCCTCAGTTCGCGCGCCTTCTCTCTCTCTCTCTCGTGAGTGTGTGTGTGTGTGTGTGTGTGTGCGCGAGTGCGTCCCGCTGGCTGCGCAGACCTGACCCCGCTGAGCATCGCATCGCCTCCCTGGAAGCCGAGGGAGGCGGGCGGGAAGCCCGCCGGGAGAGATCCGCTCCTCGAAAGCGGGAGTTACCTGCTGCTGCCGCTGCCCGCGCGCATACTCCGCAGAAGATTTGGGGACTCTGCCTCGCTTCTCTTTCCCCTCAGCGGCGGCACCCTTGAGCGTCTCCCGCGCTGCTCATCGGGGAAGAAGCGAGAAACAGCCGGCCGTCTCCCAAAAACCAGCCAAGGAAGGGGGGGGGGACTCCAACCCGAGAAGTCCCGCGACGCCTTTTGCCAAAAGGATGAGAAAAGGGGAGGGGGCGTTGTCTGTGTACGCCGTTCGCCCCTCCTCCGGCGCTGCGCCTGCTCCGGGCTCGGCCCACCCGTTTCACACACACACCCCACTCCGCCGCCCCCGCGAGTCCAAGCGCGCTTCGCTTCTTTGCAGAAAAATGGGCGGCGGGAGGGAGTGTCGGTGGGCTGCCCCCACAGCTCAGCCCAGCCCCGGTGGCCTTCTCAGGTACTTGTCTCTCGTGCCTGAAGGATGGGAATAGCGCTGAGAAGCTAGTTCTGCGAAGTACAGAGAGTCCTCGACTTGCGACCGTCCGTTTAGTGACCGTTCGAAGTTACCGTGGCACTGAGAAAAGTGACATATGACCATTTTTCACACTGAGGACCGTTGCAGCTTTCACGTGATTTGCATTCATGATGCTTGATCAGTGGTTCATATTTATGATGGTTGCGGTGTTCCAGGTAACCTTACCTGATAACCTTCTGGGACCTTCTGACAAGCAAAGTCAATGGGGAAGCCAGATTCACCTAACAAGAGGGTTACTAACTGAACAATCGCGGGGATTCACTTAACAACTGTGGCAAGGAAGGTTGTAAGATGGAGCAAAACTCACTTAGCGACTGGCTCACTTAACAACAGAAATTTGGGCTCGGTTAGTCAAGGACTACTTGTAAATGGCCATGTGCTAACAAACATAAATTTTGGGCTGGGTTATGTTCATAAGTCGAGGACTACCTGTATTAGTGTTGTTTAGGGAGGGTTTTTCCCCTATTTATTCCTTATAGGAGAATTTAAAAAAAAAGACATCCCTTTGTTAAAAAAAAAAAGAAGAGGGCTACCTATTATGGATACCAAATTCAGCCAGTACACTCTATGATTTCTCATCAATTCCTGAATTCCTGCCATCAGCATTGCAAAGTAAAAGTATGTCTTGAACTTGATCTTTCTTATAAGTGGCCATGAGTTCCCTACTGAACCAGTCATTCTGTGCCGAAGTTGCCAGCGCTTACTATTGCTTGGAGTGGAAAGTTGGCGGATGGGACAACCAACCTGGACAAAATATCTATATTCTGAAATTCATTTGGAACCAATAGGAAAAATGTCAATGTTTTTGCAACATTTTTACATAAATGAGCCACGGTGGTGCAGTGGTTAGAGTAGTTTTTCTTGGTTGAACATCTTAGAAGACATTGTGCAATCCCTCCACATAAAAAGGTAACAACATTGTGGAATTGAACTTGTCTCTTCCTAGTCCCTACAAGGATACCTGCATGCAGTTTTCTTGGCAATTGTTTTGGTGTTTTGGACTGACTTCTTTCAAGATGCTCCAACTTCTCAATCTAGCCTACCACCTTTATTTATTTTAAAGCATGGGTGCCCATCCTTTTGGCTTGCCTGGGCTGCATTAAGTGAAGAAGAATTGTCTTGGACTGCATATATAATATAATTAATGTATATAAATCACAGAACAAGTTTAAAAATTTATAATCTTATAGGACCACATTACTAGTTATCCAGGGCCACATGCAGCCCACAGCCATTGAGTCGGAAATGTCTCTTTTAAAGGAATTTTATTTTTCCCTAAAAGAACAATGCACATTCTCCTATTTATCCTATTTATGAACTTAAGTTCTACTGGAATTCATCTGAACACCTAAAAACAGGTTCCAGATTTCCTGGAACTGTGTTAAGTAGAAAAAAATGTGTTTAGACAAAAAATATCATCAGTGTTTACACTATTTCATCTGAAATAATTACCGTCTCTTTGTTCAATGTACATAATCACTATTGTGCATGGGAAAAATATCATCTTTACTTATAATCATGGCCAATTAAAGATGTGCACTGTTCACAAAATTTACCTTGAATTCAGAAGATAGCTCAATTTAACTCAGAGGCCAAAGCTGGGATTTCTCACTCTCCATTTGTTACAATATGCTCTTATGTGCTTTGTGGCTGCAAATGACAAGAACACCATGTATTTGCAACGACATACCAGTAGTGAGAGAGGGCTCTGATGGATTGTGGGGGGGAAAGGGGGATTGAAGGTGAAAAGCTTGGTCACTGACTACTGCTTTGAAACTAAATTGGAAAGGGAAAGTAAAACATCGTTTTTAAGAGAAAGAAGAATAATGCGTTTTCCTACAAGCAGAAAAATGTATAGGGCACAAGATGTTTTGACTGCACACTTAAGCAATGTAGAGATAAGAACTTAGGAGGAATATAGTACTTACTACTTTTTCCAATTAACAAATATTATTAAAAAACCTACAGTATCCTGAGTTGAAGTGACCTGGCTGGACTGATCTGATCTAAGATTTAGATTGGGAAAAGGGAGGAGAAGAGAGGTTGTTTTATATGAGACAGATTACTAGTATTTTATCAATTAACAGTTATATGTTCGTTGAAAACTTTGATATTGCCTGAAACCTTTTGATGTATGAGAGTTTAGCAATTTTTCACTGATGGTGCTTTAAAAGTCCTGTTTTTCCAAAACAATCACCTTGAGGTCTGCCATAGAGTGACCTGGAAGATTGAAATGCTTTGATTTTACTTTTTGAGTTGGTTAGTTTTATTGCACAAAATTTGCCCTATATAGAATCTAAAGGGGCATTGCTGACAGATGATGGTATATAATCATATGGAAGCACCTCTAATCTTGTGCCTCTATAGTACAGTATACTTGTTGGAGCCTCTGATGGTGTTATTGGTGTAGATGTGGAGAGTTGATCTTATCTTTGTCTTTAAGGTGCAAGGGCTATCAAACCACTAGATGGCAGCAGAATTATGTACAACTCTTTACCGCCATCTAGTGGTCATCTAGATATTTCAGTACAGCTCCGATCATCTCTTGTGGTGTTCTCTGAGCTTGGTGGGTTTTTTGCATATGTTTCATTCCAAAATAAGTAACATCATCAGTGCACTAGTTGGTAATAAAATGTCTGCAAGCTTCCAAAGGAAGCACTAAGGACCTTGCAGTTCAATCCTGAGATACAGATATTCTCTTGTATTGGTACATTGCTTTTATTGCCACAGCTACCTAATAGTACTAACTACCTGTTAAAATTGTTTTTAGAGCTGTTTCTTGCTAGTAAAATGATCAAATACATTTTAGTTGCATTATTAAAAAATCAGTCATAGAAATACAGTCATGCAATTTTATGGCAGACCTGCTCACCTTGGAACCCAACGAACTATTGCTTCTGATCCAAATGTAATAACATTCCAGATCTGATCAGCTGTCATTCATCTGTAATGGGCTCTATTCAGCACAGCTGGTCATGTCAAATTGTAGCTACAGAAGGACAAACATTCCTCCCAGAAAACAAAGGGAGCATTTTAACTAGTGGAAGATACGAATATCTATTAATTTTGAGATATACATCAGGAAACCTGACCCACTGCAAACCAATAGAGGATGTAAGGTCAAACTTTTATTATTTTTCATATTACTTATCACTTATCATGTAAGGTCAAACTTTTATTATTCTTCATATTACTTATCATTTATCTGTTTTCTAAAAAAATCTTAATATTGTTTCTTTTAAAGAGAGGTCTCTATTTCCATTGATTCCATTTCCATTGAATCATGGTTTTTACAGTATTTTATTACTAAGAGCTGCAATGGCACAGTGGTTAGAAGAATGCAGTACTGCAGGCTAATACTGCTGACTGCCGGCTGCCAGTAGGTCAGCAGTTCGAGTCTCACTGGCTTAAAGTTGACTCAGCCTTCCATCCTTCCAGGGTCAGTAAAATGAGGACCCAAATTGTTGGGGAGAATATGCTAATTCTGTAAACCGCTTAGAGAGGGCTGTAAAGCACTGTGAACTGGTATATAAGTCTGTTGCTAAGTACTAGTATTGTTGTTACGTAATTGTAAATCATATGTTACATGGCTTTCACCTCCAGTTGTATGAATTGTACACTATTTCTGTTATTACTTGGAAAATCTATTGTAATGATGAAAATGATCTTATTTCAGCAAGTAATATTTTCAATTCAGCTTTTAGTCCCACAATAAGTGTTTCTGGAAGATGATTATGAAACACCTAGTGGTTATTATCTGTACAATAATTAGCAACAAGAATGTATCTTTTTAGTGGCATCTGTAACAGACCACAATGATGTTCCAATCTTGACATGTGCATCATGATGTCATCACACAATTCACAGACTGAAATGTGTCATGATGCCTGATGAAACTCATGATACATGTCTTATCATTTGTCACTTCAGACATCCAGTGGTTTTTATTTTACTTTTTTTAACTTTTATTTTGTACTTAATTTTTGTATCTCAAATGCTTGCCTGTGCTAGTATATGTCGGAGGACTAATAAAACAGCAGAGGAGAAAACATGGCACATGAGATGTTGCTTCAAATTCCATCAGCCTTGACTTTGATCATGCTAGCTAGAGCTAATTTGTGGGGCCCTAGAGAATATGGGTGTCCTCAGCTCAAGCACTGGAACAAGATGGGACAGTGGAAATAAGGGAGACATTTTCATTAAACATATGGAAGCAATTCCAAAGTTTGTTAAAGAATTTTAACTTTTTTAACTTTTCCAAATTAACCACCAGACAAAAGACAAACAAGAAAATGCCATCAGGATTCTTCAGCTGGATTGCTTGGTCTCTAGCCTGGCTTGAGAGAAAAGAAATATGTGCAAAGGGGAAAACTTATTTACTCTCTTTCCTAATATAGGAAAAGCAGCAGTAAAACAAACAACCCAGAAGCTTGATTATACAACTTGCGCAAAACCAATTTTTCTCAGGAAATAATAAAACTATGGAATATGTAACAAAATATAGTAAAGCTAAAGACACATTCTAGAGAATAGTAGCATCATTATTGAGGTCAGTGTTCGGATTTACATGTTGCATTAAGAGATACCATAAGTTGCTTAGCTATAATTAATTTTATAAATCATGATGGTTTGCATTTACAACACAGCCAGAAATATGGTTTCTAAACTAAAGTGTTGTCTGGAATCACAAGTATGAAG